GATAATGTTAAGTTTATGTTATATATATAGTAAAACCTATATATTACAGAATTTTAACACCAGATCAATCAAGATATGTAAAGCAAGTGAGACATTTCAGCGTGTGCACTGTTGTTATGTTATTATCTATTTATCTTGAAAAGCCAAAAGAAGGTTCCATCATCTCTGCAAGAGTTGTTGTTAGTGATGTTCTAATGCAAAAACTTATGACATATTTTTAACACCGAATACTAGTATCCTGCTTGTTGTTTCTAGTCATGATACATCCCAAAAGATATATTAACAATTACAAACGTAGAACACATGAGAAGTATCAAACTGAAAACACACTAGATTGATTTATTAAAATCATAAGCTTGATCTGAAATATATTAAAAGATAAGTATGTCACGTAAACGTACTTTAAACATAAACATTGACACTTTTCCTAAAAAAGCACATTTATTATAAATAAACATTAAAATGCATGATCTACATATTTTATCATCATAATTAACATATCATACATGTATTTAGAAATATAAAACAAAGATTCTTATCACGGTGATGATAAACAACTAACAAAACGTAAAACAAAAAAAAAGAACGAAAGATAAACATTCAAAATAACAGTTTATCAAAAACAGCATAAAATGCTGACATTATAAATACTTAGGGAGCTACTACTTGATTTTTATGGGGAGGGTGGGGGGGAGGGGGAGGGGTTTGGATGAAATTTTAAAAAAAAGGCAGGACAGGAGTTTTGAGTAAAAGAAAAGGCAGGATGAGCAACTTGGCAAAAAAAAGGCAGGATGACAATTTATGTAAAAAAAAGGCAGGATAAAATATAAAAAAAAAAAGGCAGGACCGAATAGAGAAAAAAAAAGACAGGACAGAGATTACAACTAAAAACCAAATGCAGGACAAAGTTTTTCATCCTAGCCCCCCCCCCCCCCCCCCCCCCCCCCCCCCCCATAAAAATCAAATGGTAGCTCCCTTAGGGTAACAAAACACTTATCAAAGATGCTAAGCATATACTAGGTACGCTAGACGTGCGTTTTGTCTGCATGCCATTCATCAATGCTCTCAGTAAAATGATATGCAAATTGTTAACTACATTAAATGCATAATAAAATAAAACTTACATTGTATCTACTGTTTGATAAATCTATAATCAAAATATTTTCAACAACTACATGTATATACACTATTTGCATACAATTTAGCATTTTTATCTATTGTCATAAAAACAAAATGTCCAATAAAATAAGTAGATTTTGTTTAAACATTTTGTATAATTTTAATCAATGACATACAACATAATGAATACTTGGAGCATGCTCTGTCTATTTGACACAAGGACTGGCCACGATACTCCATCTTTAAACAACTAAATTATTGGCTTAATAATATGTATAAAATTATGAAAGGTTCTTTAATTTGGTACACAATAATTTTAGATCTTTCAAAAAGAAAATCATAAATATAATTATATGTTTCTTATAAACAAATTATCAATACACGAATGTATCAAATTTGTATATAAATGAACAAAAATTGGAATTAAATAACTATATGTAAAAGTGAAATAATTAACTTGTTCAAGGGAGAGTATAAACTCATTCATTCGCCAAACTTGTTGGAATTATAACATAGTACAAAGGGGTGTCCTTATAGCATTCATATTACAATGTACCTCTAACATACATATAACTCATCAAAAGAGTGAATGAACACTACATTTAAGTTCCAGCTGCTATGAATAGCAGTGGAACATCTATAGGATGGTGACTGCTAATTAACGAAATCTAACCAACAGAAATTTACATTTTTTTTTTATTTTTTAAAACCTTCTCAGAGAAATGCACCACTACTCGTTCTTATTGAAAAAAAACTGTCTCCTGCAAAATTTGATTCAAAGCTGCAGCAAACATATATATGCAAATTAGTCTTTCTACTGCGTGTTTGCTTCATACTTGCAAGAACTATGAATAATTACAATATTTTAATGTCATGTTGTCTACAGAAACAATACCTTATTCAAATTAAACAGCAAATTCTGGCCACATACTTTTTAAGATATATGATATTTTTGTATTTGTTGAAGTGCTCAAATGGAATTGAATTTTTAAAAATGCAAAAGAAGGATTTATTTGAAATGCATATTGTGGAGTCGACAATGACATTATTACAGACTACAGCTCTATGAATAATTCATACTTACAAAGCATGATAACTACACATTGAATACCCCATAACGAACTAACAATGCCTCTATGAACTCTCATATATCACATATAATAACTCAAATACCATAAACATGATCACACACCAAATTTCAAATTATTAACTTCCTGGAAAATGCCAGTAGTCATACACAGTCATAATTGTGTTATTTTTTTAATGTTTATGAAGACATATAGAATGTTTATAGATTATTGCAATCTAGCTGCGAACATTCATCATCTTTGCAATAATACTGCAAGCATAACTGTTACTGTTTCTGCAAATTTGAATCAAGCTTGCAGTAAAAACTGTGATGTTCTCAGGAAGTTTGCCACTTTCATTGTTTCTTTTTTTATATCCTTCCTGGTTTTTGATATTATAACTTCTTCCTGTTAAAGTTTGACCCTATATCCTGACATCGTCCGGAAGAATCGCTGCTAAAATACATACATCACAGATTCAAACTTTTTTGACAAGTGAATGCGAACCTAATTGATGCTGTTAAGTAAGTTGCAACCCCTAACATGGATAATTACCAAGTCTTAATATCATGTTTGTAAACACCTGGAATTAAAATCATGAGATAATTGTTATATGAACTTTGCTCAAATGAGTATTGTAACGATATATAAAAGATCATACGACGATTAACGTAATTTAACACGGGATATGTTATTATCTTAAAATGAAAATGAAAATAGCTGATTATTTACAATTATATTTAGTAAGATTAATATAACCTGGTATTGTGATTTACTGAGTTCGTTTTCGTGAAAAAAAGTATCAACAAAAATATCTAACTCCGAGATAAATTAGAAAAGGGGGAGTCGATAAAGACTGACAGTACCAAATGTTAGACCTTATCAACCAACGGAATGAGTGGGAAAGAACTGTCATATTCCTGACTTGGTACAGGCATTTTCCAAAGATTTAAAATTGTATCTGCCTTTGTTTATGTTATAAAAATGATAGAGAATACATGTTTACCCTGTTTAATTATCGAGATCAACCATTAACAAGACTGTATTCTTGTTTGTACCAACTAGAGGTGTTTTGTATTAAATTGAGATCAAATACAAAAAAGAGTAAGATAAAAAATGTTTATACAATATTGGGTGGTCGGGATGAAGGGGGAATCATATATGGCACTTTGCAATAATCGAAACAATTATATAGAGTATTCTAGAACTGTTCAACGATTTTGTTATCCAAAATTTAAAGGATTCCTGAAGTAACTGTTTTTGTAAAGTTTGTTAATTAGTCTTTCAATCCAAAACAGGAAGATTTAACGAAAAGTTGATATATAAATATATATTTACATTTTTAGTTTCAACCCCCAAAAAGGGATAATTAGTAGGTCTTACTATATGTATAATGTTTTTAAACTCTTGAAATTAAAATCATGAGAAAATTGTCATATGAACTTTTCTCTAATTAATTTTGTTACCACATATAACACGTATAAAAGATCATACGACGATTAACAACATCTAAGTAGTTTAACACGGAATATATTTGAATTTTGTTTAAAAATCAAAATAACTGATGATTTAAAATGAATTTCGTTAAAATGTAATACTAATCAATGCTTTGTTCTTTATCTTTACAGCGCAATTTATGTTTTTATTTATCAATCGCGACAACAATATGTGTTTTTACCATTATAGATTAAAATATATCAAGGATAATAAAACATTTTTTTTTAAACACTGCTGTAAGGAATGACGCACGTCTAATAAGTTAACAAAATGTGAAATACCATTCTTCAGGTAAATAAGGCAAAGTAATTAAGTCGTTTATGTTTAAAAAGACAGAAAGTGCGAAGATCAAACTAAAACTAATATAGGTTGCAATTCTGTAAATATAGACAATGCAATTTCCCATAGGAACTGCCTTTGCGGCTATAACTGTGCAACTTTTATTGTGAAGTTTCGTGAAAAATTATATCCCAGAACGGAAAGTTGATATGCACTACTATTTTATTCAAAGGTCAAAATATAGGGCTGTGCGGCATATTTCAACATTTATATGCCCTGAACTTCTAAGAGTTTAAACTTATACTATATATAATGTTTATAGATTATTGCAATCTAGCTGCGAACATTCATCATCTTTGCAATAATACTGCAAGCATAACTGTTACTGTTTCTGCAAATTTGAATCAAGCTTGCAGTAAAAACTGTGATGTTCTCAGGAAGTTTGCCACTTTCATTGTTTCTTTTTTATATCCTTCCTGGTTTTTGATATTATAACTTCTTCCTGTTAAAGTTTGACCCTATATCCTGACATCGTCCGGAAGAATCGCTGCTAAAATACATACATCACAGATTCAAACTTTTTTGACAAGTGAATGCGAACCTAATTGATGCTGTTAAGTAAGTTGCAACCCCTAACAGGGATAATTACCAAGTCTTAATATCATGTTTGTAAACACCTGGAATTAAAATCATGAGATAATTGTTATATGAACTTTGCTCAAATGAGTATTGTAACGATATATAAAAGATCATACGACGATTAACGTAATTTAACACGGGATATGTTATTATCTTAAAATGAAAATGAAAATAGCTGATTATTTACAATTATATTTAGTAAGATTAATATAACCTGGTATTGTGATTTACTGAGTTCGTTTTCGTGAAAAAAAGTATCAACAAAAATATCTAACTCCGAGATAAATTAGAAAAGGGGGAGTCGATAAAGACTGACAGTACCAAATGTTAGACCTTATCAACCAACGGAATGAGTGGGAAAGAACTGTCATATTCCTGACTTGGTACAGACATTTTCCAAAGATTTAAAATTGTATCTGCCTTTGTTTATGTTATAAAAATGATAGAGAATACATGTTTACCCTGTTTAATTATCGAGATCAACCATTAACAAGACTGTATTCTTGTTTGTACCAACTAGAGGTGTTTTGTATTAAATTGAGATCAAATACAAAAAAGAGTAAGATAAAAAATGTTTATACAATATTGGGTGGTCGGGATGAAGGGGGAATCATATATGGCACTTTGCAATAATCGAAACAATTATATAGAGTATTCTAGAACTGTTCAACGATTTTGTTATCCAAAATTTAAAGGATTCTTGAAGTAACTGTTTTTGTAAAGTTTGTTAATTAGTCTTTCAATCCAAAACAGGAAGATTTAACGAAAAGTTGATATATAAATATATATTTACATTTTTAGTTTCAACCCCCAAAAAGGGATAATTAGTAGGTCTTACTATATGTATAATGTTTTTAAACTCTTGAAATTAAAATCATGAGAAAATTGTCATATGAACTTTTCTCTAATTAATTTTGTTACCACATATAACACGTATAAAAGATCATACGACGATTAACAACATCTAAGTAGTTTAACACGGAATATATTTGAATTTTGTTTAAAAATCAAAATAACTGATGATTTAAAATGAATTTCGTTAAAATGTAATACTAATCAATGCTTTGTTCTTTATCTTTACAGCGCAATTTATGTTTTTATTTATCAATCGCGACAACAATATGTGTTTTTACCATTATAGATTAAAATATATCAAGGATAATAAAACATTTTTTTTTAAACACTGCTGTAAGGAATGACGCACGTCTAATAAGTTAACAAAATGTGAAATACCATTCTTCAGGTAAATAAGGCAAAGTAATTAAGTCGTTTATGTTTAAAAAGACAGAAAGTGCGAAGATCAAACTAAAACTAATATAGGTTGCAATTCTGTAAATATAGACAATGCAATTTCCCATAGGAACTGCCTTTGCGGCTATAACTGTGCAACTTTTATTGTGAAGTTTCGTGAAAAATTATATCCCAGAACGGAAAGTTGATATGCACTACTATTTTATTCAAAGGTCAAAATATAGGGCTGTGCGGCATATTTCAACATTTATATGCCCTGAACTTCTAAGAGTTTAAACTTATACTAAAATTCTATACTAGCCCTACCTCCTTAGAATTAAATTTTAGGCGCTTCCATGATTTTCTATACTGGTAACATTCCCTAGTTATGTCTCTATGATATGAAACACAGAGATCATATCTGGGAACCAGTACGTTAACAAATTAACATATCTATGAATATTATATATCTCCCCAAAAGAGGCGTGGCTTGTGAAACAGCTGTATTTACAAAGTGCAACCTATATCATGTATAAAAATAATTGTTTCAATAAACATTTGTACGATGGTGGTTAATTCTGAATCGCTTGACTGTATTCTGATTCTTCGAGCTCACACTGTCGGTTGGTTTCGTCAAAAGATTTGGTCCTATTCATGCTAATATTAGTAGTGGGCGCGTTGTCACTAATCTGTACAGTATTTGCACTGATGTGAAAAATTCTATGTTGCTCCGATGTTCTGAAAGATGCAAATTTAAAATACAATTTCTGAATAAAAATCCTCTAACAACTATGCACTGGATAAACATGCATCCACTTATTATGTTTTATCATATACGATTCAACAGCAACGTCTAATTCATAGACACACACCGTTGTTAAGATGCGGTTTAGGTCCGATTTTGCTCGAACAGTTAATTTTTTTCTTAAGAAATAGCACATCTCAATAGTAAAATGACACAATAAGAAAAGGAAATTATTCGCAAATATTACGACTATTCTATAGTGGTTAATACATATACCCCTTCTAAATGTCTCTGGTGACATATCGGAGAAACTAGCACGCCTATAATACGGCGATTACACTAATGCAATAATGGAGTGTAGAAATTTAAACAAAAAAGATGACGAACAAGTTTAAAGAATATTCTTTGCACGTACAGACATAGAACAGAAAATACCAGTTTGGTATTTTTGTTATACTTCAATGCTTGTAAAAACGATATATCATACTTTAATGGTTACGGTGATGGTGCTTAAAGTCCAAGATACTACCCATATAAGCTCATTATATATATAATATAAATGTTGATGCCGTTAAATTGTGGAATTAAAAGTCATACCCATCAAGTTTGTTAAGCATTTCTAAATGATAAAAATTTTCATTTTACAGACTGTTCCTATATTGTATTGTCAAAATACAGTCCATACGATAGGAACGAGATATGTGATGTGAATCGCTCGCATACATGTAAAACCCACCAATTGTGTTTATGCTCGTCAAAAGCCCGTTAATAGTGAATATCAGGCTGTTGGATTTTTCTTTTTCATTTCTATGATGTTGCCATTCTTAGGCCTTTTACAGAAGTCATTCAGATAGTATACTCATATAGTATACTAATCCGTGAAGACCATACGTTTACCTGTAATTGTTCATATTTTTAATATTTGGTCTTATTGGATAGTTGCAACATTGGAAAGTACACCACATCTCCTTATTTTCTTGAAAGTATGCACACAATTTCCTTTATTTTAGTATGGCTTCATTATGACGTCATCGTCATGTTGAGTTGGAGAGTGGACACATTTCCAGCTGATTTAACCCTTTAGTTTTGTTGGATTCAGAAGCAAAAAAAAACGAGATGATAAACATGTTATGTATCGAAATAATCCTTGTTAGAGTCAAAACTTACATCTGCCTTATGCTGTTTAAATTACTTGTTGTCGATGAAAAGACCGTTTGATTTTGATTGCATGTTGAAAAATTATCGGTATCACTGCAATAAAACAATGTAAGAAATAATGAAAAAACAAACGAAAATTTCAAATGCAACTATAGAACATGATAAACAATTTTAAATGATATAAATATGTGAAATGTCATGGCATTTCGCTGCTCATGGAGGTTTAATGACACAGTGAGAAAAAAACTTCGTTTACTATGAACGTTACGTCATATCTGTGTTTGGACACACAAATAATATATCTACCGAATTTAATTTTTTTTAATAGGCACTTTGTTGACATTCAAGATGTTGTTCGGTCCTTCATTCTTTCCTTTGATGCATGATGACGATAATAATAATAATTAGTTATGACAAGAATGTTGTTCATCACAGTTTAAGGTTGAATAACCAAAATTTCCAATGGTATTTTACAGGTTTTAAAAGCATCCACCATTTTCATATTTCTTTTCAGCTTAAATGCGCTCTCAGGCAGCAGAAACAATACTGAATGTTAATACCGTTTCTGAACATTGTAATTAAATCTTCTCATTAGATTATTCATCTACTTCGTGACCTGTTAAGATCATTTGGAAATGTGGAAAAAACGAACTGCTGCTTTATTTTTTTTTTTTCAGGTAAATTATTAGTTTATTTTGATGCCGATTACAAACACATATAACGTAAGATAATCGAATATTCAATTCAAAGGTGTATGTTGATGCACCTCAGTTTTTTCGTTAGGTTTATTGTATGCTTTTCCTGACCACGCTAAATGTCATTCCATTAAAGTGTTCAATTTTACTGTGTTATTCGTTATCTTTAATCACTTATAAAATTTCAAAATCCTTGATAAACACAAAGAACAACGCGATCAGAACGTTAAATCTGTACCGACTAAGACATTATCATTTGGCATGATCTTTAAGGAATAGTGTTCTCATAAAACTTTTTTCTGTATTGACTAGTCGTTTTGTTACAGAAAATAGAGACGTATCGATTTTTGTATACTTAGGTAAACAAGAGACAGCAGACCAAGGGGACATTCAAAACTTCTAAGTCGAAGAGAAATTGACCACAAAGTTCACAAAACAATACAAAAAAATAGATTAAAACTGAGTAATTTGAGCATTTTGTTGAAAAGTAATTTCATATCGTAACCAACAAAATTGATTGATTGATTAGTGTTTACCGCCACCTATAGCACTATTGGCTATTTCGTGGTGGTCACGTTTTAATGTTTGAGGAAGCTAGAGTGCCCGGAGACAACCATCGACCCTCGATAGGAAAACTGACAATCTTAGTCAATTAAGTTTAGAAACAACCGCACTGTGGGGTTCGAACTCACAACCTCAGTAACCCGCAAAAAATTCAAGGGCCCACACTCGAAAGATAATCATGCTTGCATTTCAAGACATATAGTTCCATTTATATCTTCCCCTCTGTGTAACATCTACGGGACTGTAAAACAAGGCGACTTCTAAGAATACTGTTTAAAATTATGTATATGCAATCGCGAGTTTTTATACATATCATATAATTATACTGGAGTTTGCAATCAAATGCAACATTTTTCATTCTACTTGTGCAAACAATTTGGTCATAAGCTGTTGTAAGTTAATTGCCGTATTTTTGTTTTCATTTCATTTACCTCTTAAGATCTTGCTGCATATTTTCCTTGTGCTCTTCAATGTCAAATATTCCATCTTCATCAGTTAAATCTACTCCCAATCTGAAGAAGAGAACACTTATGTATTAAAAATAATTGTTAAGCAAAATATTAACAGAAGTATAATTGGCTGCATTCCGTAAATATTATTCATAATAAGTTGGTAATTCGTAAATAATGCTTCACAATGTCACGACTGACAAATACTTTCTTTGCAACTCGTATAAAGTATCCAGCATGTTAACTCTCGTGTCGAACTCGGTGGACTCGAAATTTCGGATGAGTCGAAATATTCCCATGGTCTCGAACTTTGTTTCATATGAGTACATTTATTGACTAATTCTGATGAGTCGAATTTACTGTCCCGTGGTTAACAAATGCATTTGAACAGCATAGTTTATCTCAAACTAATACACATGTGTCAAAACATGACATCAGGGGTACAAATGGATCGACGAGTTAATCTGACAATACACCTGTAATAAAATTTCCGGGCATTGCCCACTGTATTGATTTATGACATGCTTTTTCCGGAAATTTTGATCTATGATTTTCATTGTTCACCATAATAAATTATTAGGGATTCATTGTTTAGATTATAAAAAATAGTTAATATGTTGTAAAATCAATTAACCGTAATCATACATAAATGAGCTTGGTTTTGCATAAAGTGAGGACTAAGAGATCACAAATACTCAATCGGCGTTTTGTAATTATCATACCGAAAAAGATTAAAATAAAAGAAAACGAAAAGAGATCTAAATTTTCTCAATCTTCTCTTATAAGAGAATGAACGATTTGTCAACTTAAATATCATGTTAAGATCGATTGCAAATTTTCCCTCGACTAAAAATATCAGCTGTATTTGTACGAGGCTAAGACGCTACATCTGTTTCGAGCCGAGTACAAATACATCTGATATTTAAAGACACTCAACAGTTATTGTCTTTATCCTGCAACTAATTTTGTACATTGTTTTTGCTTTGAAAAACAGAAAAACTCACATTTATTGCATTTATTTTCGATTTAAAATATACTAGTTCCTGTTTATTTTACCTTTGATGCGTAGTAATATTACAAATAATTCATACAATCAGCTGATGGGTACGCCGAATTGAATCTCGTATGGTCAACAATAATACATCGCTCGAAGTAAATAATTATTTATTATAACATAACAACTATTTTCAACAGTAAAAACAAATAACAAAACATTATCCGATTTAAAACAAAAGTGTACGATTTATCCTACGCTCCAGAATTTTGAACTGAACGTGACATTCACTGAACAATTGTTGCATGGTTGATTATGTGTGTTACACATGCACACATTCAAGTTTTGAACTTGAAGGTTGGCGCCGTAGAAAATGGAGTGAATCCTGCTGTTCATGTTTGTTTATTAGCAGAAAATGGGTTTATTTCATATTGCTTTAAATAAATGCTTGAAAACAACCATACCGTAAATTAATCTATTATAGTTCACACAAGGTCAAGCAATACGTCATTGGAATGCGACTGAATACACATTCTGAGGTCATGGAGGTTCATACAACACTCGTCAACAGCAATACACAAACGTAGTCCGGCAGTGGGCGGAGTTTTAAAGCGATATCTGTATAGTATACAAAAACAGGCTAGCGATATCTGTTGGGCTGTTAATGTATGATAAGACACCCGATTGCAAGGATAAATCCAGAATATCGATCCCTACCAATTTTCATCTGGATTTATCTTAGCCTTACCAAGCTAAGAAAGAGTTGTATCCCTTGGTTTGTCCAATTTCCGGTATTCGTTTGAGTCGAAATACGGGTATCTCGAAATATTTCTCAGGTACGGCTGACTTCGAGATAACGAGACTCGACTGTAGTTTGAAAAATCTGAACTTATCTATCTTTTTATTTTAAACGTTTTTTTTCTTCTTCTTCACATTTCCTGTTGCTTTCTCATTGTCTGATTCCAATAACAAATAAACCGAAAATTTGTATCAGCAACTAACAAGCGGGATGTTTAAATGACAACATATATATTTATTGATTTTATTTGATTGATATTTCAAAAGACAATCATTGTTAATTCATATGCGTACTCATTATTATACCTAAATAAAGAAGAACTCATACAGAACCTTTAGCATGTTTAAAAAGACAAAAAAGAACAAAATTTAAAGTTTTGAAAAGTTCTATATTACTTTTAGATAACTTGAAAATGTCTTGTCACTCAATAACCCACATTTTAGTGAGTGTTTGCATGTCAAACATCACAGAAAACTAGAGAATAAGGAAAATAACGAAACTCTCAGTTTATTATAATCTATGATGACTTGACATTATGTTTTGGTCTTTTACATATATCTCAAGAAAACATTGGATTTGAAGTGAAATTATAAACTCATGGGAATACATAACATGAATAGCTCAACTGACAACTTACTCCAAATATTTTTTCTTCGCATTTCGAAGTTTCAATTTTAATAGGATATTTTCTCTTTCTGTATTTCTTTCACGATCAATTAATCTTGCAAATCTGAAATAGAAAATTTTTTTTTTTTATTTTACACAGGCATTATTATCACAGGACAAACAGAATTTTGTCTTTAAAAAAAGAATCTATTATAGCAGCAAAGTAGTGTATATCAAAAGACTATCTTCAATCATGATGATTATTTTTGTTCATTGTCATGATATTTTGGGATTTTGTATACAATCATTAATGTTTACATGTCAGTAAATATACTACAGTTATTTGTACTCATTTACCAGTTAAAATGGAATCTGTTAATGCAATTTATCAACTCGGAATTCTGTTTTGTACTTTCTGATTTGACCTTTGTCCCGCCCCTTTCAGTTTGTTTTAGCAATCATGCGGTTTAAACTTTTGGGCTTGAACTGTTTTTCTAAAGCTGATTTTTTTTTAAATTTAATATATGGGAACATTTATTGCGTGAATTTGTCTTGACGACGACTTGATTTACAGTTGACGTTGAGGCCGTCTTGCAAATGATGTTCCGTAATCAAATTGTATTGACGTTGCTGTTGTAAGGACAGTATGCATTTTTGACGTAGCAACAGCACGTTCATGTATTTATGTCTATAATATTGTCATTGTCTGATTCAGATTTTCCTTGTATAGTGTCGGTAATATGGAAATCCAACATTTATTTACTGATGTAGGTGTGGGTATGGATAGAAAAAAATGTACAAATGTTGCATGAAGGAAAAAACCCCTAAAAAGTCATTGGTGGGTTTCAAATATCGGTTAAAATTCGTTCGACGTCCTTTATCCATTAGTTCAGATAAATCAGGTATTAAATATTTCTAAGCAGAAAGAAGTATGGTAAAAACTTACAAAAATATGTGTTACGTTTTTTAAGTCCATCGGTTAATCTAATTATAAAGAAAACTTATACAAATGAATTTGATGTGTTAGGACAATAAAGGACAGGAAATGCACTCTCTGATTTAAAAAGACTTTTTATGAAGGTATATTTTTAATAATTTCTTATGCCAATATCGAAGGTCTTTATAATGGGCAGGTGATACACGCGAGGACTTGCAGACTATCATCTGATGTATCACGTAAATGGAAGACTTAAGTTTACTGCGCTTTATTCACATTTCGATAATTTCTGTCAGTTTAGTGATGTCTGCGTTCAAATATTTAAAACTCCCAATTATTATACGAACATAAAATGCAGATAAAACAAAAAAAGAAACAAAATTCTGCCAGTGTGAGTATGGCGTAATCGATGGGCTTTCAGTCAATATTCCTATTACGTGTTTTGTAATATCAAAAAAGTCAGAAGGAGCATATATGATAATACAGGGTGTAGATAAGGCGTCTGCTATGAACCTCTACAAAACATGTTCATTAAAGTCAGAACTTCGTGTCTTGTCAAGAGAATACTTTGTAATTAAGCAAATTATTAAGATTGCGACAAAGTCACTTGGGAAAGAGCTGTTTAGGATAAGCGCCTTGTAACGATATGGTGAGAAGCAGCCATATCTCTATCATTATTGTCCTGTTACGTTTGCAATAAGAAATATGTTAATCGCAGACCAACAGAAAAAGAAGGTCTGGCGTACAATCTTTTAATCTGGATATCAATGATATTAGTTTATTTCCTATTAGACTGGAATCCTTCAAAGACCAATCCGACTGGTTGATGGAAAGAAAAAACTGTTGTGCCAAATAAGTGGTTTTAGCAGTGTACTGGTGAACATGTAGTCACTGAAATTAAATTTAGACAGCTGATTGTTCTGCGAATCAGGACGATACACTTATATCAATTGAAGGTTATGTGTAAATTTTGGCGGTTATTAGTCAAAGTCACTTCCCGGAGTTTGAACAAAATTATGATGGTGAGATTTTCAGACAGACTATCTGGTATGAAAAAAGATAATTTTGGCATGCCACCATAGACACTTTGGGTTATGTTGTTGACAAAGGACGGTTGAATAATTAAACACCTTGAACAAGACTTTTTTGGGGTATGTAATTTGGTATGGTTGGCTTTTAAGGAAAAGGCGGTTCTTAAATTTTATAAGAATGTCCATAAAATATTCAAATGTTTTAATCGGTGTTACTTAAGTAGCAGACCAGACGTTTTTGAGATGAAAATTCGAACTAAAAGAAGATGTGACAGAAATTAGCATAAAGTTCATCAATTAATGTGTTCTTTTGTTCATCTGTAATAAATATTCAAAAAAAGAATATATACATTTTTTTGTGAACTTTACAAATTTTGATAATTCTATTGATAAAATTGTGCACCCTTTGTTAAAAGTAACTGATCATTTTTAGCTTACCTTCGTTAAAGAAATTTCAAAAGAAACGAACTCAATGTCTGCTAATGCTGATGTTTCATCGATACTTTGTAAAATTTTCTTAAATTTTCGAATGAAATTTCAAAAAAAATATTTTGAAAGTTTGCAGTTAATTAAATGTTTTGAAGGGCATGCGTTTTGATAATTTAGTTTTCAACTTTTCTACGTTTATATGTATTTAAATATATTATCACGCTTATACAACGTTAACACCTATTTTTTGTATCCCTCTTTCATTCAATTTGATGTATTGGCATGAACAGTTTTGTAATTCCGTCATATGTCAGTTTTCTTACTGTTATCAGGTGTTTTGCACCAACTAACGGCAACAAATTGTATACAGGCTTTGAGCATGTACATTATCAATTGGGCAGGATGAAACGAAAAATTCTCGGAAAACAAATGATGGCGAGATATGCCCTTGTTAATAGGGCAAATTTGATCGTTAACAATTGTTTAAGTCATCAACACACACTAAATGAGTAACGGGTCACCCTTATTTCCAGCAAAAGTCAACCAACAGGAAGGATACGCAAAATCTATCTGTAGTTTTACATTACTAAATAGTGTACCACAAAATCACCTTTAAACTATATGCACTACACAAAATCAATTTCATGATATTGTCTAAGCCGAAGTGCCGTTATTCTGAAAATGTCAGTCAATCGGTCTGAAATTCAGCATCATAAACCTATGAACAAAAATGCAGAAAACCGGCAAATGTCGATGTCTCTAACCAAATAGGAAATCCGACCCTGGAAAATTTTTTAATCTTCAAAAATTAAGTTCATTAGTTTTCGAATTGTAAACTCAGATGTTGTTTTTTTTCAAATGAAGAGGATGCAAACTTTGACTGTGTTCACTTGGGGCAATACATTTCATTCGTTTATATATTGTTAATTTGGGACTGCGTATTGAAACAAATATATATTGATTAAATATGATTGCTTGCACATGTTGCATTTGTTGCAAAACAAAAACAAATCAGATACTAAAATGTTCCATAAAACCTATCATTTGACTGTCGATAAAATATTCATGATCAAACTTTGTATCAGATGTCCACATTTCATAAACTGCAGAAAAGAAAAAAAGACACTGATTGTAATTCCCCACGGCGGTGATACAATATAAGCAAGTTACGCTCACTCAGTGGACGTACTTGGTTTTGCTCCGTATGTTAGTCATGCAATGCTCTGATGTGTGTTTTTATCTTAACTTTAGTATTCTTAATATTTTTACGGGATTTGAACATCTTCAAAGTACTGTTGCCTCTAATTTATTCATTTTTGAATACCTTAATTGAGATTCTTCCATTAGGGTTGTTTTCCTTTCAGCTTCTTTATTCAAATTCTCTATTTCGTTGAATTTCGTTTCTACATTTTGTTTAAGTAAGGCTATTTCGCCATCTTTTTTCGATAGGAGTAAATCCATGGACTGAACACTGATTATAAACAGAAAAAACAACAAGCTAGTAGGTGCAAATGAACATTGATGTGAAGTATTAAACATGATAACCTTCAATTTGGCTTGCAAATGTCAAGTAATCGTGTAAATAATGATAACCAAAGGTAGGTTGTTTACGGCACAAGACGGGTTTAGTTTTTTTTTTACATGTAATTGATAAAACTTTATTAGAACATTAGACACAATAGCTGTGAATGCGGAAATACGACTTATGAGTTTGAATTTCCGTTTGGTATTTTGCGCCTATCTTTTATATTTGGAGGTTGACAATAAAGATGAACTACAAATCAAACTTGATCACGGAAAGGATGTTACAGCTTGCAGCTTCTACCCAGACTTTGTAAAATGTCAGCAGTGTCTGAGCAGAAAGTTGATGAACCAGGGGTATGTCAAAGAACGTCTTGTCCTTTTTCTAAAAAAGTGCTTCGGACCTTGTTGATAAATATTCCGTACCAACTTCACAAATAATACACGATGGTCTTGAAGTATAGATTCTGGGTACTGACGTTGTTTATCATCTTAATAACGTGTTGTAGTATTCTTTTATTTGTCTTTATGAATATTACTTTTACTGTTAAGTCTGGTTTTGGTGATATCCATTTGACGTGGCTCTGTACTTATACATCCCGTCATTGTATTATTGTTCTATGATAATTTTTGTATTCTTGTCTTTCAATTTTTGCTAATATGCTTTGTCTATATGCCTTTTTGTGTTTCTTTGTTACATATGACGTTGCTCTGTACTTATACATCCCGTCATTGTGTTATTGTGCCATGGTAAATTTTTGTATTCTTGTCTTTCATTTTTGCTAATGTGCTATGTCTATATGCCTTTTTGTGCTTCTTTGCTACATATTTGTTTGTTTTTATAGTGATTAAGATTACAACACAATGTTGACTGCTGTACCCCTATTTTTGACATTTTTACCTATTAAATCTGTTTGTTTTGTTCACACATCGTTGTCAATATAATAGAATTTTATGCAACTGTCATACAAGTGAGAGGTTTAGCTAGCTATAAAACCAGGTTTAATCCACCATTTTCTACATAAGAAAATGCCTGTACCAAGTCAGGAATATGACAGTTGTTGTCCATTCTTTTGATATGTTTGAGCTTTTGATTTTGTCATTTGATTATGGACTTTCCGTTTTGAATTTTCCTCGGAGGTCAGTATTTTTGTGATTTTACTTTTTACTACCAACCTAGTATGAGCTGGAATTTATTAAAAATGTGGTTTTTGTTCGACTAAAGCTTTGTGTTTTTCTTTCACATAAATAGATTATTGAATTAAATAAAGAAAAGCAGCGGTCAATAGAGGAAGTTGAGTTCTGTTTTAGTTTCTTATTGTTGAAAAATTATTCAGGTGTTTGAGAGAGAGAAGTCCGAACATAACATTAAAGAAGTATCATAAAAAGTACCATTCTATTAACTCATTCTTTTGTGAGTTGGCTTCGGATATCATTTCATGAGTTGAATGTTTGAGATATTCAGTTTCCATTAGTCTGTTATACAATCGTAAAGTGTTAATAAGTTCCATAATTTCTCTATCTTTTTGTGAGATTATTGCTTCATATCTGCAAATTAGAAATTGTGAAATGTCATTCCTTATAAAATGTTAAATAACATAGACTGGTTATGTTATAATGTTGGTCTTCTGAAAACGAAAAACAATTAACTTCAACAGTCCAAGTAATTTTCACCAAGGATAATGGACAAACTATTATTAAGTATGTCTAGACCAAGCTCCTGTTTACATGTATATGAAAGTGCATGATTGAAAAATGTTATCGCATAATTTCTTCAATCCGAATATAAGCTCAAATCACATGCTCTCTTCATTAGGTATATTCACACAGCAATAAACTTAAACGAGAATGTGAATTTCAGATGTCCCATTGTCTATTTAAAAATATACAATAATTTCAACAATTTTATATTTTAAGATTATATAAAGGACTGTATATCGCACTTTGATATATTCAATTTTTTTTATGTCTTAGTAAAATTGTTCGATATACTTGTGGATTGTAAAATAATTTGACCGCGAGCAACACTGAAGAAACATACATTGTCGAAATGCGCATCTGGTGCAGAATATTTATTATCGTAATGATATAACCACCACTGATTCGATACCTCTGCTGGTGAATAACATTAACGGTGTGCTTTATTTACTGAACAAGATGCTCATTAGGTCAATAGATACTCAAGACCTAAATATGTGAAACTCTAAACGACTCACACAAACGTTGAACAGCAGGAAAAACCAAACGGACTAAACGTATATACAAATATGATAAAAGCTATAAGACACCATGGGTTAACCAATGTGAATCAATTAAAGACAGAAATCCAACGCCTGGTTTAAACGACAATAAACGACGACAAAAAAGTTGTAAAAATAAACATTTCAGAAGTTAAATATTTCGCAGGTAACAACAAACTATGTTGTATTTTGTATACTGTTGTTTGTTTTAGTCGTTTTCTGTTTTTGCTATGGCGTTTTCTGTTTTTGCTATGGCGTTTTCAGTTTATTTTCTACTTATGAGTCTGAATGTCCTTTTGGTATCTTTCTCCTTTCTTTTAGAAAATTATCAATTTCATATTGATATCGCAGGAATGAAAAAAAAGTTTTTAGACTTGAATTTATAGAGAAATTTATTTCCCCAAATTTATGCTTTCACAAATGATATTTCACATATATTACAATAAATCTTGCTAAACTATGTATTTTTGTTGCCTATTTTATTTCAAAGCCTGCATATCAAATGCCGAAAAATTAATTCATATCTTATTTTCATTTCAATGCATGAATTCTAAAATCATTAAAAACAATGATTTTAAAAATAATTTCCTTAACATGAAAAATAAAAAGGATAGACAAGAATGAAACCAGTAAAAACAAGAAAGACCAGAAAAAATAGTAAACAGTAAATCCGATTTTGTTTTACAAATTTTACATCAAATGTAAACAAAATATTATCAAATTTAGTCAAGACACAGTAACTGTTAGCTGAGAGGAATTTACCAAGTATTGAATCCCTATTAATAGACTCACTGACCAATCGTTTCTTCATCATAGTAGTTATTACTTCTATACTAGAACCAAATCTTTAATAAATAAATACCTTCGAATAGCAAACAATATAGTCACGTAGAAAAGTAAATAAAATTCGAAAGTGTGTCTACATATAATATAATACCTTTTTTCTATTGTTTCTAACTGCTTCTTTTCTGTTGCAATAGCAGGAGATTGTACATCAATTTCATTATGTTCATGCTTGTGATTTGTAATTTGTTTTTGTTTTTGTCTGTTCTTTTTAACGTAATCTCTCAATGCGTCTATTTCATCATTCTTAGTCAAGAGTAAGTCTTCAAGCCTGTATGTACATTAACACTTCATATGATTCGTTGAATGAAACACTTAAAATATACGCACATTTCATTTTCAACGTACTAGTATTTAGTTATATAATATAATTCTTATTTGAATTTGACTAAATAACTTAACTAACATTTCTTTAATAATCTGCAATTAATCCCTGAAAGGTTTATTTCAAAATGGAATGCAAGATCTTTTCTGTATAACTTTAACAGACATGACTCTTTAATATGGAATCTAACATTTCTTTAACAGCGGGAACGAAGCATTTGACTAAGAAATATTATGCGTAGCATAATCCATAAAATACCAAGTAGAAATCATTATTTTTATTCGAAAAAAACAAAAAAACTAATGATCAATAGGGGAAAGACAAAAAAAAGACAAACATATGGAAAATGCAGATGTCTTAGCATTACGAATCATAACATATTGTCGAATTTTAAAAGTATGACAACTATAAAAAAAAAATGATAGAATATAGACAAATGTAAATTGGGTCATCAAGTTTGACGCCTTTTTAATTAAAAAAAAACATTACCGTGTTCAAAAAGCTTCAATAGTACCTAACTTTGATTCCATAACTTATTTTAAGCATACTTTTCTACTTTGCTTAGCATATGAACATTTTGCGCAACAGCTAGGTGATACTGGTGATCCATGTATTCTGTCTCTGTTTGAAGCGCTGGTAAAGTGTTCCTGAATCAATCATAATTACTCGTATAAGTATTGTAAAAAAGGGACGAAAAAATCTGTAAATAAAGTATGAGCAAAGGAAAGAGTTTATTTTCGTTTTCATGTACAAAGATTATATTTCCTTCTGATTTTTACTATTGTTTCCATTGAAAACTCATTAGTTGTAATGTTTATGTCAAATACGTAGTTTATTTCATTACACAAGCACCACTCAAGCATTGTTGCGAGGAAGAACGACACAAATCAACAATACACATGTTTTACTGTCACCTTCACGAATTAGTTGACCGATACGTGTTTGTGATCAAATCATGACACACATCCTGCCGCGGTCGTTAATCGAAATACACAAGTATAATCGTCTTATGTATGAATTTCCTGATTGTGTAATATTCCCTACTTTGTCATTCTTGAAAGGATCTGAATCCGCATTGTGAGAAAGGCATGCATCAGCAGGGTGCGCTTATTAAGGTTATTCATGTGGTCTTGATTTTGAAAAGCGATCCCATATGTTTTCTCTCCTGCTTTGTGTATTCAACATGTAATACTGAACATTGGTAAACCACTGTTGTCTTTTGTCATGTTTATATGATTATTGTTTCTTCAGAATATATATATCTGTGTTTTGATTGATTCTTCAAAGAAGTATATTAAGTGAAAATTTAAAATTTAATAAACAACAATATCGAACTCCATGGAAGATTCAAAACGTAAAGTCCCTTAACAAAAGGCAAAATCAAAAGCTCATACACATCAAACGAATATAAAACAACTGTCATATTCCTGACTTGGTATAGAACATTTCTTTAAGTAGAAAATGATGGATTAAACATGGTTTAATAACTAGTTAAAGCTCTCACGTATGACATGTATGACAGTCGTAAACGATTTCTTTATATTGACAATGTGTGAGCACAACAAACAGGTAAAAATGTCAACAACTGGGTTACAGCAGTCTACAAACAACTATGTCAACAATAAAAAAAAATATATAAAGAAAGCAAATCAGCAAAAGTGAAATAAGATTACAAAAAAATGACCATAGCACAATAACACGAAGAACACAATGGTGGGATGTGATTGTTTTTATGTTTTCTTGTTCATGCATGGGTCCCAATATGCGATTTCGTTTATGTGTCCACATTCTACATTCAATAACTAGGTGTTGATTGAGTAAAGTAATAGCAACCGAGTCTAGTCAGCATAATCAACACAAACAACTAGATTGTCCAGTAACTTTTAATGTATTCAAAAAACACCGACTTTGCCGTGCATTTTGTAATAGTACATCACTTGACCTGAGCCGTTGTTGACCTAGCTATTATTGACCTGAGTCATTGTTGACTGAAACGTTCTTTTCCAAAAGTGTATTGTTTTCATCATTTGTCAGACAATTGCCACTTATAAGCTTACATGATTCAACACATTTAAGGGGCAGATGACTAAGAACTGATGTTAATTTCAATTGATAAGGTAATCGGAACACATTTGTAATAACACTTTAAAAGTTTTCTTTTTTCCGGAATATTTTCATTGAGTTATTGTTTGAGAAATAACGTATGCTCACCTAATCAAAATCTTCAAATTGAATGTATTTTAACAACACGGTGTAACAACACGGCATCTGTCACTACCGAGTTCATGCTTTATTTTTAGGGGGGTCGTGGTGCTCAGTTTTTCGTTTCCTTGTAGTGTCTGTTATGTTAGTTAGGTCATCGTTAACATTAAAAGGACATGAAAATCTATCACAATAATTGGGTCAGAAATAATGTCGCCCAATGTTGTCAAGTTCTACCAGTTTACGTTCAAAATGTTGCAGATATCCTAACACTCTATAGAATTAATACACCGCATTTTAGCAAGTGATTGTATTTCATATCTCTATTAAATTAACAACAGGGAAACTACTTCAATAAAACGGTTTGCTTCATATATAGATGTTTTGTCTTAATACTTACACACGTGGTTAACTTTAGTCGAGGATCTATGACAATATAACGAATCCATCTTTCCAATCGTCAGCTTTGAATTTATCAGTAGTAACTTTTCTCCTGGATTATCGTATGGTGTAGATATTCCAGCTTATATGGTACGGGCTAAGTTAATATAGGATCATTCTTAACGCCACATTATTTGCATTACAAATGACTCCATATTTAAAAGAGGGGTTTGATATTTCTAGATGTTGATGCCATATCGCTGAAAGTATGGGTTTTAATCAAAAGTAATGTTTCTTCTGTCCTGATAATTTATTGCTTTACAATTTGACATTTGTCGTTAATTTAGTTTGTGTTGGAATAGTCTGACTCCTGATGAATTTCACATGTTTAAAAATACTATAAATCTCATGTATACATTTAATTTGATTTACTTACTCATCAATGCGTTTTCCATAGGGCCGCAGCTTCCGTTTATGTTTTTTGGTTTTCTTATTGACATTGTCTAAGTCTTTCCTGTTGAAAAAGCAAAAAGCAATTAATGAACCAGTTTATTCTTTCCTTGAGGATGGAAATATTGATATTGATATTGTTAGATAAAGGGTTTCATTTAGATTTAGACCTATTTGATCGCATGTTTTAGAGTTCCAACTGCATTATTATTTCTTTGCTTTACACAAATATCCCTTATGATTACAATAATGTTATTAAACTGTATTTAGTAGACAACGAAGTCAGGATGGGATGGGATGAACTCAATACAGACATTTCCTTAAAAAGTAAAAACAACAAAATGACCGAACTGCGAGAAAAATTCAAAACGGAAAGTTCCTAATCAAATGGCAAAATCAAAAGCTCAAACATATCAAAGGAATGGATAACAACTCTCATATTGGACTGAAACTAGGTAGGAACATCTGAGGGGTTATTTTTCGTTTATAACAATAATTCACCGAATTTTAATATAAGATGTTGTAAAGGTTTTTTAGTAATGAAATTGACACATTTGGTTCCAGAACATGAATATTAAGAATTTAAAATATGTGGTTCATATTTTGACACAATGTCCCAGCAGCAACATGTTTATTAAACAGATTTCCCATTCGTAAACCGCTGATGATATTTCTGATTTAGACCAGGTATGTGAAAATTGTGTTAGTTTAAACTAGCTTTTGTTCAGAAAGTTCCCTTTTTTTAGCTCACCTGGCCCGAAGGGCCAAGTGAGCTTTTCTCATTACTTGGCGTCCGTCGTCCGTTGTCCGTCGTCGTCCGGCGTCGTCCGTCGTCGGCGTTAACTTTTTACATTTTGAACTTCTTCTAGAGAACCACTGAATGAAATGAAACCAAACATGGCATGAATGTTCCTTATGAGGTGCTGACCAAGTGTTGTTACTTTGTAGCCGATCCATCATCCAAGATGGCCGCCAGCGGGGAACTTAGTTTAACATAGGAACCTATGGGAAATGCATACAAATGACTTCTTTTAGAGAACCACTGAATGAAATGAAACCAAACATGGCATGAATGTTCCTTATGAGGTGCTGACCAAGTGTTGTTACTTTGTAGCCGATCCATCATCCAAGATGGCAGCCAGCGGGGGACTTAGTTTTACATTGGACCCTTTGGGAAATACATAAAAATGTCTTCTTTTAGAGAACCAATAAATGGAATGGAACCAAACATGGCATGAATGTTCCTTATGAGATGTTGACCAAGTGTTGTTACTTTGCAGCCGATCCATCATCCAAGATGGCCGACAGCGGGGGACTTAGTTTAACATAGGACCCTATGGGAAATACATAAAAATGTCTTCTTTTAGAGAACCACTGAATTGAATGAAACCAAACATGGCATGAATGTTCCTTATGAGATGCTGACCAAGTGTTGTTACTTTGCAGTCGGTCCATCATCCAAGATGGCCGACAGCAGGGGACTTAGTTTAACAAAGGACCTATGGGAAATACATACAAATGTCTTCTTTTAGAGAACCACTGAATGGAATGAAACCAAACATGGCATGAATCTTCCTAATGAGATGCTGACCAAGTGTTGTTACTTTGTAGCCGATCCATCATCCAAGATGGCAGCCAGCGGGGGACTTAGTTTTACATTGGACCCTATGGGAAATGCATACAAATGACTTCTTTTAGAGAACCACTGAATGGAATAAAACCAAACATGGCATAAATGTTCCTTATGAGGTGCTGACCATGTGTTGTTACTTTGTAGCCGATCCATCATCCACGATGGCCGCCATCGGGGGACTTAGTTTAACATAGGACCCTATGGGAAATACATAAAAATGTCTTCTTTTAGAGAACCACTGAATTGAATGAAACCAAACATGGCATGAATGTTCCTTATGAGATGCTGACCAAGTGTTGTTACTTTGCAGTCGGTCCATCATCAAAGATGGCCGCCAGCGGGGGACTTAGTTTAACATAGGACCCATGAAATACATACAAATGTCTTCTTTTAGAGAACCACTGAATGGAATGAAACCAAACATGGCATGAATCTTCCTTATGAGATGCTGACCAAGTGTTGTTACTTTGTAGCCGATCCATCATCCAAGATGGCAGCCAGCGGGGGACTTAGTTTTACATAGGACCCTTTGGGAAATACATAAAAATGTCTTCTTTTAGAGAACCAATAAATGGAATGGAATCAAACATGGCATGAATGTTCCTCATGAGATGTTGACCAAGTGTTGTTATTTTGTAGCCGATCCATCATCCAAGATGGCCGCCAGCGGGGGACTTAGTTTAAAATAGGACCCTATGGGAAATACATACAAATGTCTTCTTTTAGAGAATCACTGAATGGAATGAAACCAAACATGGCATGAATGTTCCTTATGAGGTGCTGACCAAGTGTTGTTACTTTGCAGTCGTTCCATCATCCAAGATGGCCGACAGCAGGGGACTTAGTTTAACAAAGGACCTATGGGAAATACATACAAATGTCTTCTTTTAGAGAACCACTGAATGGAATGAAACCAAACATGGCATGAATCTTCCTTATGAGATGCTGACCAAGTGTTGTTACTTTGTAGCCGATCCATCATCCAAGATGGCATCCAGCGGGGGACTTAGTTTTACATAGGACCCTTTGGGAAATACATAAAAATGTCTTCTTTTAGAGAACCACTGAATGGAATGAAACCAAACATGGCATGAATGTTCCTTATGAGGTGCTGACCAAGTGTTGTTACTTTGCAGTCGGTCCATCATCCAAGATGGCCGACAGCAGGGGACTTAGTTTAACAAAGGACCTATGGGAAATACATACAAATGTCTTCTTTTAGAGAACCACTGAATGGAATGAAACCAAACATGGCATGAATCTTCCTAATGAGATGCTGACCAAGTGTTGTTACTTTGTAGCCGATCCATCATCCAAGATGGCAGCCAGCGGGGGACTTAGTTTTACATTGGACCCTTTGGGAAATACATAAAAATGTCTTCTTTTAGAGAACCAATAAATGGAATGGAACCAAACATGGCATGAATGTTCCTTATGAGATGTTGACCAAGTGTTGTTACTTTGCAGCCGATCCATCATCCAAGATGGCCGACAGCGGGGGACTTAGTTTAACATAGGACCCTATGGGAAATACATAAAAATGTCTTCTTTTAGAGAACCACTAAATTGAATGAAACCAAACATGGCATGAATGTTCCTTATGAGATGCTGACCAAGTGTTGTTACTTTGCAGTCGGTCCATCATCCAAGATGGCCGACAGCAGGGGACTTAGTTTAACAAAGGACCTATGGGAAATACATACAAATGTCTTCTTTTAGAGAACCACTGAATGGAATGAAACCAAACATGGCATGAATCTTCCTAATGAGATGCTGACCACGTGTTGTTACTTTGTAGCCGATCCATCATCCAAGATGGCAGCCAGCGGGGGACTTAGTTTTACATTGGACCCTATGGGAAATGCATACAAATGACTTCTTTTAGAGAACCACTGAATGGAATAAAACCAAACATGGCATGAATGTTCCTTATGAGGTGCTGACCATGTGTTGTTACTTTGTAGCCGATCCATCATCCACGATGGCCGCCATCGGGGGACTTAGTTTAACATAGGACCCTATGGGAAATACATAAAAATGTCTTCTTTTAGAGAACCACTGAATTGAATGAAACCAAACATGGCATGAATGTTCCTTATGAGATGCTGACCAAGTGTTGTTACTTTGCAGTCGGTCCATCATCAAAGATGGCCGCCAGCGGGGGACTTAGTTTAACATAGGACCCATGAAATACATACAAATGTCTTCTTTTAGAGAACCACTGAATGGAATGAAACCAAACATGGCATGAATCTTCCTTATGAGATGCTGACCAAGTGTTGTTACTTTGTAGCCGATCCATCATCCAAGATGGCAGCCAGCGGGGGACTTAGTTTTACATAGGACCCTTTGGGAAATACATAAAAATGTCTTCTTTTAGAGAACCAATAAATGGAATGGAATCAAACATGGCATGAATGTTCCTCATGAGATGTTGACCAAGTGTTGTTATTTTGTAGCCGATCCATCATCCAAGATGGCCGCCAGCGGGGGACTTCGTTTAACATAGGACCCTATGGGAAATACATACAAATGTCTTCTTTTAGAGAATCACTGAATGGAATGAAACCAAACATGGCATGAATGTTCCTTATGAGGTGCTGACCAAGTGTTGTTACTTTGCAGTCGGTCCATCATCCAAGATGGCCGACAGCAGGGGACTTAGTTTAACAAAGGACCTATGGGAAATACATACAAATGTCTTCTTTTAGAGAACCACTGAATGGAATGAAACCAAACATGGCATGAATCTTCCTTATGAGATGCTGACCAAGTGTTGTTACTTTGTAGCCGATCCATCATCCAAGATGGCATCCAGCGGGGGACTTAGTTTTACATAGGACCCTTTGGGAAATACATAAAAATGTCTTCTTTTAGAGAACCAATAAATGGAATGGAACCAAACATGGCATGAATGTTCCTTATGAGATGTTGACCAAGTGTTGTTACTTTGCAGCCGATCCATCATCCAAGATGGCCGACAGCGGGGGACTTAGTTTAACATAGGACCCTATGGGAAATACATACAATTGTCTTCTTTTAGAGAACCACTGAATGGAATTAAACCAAACATGGCATGAATGTTCCTTTTGAGTTGCTGACCAAGTGTTGTTACTTTGCAGTCGATCCATCATCCAAGATGGCCGACAGCAGGGGACTTAGTTTAACAAAGGACCTATGGGAAATACATACAAATGTCTTCTTTTAGAGAACCACTGAATGGAATGAAACCAAACATGGCATGAATCTTCCTTATGAGATGCTGACCAAGTGTTGTTACTTTGTAGCCGATCCATCATCTAAGATGGCAGCCAGCGGGGGACTTAGTTTTACATTGGACCCTATGGGAAATACATAAAAATGTCTTCTTTTAGAGAACCAATAAATGGAATGGAACCAAACATGGCATGAATGTTCCTTATGAGATGTTGACCAAGTGTTGTTACTTTGCAGCCGATCCATCATCCAAGATGGCCGACAGCGGGGGACTTAGTTTAACATAGGACCCTATGGGAAATACATACAATTGTCTTCTGTTAGAGAACCACTGAATGGAATTAAACCAAACATGGCATGAATGTTCCTTATGAGTTGCTGACCAAGTGTTGTTACTTTGCAGTCGATCCATCATCCAAGATGGCCGCTAGGGGGGGGGGGGGGGGGGGCTTAGTTTAACATAGGACCCTATGGGAAATACATACAAATGTCTTCTTTTAGAGTACCACTAAATGGAATGAAACCAAACATGGCACGAATGTTCCTTATGAAGTGCTGACCAAGTGTTGCTACTTTGTTGCCGATTTACTGTTCAAGATGGCCACCAGGATATTTTATTAAATAACGGGACCAATATTAATCAAAATTTGGCCTCAATCATTATTTGGGTATCTGTTATGATTTTTATCTATCTTTACGTGATTTCTAAAACCAAAGTAGAGTCAGGTGAGCGACACAGGCTCTTGAGAGCCTCTTGTTTGTATCCCAATCATAAGTAAAGAACTCAAATAAGTTCAGTATAGATTAAAAATTAATTCTTGAAAAAGATTTGATATATAAAAAAAACACAAAATCTACGGATGAATACCACACTTTAATAATGTAAACATACCAATGTGCAAGTTCTAGAAACTGTTGCTGGAATAGGTACTCTGTCTCAGGTTGCAACGCTGGTTTACTCATATATCTACGAATCAATTAAATATATTATAGGTAAAGAGAACAACAAATCTACCGTTTATGAGATTTTCATTGTAATCAATTTATTTTCATCTGATATTTGTGCTTTTTATTGTTACGGAAAAATTGGTTGCCTTTCTGAACAAGGTAAAAACATTAGCAGCTGTATTTTATTTTTTATTTTTGTGGTCTTGTCCAACATTTTTATTAATTCTTTAGTATGGTTTATTTTTCTTATGCGTTATCAAATTAATTTTGTGTAATTACAGTTTTAAAAATATTACACGTGATGCAATCCTTGTAATCAACACAATGAATTGAGGTGTACTACTATTTACAATTGATGTGATTCTTTTTTTTTTCTTTTGAACTGATGAGATATCTTTTAAAACGCTAGTCATTGCCGAGAATGATGATGAATTGTATTTCTTTCTTGGAATGTCTATATTAGTATTGAACAAAACTTTTGCGCTTTTTTTTTAACATTTACATGTTTACTGCGGCGATTTTAAAATGAACGTTGCAGTATTATTATTTAAGTTTAGAAAACGCCGTCTTAAATGATCAAAAAACTGTTAGTCGTTGAATAAGAAGGATTCTAGAATGTGTGTTATAAGGAGTTTCCAAGTAATACAGGTCAATTTAATATTCTTGAGTTAAACGATAAACTGTTGTTGCAAATGTCTGCAGAAGGACACATATGTGTAAAACAACTGTCATATTCCTGGCTTTTAACAGGCAATTCCTTATGAAAAATCATCTAATCATTTATTTGTATCCAAACATTTTTTCATTTTACAGTGCATGTTTGCTTCATATGCAATTTTTTAACAGTTACAATTTAATTAATAATTCACAAATCGGTCAATGCGATGATGATTGTATCTCCCATTACCATGGTATAGGTAACAAATGAACCGCTACGAGATAAACAGAAATTGACAATCAATGTTTTGTTAGCTATTATTCGTGTGTTTCTTTGTCCTATATGTTCTCCAATTTATTTGTATTGTGGTCCTGTCATGTGATGTTGTCGTTTTGGTGTTGTGTTTGACAATGCCATAAAAGCGGGAGGTTTGGCATGCCACAAAACCAGGTTCAACCCACCATTTTTTTCTTAAAATGACCTGTACCAAGTCAGGAAAATGGCCATTGTTATATTATAGTTCGTTTCTGTGTGTGTTACATTTTAATTTTGTGTTTTTGTTGTGTCGTTGTTCTCCTCTTATATTTGATGCGTTTCCCTCAGTTTTAGTTTGTAACCCGGATTTGTTTTTATCTCTATCGATTTATGAGTTTCGAACAGCGGTATACTACTGTTGCCTTTATTCATGTTCAACATTTATGTTAAACGGTGATTTTTTTTTTGGTATGAACACATACTTTTGTAAAATCAATTTATTGATTTTTATTATCATGTTTGTGCTGTTGCACATTTTACTTACTCATTATCTTCTTTAAAACTCGGTCTTCTGAATCGTTTGATTTTCTTGGATTGTTCATCCGTTGATTTCCTAAGAAAAAAGTGCATTCAACATGAAAACATGTCGAAATGTAAATCTGGTGCAATAAATCAATGTTATATGACAAACTACACAAACTTTAATCTAAGACTGAACATAAATGTTGAAGACTCCGATAGAATAAAAAAAATACTACATCTCGTGTTCATGACTTTCATCGTAGGCATGACTAGAGAAAGTGATGCCCGCGCACTCCACTCTGAAGTAACTGTATCATAACAAAGTCAGTGTAGGACTTTCTTTGAGATATTATTGTCTCAAGGAGACACAAATAATGCCCCCACAGATGCAAAGTGTTATTTAAAAAATACACAAATTGAGCATGGGAGCAAATAGGTTTATGGTTCACTTTAGGAGGAGTTATGCAGATACGCTATGCACCTCTTATGCAAGTATGTACTCCAAAAATGACAAAGTTCAACAATCTCCAAAATAAAGCAAATATAAATAAAAATCAACACCCTGACCACATGCGCACCCTAAATATATGTACAAACAGCCAGCAAAGTGAAAACTTCCTAGCATTCAAACTGCAGGAGAACTTATCCGGAAACACTATGCACCTATTATGCAAGTAAATACTCCAAAAAATGACAACGTTTAACTATCTCCCATAAGAGCAAATATCAATATATATCAAAACCCTGACCACATGCACACCTTCAATATAAGTACAAACAGCAAGCAAAGTAAAATTTTCCAAGTGTTCAAATTTTAGGAGTTATCTGGAATAACTGTATACCCATAATGGGACGGAAGAAAGGAAGAAGGACGAAAGGACAGACGGACGGACAGGGGTAAAACAATATGCCCCCAACATTCAGATACGGGGGCATAACAACTAAATAGAGCGGCAGAACCATCTTTCTTGTATCTATGTCATGATCGGAACAATTTTTAAATAAAAAGTCCGTTAAATTTAATACTGTAACAGTCTTTAAATTCGTGAATTCTTAAAAGTTATTAAATTTTGTATTGTTGCCATTTTCGGGTTATTATAAACTGAAAACAGATAAGGTATGAATTTCAGCTAATAATTCGCTCAGATCAAATGTATTTCAACCTACATGTAGCTCAATCTAAAACTTCCGTTGTAGTGAATTGCGTAATGTGTTTGTCTTTATTTGAGTCTTTTTATTCGATTTTCTCTTTAGCAGCAAGATTGATATTTCATTATATTCAGACCAAAAATATTTCCAAGATGAATCATTTTCTTTGAACTGTAAAAATTCACAAACTTGTACCTACTCTATCAGGTGTGGCATTTTCTGCGCTTCCTTTTAAAAATTATCCTTTTATCATATGATGCATTGTGGTTTTGCTACGTAGATAGAAAACTTCTTATTAAAGGGTATCACCTGAAAAACACATTGTTATTGTATATCAATTTAAAATGCAATATGTATATCAGTCATTCATACTAATGTAGTACCGGTTTATCATAATAAGATATTTGCGAAAACTGTAATACACCTATAATTAGGATTACAATAACACTCCGAGGTAGTATTCATAGCTTGGGTCGTCTCAAAGCGTGAATATAAACCGTCGTTCCAAACCAAGGTCTATTTCCCATGATGTGTCTCTATAGTTGAACAACGGATTTGTTTAAGAAATATATCAAGTAATGTGTACACATGGATTATTGTACATGGTGTTATCCAGGTTATCCAGGTTCAACATATTGTTAATGTACTGAGTTTTATAGAATGGACAAACATCATTTAATGAATTTTACATGAGACATAAAAACAGATTTCGTTTTGTCGTTAGCTAGATTGGGACACTTAAAAATTAATTTCAACAAGACTTTGTGTAAAGAAAGGGCGATCAACTAAGGAGCATGTTGACATGTTTGCTAATACAAATATTTTCCATGTTTCAAGAACATGAGGGATACAAGGGTTGGATCCGTGAAATCTATTTATTCTTCATGGCATTATACTTGCCGTTCGTTATACATTTTTTTATCTTTAACATTATTCGGAATTTGGAAAACACTTTTGTCCACATTTTTAGTATAAAAAAATCTAGAATATATGAAAAAAAAAAACAACACCGTTATCATTGAACATCTTTGTGTTAAATACTAGTATATAATTTTAAATATTCGTCAGACTCTGTTGAAATGTACAAAAGGTGTACCCAAATAGTTGGATTGGTAATATCTGTATTTTCATATTAAACAAGACTCATACCGGGGTCTAGACCTGCGTCGCTTCCTGTAATTGATTGTGGTTGGATGTATACTGAAGCATAACTGACCATTCCCTTTCATTGAAGGCAAGACAAACTTCTGACGATAATTTTCCTTTAACAATGAGGGCTGTTCAACTATTGAAAAACAGGAAGTATAAAAAAAAAAATCACTTCCTTCCATAGAAGCCAAGACAAATTTGACGAACATTTTCCTTGTGCAATGAGTCTTGTATAATCATTAATTATCGGTAACAGGAAGTGGCTGCATGGGAGATGTAGAAATTGCTAAAGGCAAGACACAACTTTGGAATTTTAACATAAAGAGAAGTACTTTGTGGAACTAGAATTGTTCTCTGCTTTTTTAGATGGCGATAAAAGTTTATTTACAAAACATATCTATTTTTTAAGAAGCAAATTGGCAAGATCGATGTTGATTTGGTAGGATGATTTGTACGAAAATATACTTTGTCTGGAAATCAATAGCTATGGTGCCTGAACTTGTTTCATGAAACTATCCAACTTTTATTGATCGTTGCTTCAACGAAAATTAAGGCTTTAACATGTATTTTACACTGACAAAATCAAACGCTATCAATCAACGGAATAAGTGAAAAACAACTGCTACATTACTGACTTGATGCAGGCATTTTCCGAAGAAAATGGTGGATTGAACCTGGTGTTTTAGCTAGCTACATGTAAACCTCCCACGTGTATGACAGTATTCATAGTTCCGTTATATCGACACAATTGGGTGAGTAACCGAAATAATTGTCTTCCTTTAAAAAAAGTTATAAAATCTTTAAATCGTCTTACCCTTTTGGTAATTGAATGATAGAGATTCAACGTAGATTTGTAAAATTGGAACAATAATTTAAAGATTTAATTGTGTGAATTGAATTGTTTTAGATATTCCGTGAGGTAACATATATTCACAGCTAGTTCTTGTGCATTATAAAATAAAAGTGTATTTTGATGCATCCTAAGTACAGGACAATTATGTGTACACATATAATTTTTTCTTCAAAAATGTCAGTTATGATGCATTGACTTTTTTTACTCATTTACCTGAATTACGTAAAAATTTGTTTTACTTGTAAATCAAATTTTTGCTTCACATAATTTGCATAATTGGTATTTAAAACTTATATAAAACATAATATATCCCCCGTAGTTATCAATATCCTTTTCCATCAATTGTATTATTTCTACTAGCTACAATATTGAATTTCATCACTGAATTTGGTCAGGCATTCCAATGGTTTATTGTTAACCATTTCAAATATGAAAACCAACGGCCTGGTTTTTGACAAACAATAAACGAATAATTCAATTATGACAGAGAGCCACTGATTTCGGGCTGCAGACAGACAAATCAAGAATATTGCGGGATTATACATATGTGTGAGCGCATTACCCTCCCTAACCTAGTGTACCGTTGTACTACTATGGTTGATAAAGCGCATTGATACAAGTAACGAATTGAGAGAAGAAAAAAAAACAATAAATAAACGTTGCCTTTATGATATTTGAAATCTCAGCAATGGAAAAAATTACTATAGGTTGAAAAGTTTTTCGCTTTTTATGCAGATTTGTTTTTAACCAAAGTTTGCTATTCAGTTTTGAATTTTTAAAAAAATGTAGTTTGAATGCTCATATATTTCTCAATACACCAGATACATATTTAAATGTATTATTCAATAATAATAATAATCTTAATTTAGTCTATTGCAATCAATATATAATTTTTTCATATCTATTCGTTTATGGAATTAGCTTGAGGCAAGCAATTTAAAGAATGATATCTAAATAAGATTATATTTAATTTTAGAATCTTTATTTAGAACTGGTTTAAACAAACTTTTACTTGATACATATTTTCAATTAGACTTTCTCAAGATTGGATAGCTTGATTGTTACTTGTTAAACGTCTGTCGTATAATCTCAGGACGAATGAGATAAAGACATTTTATTGTTTATATTACTTTTTGTCTTTGCTTATTTCAAAAGAAAAAATAATGTTTTTTATTTGATATTTTGTTAAATGTTCTTTAGATTGTCTAATACAGTCATGTGTTTATTTACCTTTCTGTATTGTTTTTGTTTTTATGTCTGTCGCTGTCTTATAAACTGACACTTGATATTTTTGTTACATCAAAATATAAATCATGTGATTGGGTAAATCCTCATAATAAAGATAATGTTTAGAATTGACGTTATAGCAGACACGTTATTTCCTTCCGATACATAAAGATAAACTACACAGACTTTAATACTCACGCAACTGTTGCTGTGCAAAAGTTATCACTTTCGGTTCAACTCACAGAGAAACTAATGTAAACATACCTGTGATATACCCAACTTTACAAAAACCACCTGGATATTTATCATGTTTGTGAACACATCATGCTATAACTCGGTGCATAACTCTTATTTAAATCTTTATTTACCAGAGCGACTTAAATGCCAACGTTGTTTATTTCATAAATCATAGGTAATATCTTCATGATTCAATATAAGAAAACATGTATTTAAAAAGTTCAAAATATTATTCGTAATCGTTAACCGACATTCATAAACACAGTAGATAGTTTCCAGCTTGAATCTTGTTTTTTCGAGTGATTTGATCGGATTTTTCGAGTATGACCACGTTTTGTTGAGTGAATATGATCAAAATGTATATAAAAAAAAAGACTTATCTTGTACAAGTACTTAGATGTGATATAATGATTGAATTTAATATACCCGACCACACAAGGTTAGTTAGTACATATTTTTGGGTTATACAAGTTGAATTTAGCTTTATAACACCTTTATTCCAAAATATAGAATACTATTTTTATATTGATACCCATGCAAATGTCAAAGGAATTGCATAATTCCAAACTATATCCTTAAAAAAGAGACATTTATAAACCTTCTTGTTATTGCATTGTAAATTCATTTTTATGTCCGTGTTTTTTCAAGTGCGGTCCAGGTTTGATCGAGTGTATAAACAAAATTGCAATGGCTTAAGTGTTATATGTCAGTGCAATTACGTTTAAAAACTATGAAAAGATTCAAATAAAGTACTTTTCAAAGAACGAAATTCATGCATTAAATCAGTTTGATAATACTGTATTACGTAACATGCACATTCATTTTATAACAAAAAAAAAAACGTTTATTTGTGTATATTATTGTTTGCCCGTCTTATACATTGCGTGGACACCGAAACATGTATATTTGGATAGATCAACATGTCCAAGCACATGTAAACATGGTGAAACTATCAAAGAAGTCCGCGCCCAAGTACATATGTTGTATGGATCCAAACTTACATATATCGATGCCGAATCCATGCAGTAAATTTTATGTGATGTGAGCAATCTTCATGTTAGCGAACCGATATGGATTTCATACTGTATAAAGTTTTCATGTAAATAACATTTATGTGAGCACAAACATATATATATATAAACACACACATGTATATATATATATATATATATATAAATATATATGTAAATGTTGTTGATTGCAAATGAGACATCTATACTCCAAAGCTCAAAAGACAAACAACACAATATGAATGACGACGAAAGAAAGTAATTATAGGTCGCTATACGGCCTTCAACAATGAAAAAAACCGTATACCTTATAGTCAACCATAAAAGACCCCAATATGGAAAATATGAAACAATTTAAAAGAGAAAATTAACGACCTAATTTATATAATACAATGTTCGAAAAAAAAAACAAATATGACAGACGTGAACCATCGACATCAAGTAAATTACAGGATTTTGACTTTGACTAGCACTTCAAGAATGTGGCTCGGTTAAACATACTTGTAAGCTTAAATCCTCCCCTTACTTAAGACAAAGGTGTTACTGCACAACATTAGCACAAACTGTAATAATCAGTTGCAAATGACGTATCTCAATATATCGGTACGCAGTACAAAGAAATCAACAAACATAAAAACAAAAGACAGAAAGTACCGATATAAATGAACTTTCAAATATTGAAAGCTAGTTCAAAGCCAACTACAACTACTCAATAAATTATGTTTTCCCAGACAAAAATAACCAAGCAGTACGATGCTGGATTGATACTACGTAAATTGTGAATATGTTAAGCGATTGAGAATATTTGTTTTAACAGAAACTATATCTCATATATTTCATTTACTATTTATCTTTATGATATATTGTCCAATCGTTCTAGGAATGGAAAAAAAGAACAATTCTCAAATGCTACAACTGTGATGAGATGTATGATCATCAGAAGTATGTTATATTTGATCACACAGTAATAAAACATTGTGATTGCTACCTTTCGATCAGTTAGTTGTTCCTGAGAAATAGAGTAGACGGTTTTACGTTTAGACATTACAATTTACAATGTATATATAAGGACCTCTGCGAAAGACATGAATTTAACATGTTAAATAGACCAGGTGTACCCTACTTTATACACATTTTCTTAGTATTATTTTTAAAGGCTAACATTAAACCTTATAGATTATTCATATAATTGTTTACTATATATTCCGTTCAATTCAAAATCTATTGTCAATAGGAAATAGTGCAGAGGCGTATTAGGTGCGTTTTTTTTTTTTTTTTTTTTTTTGCTATTGTTATTTTATGATGGAATCGGGAGGCGGGCTCCTGGCTCTCTTAGTAGAATATTTATGTTATTTTGCATTTTACTAATTTATTATTGATGTCCCTTAGTTTTCTTATAATTATTTTTTACACTCAAGGTTTCGCAACTGTATGAATCATAAAATAGAATTTACGGTAAAAAGAAAATATAACATGAATTGATAATATATCTTAATACTGCAAGGTTAATGTAAAATGAATTCAAAACAGAAAGTTATCATTAAATTGAAAAGGGTTGAACTTGATCATTATTATAATATTATGTTTTTGTGACTTATTATGAATGTATAATATTGTCCCTTGCTAAATTACAGGTATAAACTAAAAATGTCAGTTTTTTTGGCCAAGAAATGACATCTTTCTTATTCACATTTTCTTTGAAATACCCGTACCATTTGGTGAAAAACATTAAATCAGCGTATAAATAAATTTCGTTTTGACTAGCACAAAAATGAAGCCCTTAAGGTTTGTTGTGTATGTTACATGCAGGTATAATTAATGAACCAGGGGTATGTCAAAGAACGTCTCATCCTTTTTCTAAAAAAAGTTCATCCGAAGGGACTAAGACCTTGTTCATAAATGTTCCGTACCAACTTCACAAATAATACACGATGGTCGTGAAGTATAGATTCTGGGTACTGACGTTGTTTATCCTCTTAATAACGTGTAATAGTATTCTTTTATTTGTCTTTATTGATATTCATTTTACTGTTAAGTGTATATTTGGTGATATCCATTTGACGTGGCTCTGTACTTATACATCCTGTCATTGTGTTATTGTGCTATAATAAATTTTTGTATTCTTGTCTTTCATTTTTTTCTAATGTGCTTTGTCTATATGACTTTTTGTGTTTCTTTGTTATGTATTTGTTTGTTTTTATGGTGATTAATATTATAACACAATGTTGACGGCTGTACCCCTATTTTTGACATTTTTTACCTTTTATGTCTGTTTGTCTTGTTCACACATCGTTGTCAATATAATGGAATTTTATGCGACTGTTGTACAAGTGAAAAGTTTAGCTAGCTATAAAACCAGGTTTAATCCACAATTTTCTACATAAGAAAATGCTTGTACCAAGTCAGGAATATGACAGTTGTTATCCATTCGTTTGATGTGTTTGAGCAATCGTGCTTGTTCATGCATGGACGCGTACGATATGTTGATAATAATTATAAGATTTGCCCTGTTCGATGCATAGAAATTTATAATGTTATTAACTATGTTTGTAGCTTGACAATATATTGTAACGGACTTTTGATTTATTTCAGAAGTATTAGTAAAAATAAAAAGAATCTAATACTTACTTATTGTTTACAAAGTACAAATTATCCTCTTCCGTTTCGATTTAATTCATCGGAAAAATAAAGAATGCTAGACTATTTATAAATCAACTCATATCTATTCGTAAGTTCCATTTAAATGTTATACCTGGATGATAAATAGATTGAATTTGTATATGATGTCAATATGTCTTTATTCAATATTAAAAAAGATATTTAAAGTATTTTGACCATGTTATAAATACACTGTGGATATACTGTGTACAGCCAGAAGTTATTTAACTGTAAGGTTGTCGGAGTGTCATTGCTTTTTCATGACAATTTGCAGGGTTCAACATGTTTTCGCGTTTGTTTGTTTTCTAAATTATATTATTAACAAGTTCTACTTGAAGGTATAAACAATAGAATCCAGGACAAAAAGAAGTTATTGGTAAGATACTGTATAAAAGATAACAAAAACACTAGTATATTTAAGCCATTAACAAAGGTAAACAATGTTCATTAAAGACATAAATTGTTTCCATGTTCATACCCTTTTGCTCTTTATTAGTATTGTCCAGTTTCGCTCATTTAGTTACTAGTATATAAGATTTAATGACAAAAAATGAGATTCAATTTTATTCCTTTTCCTAAAAATATGAAACATAAACTATTTTAATTATTTCAAATTTTTTTTAACGGTAATTTGATTTGTTTGGAAAAGAATTTCTGTTTTATTCTTTTGTCGTTAAATGTGTGTTTGTCTGTTATCCTTTCATGTCTTATAAAAATTATAATAAAAAAAAAAGAACTCCAAGGAAAATTCAAAACGGAAAGTCCCTTAACAAATGTCAAAATCAAAAGCTCAAACACATCAAACGAATGGCGCAAGTGTAAGGGAAAACCGTGATAAAAGAAATTATAACGAAATGCGAAAGGTAGATTGCGTTAATTGATTCTGAAAGAAAATAATAATACACCAAAACATTTAGCAACTTGTATTCAAAGTTTCATTAACAAATAGAAACGCATAGAAAATATCTTAAAAAAATCAACATCGCTTTATATTCATCTCTCTCATCTCTTTTATTGTGCATGTGCTCTGTGATTATGTGTTGATTTTTAATAACGGTCACGTTGGGTTAACTTCGGCAATAAAACACGAAAGTTAATAAGCAAGGATGATTGATTTTGTTTTTTGATAATGTTGATTTGTTAATTTGTGTTGATCATTGTCATTTAGCTTTGTTGCTGCTACCTGTTTAAACATCGGACTCGAATTTTTTAAAATTGAGCTTTTCTGTGCGTATTGCTGTGGGTTTTATTATTCCATATTGGCTAGAGGTGTAGGAGACGGGTTGATATCTTACAAAACATGTTTAACCCCGCTGCATTTTTGCGCCGGTTCAAAGTCGGGAACCTCTAGCCTTTGTGTGTTATTTTTTATTTTGGTTCATTTGTACTTTTTGGAGTTCAATTTGGCGTCCTCTTCAATGAATTAGTATACACTATAATTGAGGTGTGATTTGTATCCTGTCTTGGGGTGTGGGATTTTCTCGCTTCTTTGAAGACCCATTGGTGCCCCTGAGCTTTTATTTTTTGCTCTTTGTTCGGGTTGCTCTCTTTGACAAGTTATCCGTTTCCAATTTCTATTTTATAATATGTTTTTAATTTCGTAGTGTTCTAATATAAAATAAAACGCATGCGAATGGAGAGGTTATATGTGTTTGCAACCAATTTTGACGACATATTTCGATAGACTGGTGCACACTTGTTCCCGACTGGTTATGCATGTTTCCTAATGAACACCTTAACAAAAACATTTTTTTTAAATTTCACATATATTAGCTTAGTGTTTTTTTTCCTAGGCAGTGCATCTAGAGTGTAATTATTTTAGAGTATGAACGTTTTTGTTAAGGTTAATCCAGAAAAGCACTCCTATTTATCATATTTATAAAGTGTTATTTCAATATATATTGAGATGTGGTACTCGCCTCAAGTTGGTCAGCAAACAACATGAAAAACAACACGAAAAAAAAAACAACAATGATCGCTACTAGTAGTGCATGGTAAGCGTATCGTTTCTGAGCATTAACTTTCTTGGTTTAATGAGATGACCGCCATTTTAGTAGTAAAATTCATTCAAATCCATTCGAATGCGTTTGATTTAATGAGATGACCCCCATTTTAGTAGGGGTTTCGATGTTCAGTCTATACTTATCACTTAAATATTTTGTTACCTGAGTTTTACTGAAAAAAAATCCACCATTCAAAAAATGGTTTATTTTCGTCACCTTCCATATTTTAAGTATCAATTTGAATATTAATTGCAAATATATCGTGCATCGCCAATTTTCAAATCAAAGATTTTTGTAATTGGTGTTTCTTTCGAGAAGTTCAGGGTTTTTCACAAAAAGATCCTGCTCATGCTGTTACTGAGACAAAGTTTTTCGAAGTACATTGTATGTCATCTTTCCGGACACCTAAAGAACGCCATTCAGGCTGACCATTATTAATATCTTTGTTCTCATTTATTGCAGCCATAATCCCATCTTTCTTCTAAAACTTATGACTTGTCATTGGGTACGAGTTATCGTCGTGTCGTGTTTACAAATGAACACTTTATCAAGAACATCAATTCAACGTACAATTAGAAATAACATATATAACATGGGAAAACATTAAACATATCACTTTCTATATCGAAACGACAAAATATTATAGAATGGCAATGATTTATTAGAATTTATAAGTACAATATACATAACTTTTTATTTTTTATTTACATTTTTTAAAATGGAACGTTTCCCTGAATGATACAGGATATGTGATTACAAAAATAATATAAAGCAGCTTTACATTGTGTTTAACCTTTTCAAGGTCCATTTAGTGTTTACCTCAATTGTATTTCCATTCTCAGATTCCACTTCTGGCTTAAATTCTGCATTGTTTATGTTTTCTAACTCTAAATATATAACCTTTTCTGGATTGTCGTTCGTGTTTTCTTTCTTTTCAGAGATTCCATTATTTTCCAGTTTTGAATAGTTTCTTTGTTGTTTTTCTCTGTCTTCTTGTTCAAATACTACTTCACTGCTTAGTTTCGTTTTGGATTCGGATAGTAACGCCTGATAAGGATTTATATACCCATCGTTTACACTTTCTTTAGAGTCTTTGCTCGAAGAACTCGATTGTGAGTCGCTACTATTTTGATATATACGAGAGTTTGGTGAGTCGGGACACATTCTCTCTTCGTCAATTTCTGCATAGGCAGAAGCATCGACTTCAATGTCATTATTTGTCGAGCTTCTGTGTACACTGTTATCTTGTTGGCTAGATAAATTGTTCGGAATGATATGAAAGATTTTTCGAGGATGGAGTTTATTGCGTTTGCAATAAATTACCACGACACATACCAACACAAAGAGCAGAAACGAAAAAATCCCAACGGTGAAGTTAACCGTTTTATGTCGTGTAATTTCTGTAAAAAATTATATTTTATTATTATATTTAATAATATTTAAAAAATCAAAATATACCTGTCTATGCAGTAAAAATTATATACGCACACAAAATACTTTTCTCATAATGATTTTTCAATCTAAATACATTTGACAATATATATTGTGTAAACAAAGTTGTTATGTCTTTTGTTTGAAATAACGAATTTTCTTTATCAAATTGAACATTTACATGATTTAAAGTTATTTAAATAACAAAATGTCAATCTCTGATTTTCTTTACCAAAATCTTACTTTCTATGTATAATAAGGTGTTGGTTAAAAAAACTATATTACTTATTTTTTCTCAATTTAAATTTGATGGTTCAGTCTTTTGTTCAAACTGGGAATCCCATTTTGTTTTACAAAATCTACTATGAAAATATGATTAGACTGAAGCTTGTTTACTTCAAATGATTGAAACTGAATTTAATACATCGGCTTTTGGAGTTTCCGAAACATGACTTAATATTATCAGTTACTTGTACATAAAATATCTCTAATATTATTTCCAATTTTTACATGATTGTTCAATATTTTCATTTTATTCTATTTTGAATTTTTCTCTGAGTTCCACATTTTAAATATTATTGTATATTGGGCAAAATACAACAAAGCAGTGGTTTTCGTCTTTATAATCAACTACATGATAATAAGAAGTTTATTATTACTGTGTATCTCATCTTTTCCAATGAGGTAAATGTCAAAGGCAAATTGAAACCAACAAAGTATAATACATTTGTTTTGCATATAAAGAGCGTTTGTCCCCTATAGTGACTTCCTTTAACCTAAATGTCATTGCCGCAAGAAATAACGGTAAGAGTATCCTAATTGGATATGTTATCAAATTAAGATTTTACAATCACTATTAGGAGTAATTTGATTGTTTTTTGTGCAAAATAAGGTAGCACAAAATTAGTTTAATATGTTTTTATCACAGATGTTCATGACTTGTTTTTACCAGGTAGACTTTAACCTCTCGACAGCTAGTGTGATACTTACCGGAGCATGCAATGCAATTTATATTTACAAAGGTAAAGATAAAGATGGGTGTATATATATAATAAATTAATGACAAGATCTATTTTGTTACATCTTGTGATCCGTTTATTTGGCAATCGCCAATGGCAGTCAGCAGGGTTTAAGAACATCAGTTGTTCGACCTGCTAGTCAAATGCGTTTTGTTAAAATATACTTTTTCACTCATTTGGTCTTATGGGAAATGTTGTTTTTGCTGTATTTAGACCCTTCTACCAAGAAATTTGTTTTGCATGCACACGTATAAAAATTGCGGTTTTTATCAAACGCAATCATAGGTTTGAACGTTGTTGTCAATTTAAACTTGTATATATATATATATATATAAACGCCTAAAAAGTGAACACAACAACACCAATAACAAAAAAAGGAACTATAAATGTAATTATTTATAAATATTTAGGATAACAGATATCCTTCATCAGTAAATATGATTGTGATGTTGAATGAATCATATATCAGTCTACTTAGATTAAACTATAACAATCTTGAAATTTATATATATGATAGCTAATGAGACATTAGTTCGCCAAATAAGAAAGAACACAGATGAACAAGTTATCTTCTAACCTTCAACAAACCTATTTACTTTAATTTTGTTGACATTCCGTAAGATTTTAAGTAGTTTTCTTGTTTGTACAAGACTTGTATAGAGTAGTTTTTGCATAGCCTCGTCTGTGCATTGTTGGAACGTTGGTTTTCATGATGATATTAACCTAAAGTCCGATCTTTAAGGTTTTGATATTGAATAACTAACTCGACAAAACCGACAGGTAATCTTAAACTATTAGTGAATACAGCGATGGAATTTTCTTAAGACTTTTCTGTAGTGTAAAATGTGTGAAAAATTATTTAATTAATAAGATTATTAACCTCTTGGAATGTATGGGTGGGTACCATTCAAAATGTCTCTGTGGTTCTGGATTTTAATCTGTGATATAATGGGACGTAGTATGTTTGTTGTGCCCTCTTGATATGATAATGTTGTTTGTGTCAAATTGGTAACCAAATCTGTATAATATGAATGAAATAAATCAAATTTCAAAATGTTTTCTTTTGACCTAAGACTTATATAGACACATATTATTGGTGATTAATACACAAATAATCACAAAATTCAATGAATTGTTAACAGTACCAGCAAGAATCATAAACAGCAGGAAATGATTTTTTTTTTTTTTTTTTTTTTTTTTTTGCCTTGGTTTATAAAGTTGATAAATAAAAATTGCACCACATCAAAACTAATTTGTGTAAGTATAAGGGCAATTAAAAATTTTCAAATTTATTTGAAAACCAAAAAGGGAAACATTTACAGGAAGAGGAGGAAGGAAAAGATGGTGTGCTTTAAAAAAAACTACATAAATGATTGATAAATATTCAGAATCATATTGCTCACATTCTTCACTTTTTGCAGTATCGTTGGTTGTTAGCAATGTTGTTTGTTCCACTTTGATACATCCCATTTCGTTATCACATCTAAATTAAATGTACATGTATATCAATTATCATAATGCACACCAGGATAATAAATAGGGAAACGAATTGTTTTGTTTTGTTTCTTTTGATGATTGTAATTACAAATAAACTCTTCCAACTGAAAGACACGATTTATGATAAGGGGATCTGTTTGCCTATGCTGGTAGCAGACATTGATGTCATTGATGGCCATTGTATTGAGAAAGGGTTAGCAACAAGTAATTTGGGGTTCACAGTTGTACTGTTTTAAGGAAAAAATTCTTACCCTGACCAATATATCGTCTACATTACCTAGACAGTACCCACTTGAACTGAACTTTCAGGTGAAATTATAGCTCACTTTAAAGAAATTTGACAGAGTATTTCGGCATTGTCGTTTATTTTCTTTAAATTATGAGATTTTTTGTTGTTAAATACCAATGTTGTTTCTATATGACTTTATTATGTCATTGTCATTGCACTGTTATATTTTAGGGGTTACAAATTACGTTTCCGATGTAGATCATTATAATAAAAAGATTCTGATATGTAATAAAACTTTAAAACGAACTATTAATTGACGGAATAACGCAACGAATGGAACTTTTGTAGAAGAAACTGCTGTGAAACCCGAGGCACCTGAGTGTTTTCATAATTTGGGTGGGATCCTGTTTTAATCTGTTTTTTTTGGGGGGCGGGACTTGCCTTCTAGACTCTTGTTTGTTTCATAGCTTTTTTCATAGGTCTTAAATGTGATCCATATATATATATATATATATATACACAAGGCGAGATATGTATACCAAATAATAGAATAAAAAGTTTCATATTACATTTCATAAATATGTAACAAGAGGAAAGTGGAAGAAAACGCATACAATAAACACAATTATCATGTTTCTTTCATTTTAACTTGTAAACATCCTTCTTCCCCTGAGAATATATCTTAGATAAAATAGATAAAATAGATGTTACTCTCAAAATCATCTGTATGCTCTATGTGTAAATGAAAAACGTTGAAATTCATACATCTACGTAAAAATAGATTGATATTCAAACACATGTAAGATATTACATTTAATAAAAAATATACGTTTTTATATCAAAATTTAATTATCATATATCATCATTTTAGCTTACCTCTGATCTAATTTGCAGTGGCAGTATTCTGCACATTTCATACCAAATGTGTTTCTTGGACATGGTACACATGTTGATTCAGCAGCTGAGATGAACCCGATAGCACACGCTTAATGAAAGAACAAATTAATAGTTTTCATATAACTAACGAACGAGCGGTTTTTCTGGAAATTTGAGGATGAAATTTAGATCGACAAAAACTGTTCTTTGACTCTCTGTCATATCCATATATTCTAGTGTAAGTGATATAACAATATTAGTAAAATAATTTTGTTAAAAAAATATATGGCTCATGTCATAGTAGTCATCGGATTTTTGTTCAATTGACGTATACTACAAATGTACTTTTTTTCATATAGAAAAGTATTCCGATATCACTGCGCACTCAAATTAACCAGGAATATTGGACACCAAACAATTGAAAAGGGTCGATTTAAATTAAAACATGAAAATGCATCGAAACAAAAAAATGATTAGCCCTTCATTTCAATCGGAAAAAGTCCTTATCTTTTTTATTTTGATCATCAGGAAGGAAACAGCTGATTGAATTAGGTTGATCAATAATTAGTCAGATATAATTTTACATATGTATCCTTTTATCGGAAACTATGGACAAAAATATAATGATGATTGTATGACACAGGAAATGACTGCTTCATATCTGTATCAAATTTCCTAAAATGTTTTACAATAACCTCGTGGTGAACAAGCTTGGCGTCAGGTTGGATTGCCACTTGCATCAGCAGAATGTCCAACTAACCTTTTTTGTTTAATACTCTTTTCCATACTTTTGTCTTTAATGTGAAGGAGAAATGTATACCAGAAACATGTTTAAGGTATCATGCCCTTAAATCAGTAGTTTACATTTACATAACTTCAACTTGCCTCTGTGCTGCTTCAATTTGAAAATTCATCGCTGGACATATCAAGCGCATCTTATGTCCATTGTTGTAAATATAATTATTTTACTGTGCCAGATTCGAATTTCGACAATTAATGACTCCTCAGTGGTGGTTGCGGTCAAGTATTTCATAGCCTTTTACACAGAGATACATCTCGTTGTATGTCATTTTGATAGTATCATGCAAATACTAGTAAACGAATTTGAGTTTGAAAAGGTCATTGTGATCTTAATATCATCTGAAAAGTCTAAACTATAATATATTTAGTCATGTTCATTCTTTTAGTGAATTGTCCGATTTATCTACTGCGATTAATTCAGTAATGTTCAGAGAATTCGCTTGCAGTAAATTCAGTACTGTTTAGAAGCTTTCCAGTCAATTTAGAATGGTGTTTATCTGTACAGGTAGGTAACAACTACTGAACAGTCTGAACATAGACTGAAAAGATCTTGATTGACTGCAAGGGAATTGTCTGAACAATGGTATAAGTCTACATAAAATCACCAAGGGTATAAGTCTACATAAAATCTAGATAAAAAACGATTTGTTCAATTTTGTAATATTGTTTCTTTATAATTACTTGTCTATTTTTGAATATATGTGTTGAATGCGCAAATCTTCGCGCATATAAGATTTTTCTTAATGATGATCGATTAAAAATGCACAATTTGAAATTCCTTTTGCTAAGTACTTGAATTCTGTAAAATGGAATTATAAACCAGGAAAAATAATCTTAATTATTAACTTACGTTCACATTTTCCGTTACGATTCTCGTAATTGTCACAGCAGGACATCTTTTTATAGTAAAATATTCCATTATGTGATTTCGCGCTACAATGAATTTTTAGAAATATATATTGAATGATTTAATAAATGCACAATTTTAAATACATCTTAGAGGAGATGAGGACATTTGTCAACTGTCTTTTGTGTTGTGTTTTTGTTTTGTTTTGTTTTGTTTTTTTTATTATTTTTTTTGTTGAGGCGGATATAAAATGGTCATTATCATTTTGCCAGTTGTACAATTGTTTGCGTAAACCACTTTTGATGATGAGTCTTCATGTTTTGTTAAACAAATGAGGAATGCCTAAGCGAGTTTATGATCAATTTGAGGGTAACTTTTCGGACGTCGAGTTGTAACTTTTTTATCTTTTTATTTTAATTTTTATTTATTTTTGTAAGAACTGTGGTTGTGATTGCCATATAATTACCCTATATAAATCAACTCGTCGGGAGCCACTCTCTTTAGAACTCGTTGTTTGTCAGAAATTATCTTGCCAAGATATCTGGTCAACTTCAATATTATAATTTCCCATTTAGTAATTTTCTTTTGAGGCCTCCTCTTACGCTGAATTTGTTTTTGATCTTTTGTCAGATATTCGGAATCTTAAAGATTTTATCCATGTAGTGCCAGTAAAAATGTTCCTCGCTAGCCCTACTTTTCTTTTCGTAATTCTATTACATCTAGTTTCAAAAACATGGTTTGAAAATCTTTGAAAAATCCTTGTTATTTTTACATAGTTTTTTGAAAGTAAAAAGTTGCCGATGTTAAATATATGAAATATTAGAAAAAACATTTCCCGCCAAATTTTCAATTGATTGTATCTCAAAAACATAGACCTTTATTTGTTTCTGCTTTTGAAGTCTCTTTATTTATCTACTATTAATTTATTACAGTTTTTTAAAAGCTTGTTATTTTAAAGCAGAGAAGCGAACATCCTTGAAATTTGAAGGTCAACAACTACACAAACTACACAAACATTCGAAAAAAATTGAAGGCATATTGACAACGCCATGACAAAAAAGTAAAATGCACGAAAAATAAAACAACAGTCTACAAAACAATACATAGGAAACTTATGACTGAGCAAAACGAACCCCAACAACAAAAACCGGGAATGATCTCGGGTATTCCGAACGGGTTACAAAATGTAGCAGCTCCTGTAATATACGTTGCAATATTATATCAAGTAATTATGCTACATGCAATAGTGGAATGATAATTTCCTCTTATGTAACCTTAAGACACAATCCAAATCGTAAACCATCAGTCATGTTTAATTTCTAAATCTAAAGCTAATAAAAAATGATACGTTCTTAGAACAAAGAATATACAAGACTATTATCTCGACTTCTGAATATTCCATTAACCAAACTTTATGTATTTTATTTAAATCCCTGACTATACTACAATATATTAAAACAAATTAAGTGATTAGATTCTGTAATAAAGCATATGAAAATAATGGAATTCATTAGTTTTTATGTATAGGAAAGTCTTTAAAAGTTTCGATAAATGACGTGCTTTTAACGGACCATTAAATCCAGTAAGCGATATTAGAAATTAATACAATATAGATATGTTCAGAAAAAAGAAAAATATGAAATTTGATTTTTTTTCTTTTTTTTTTTTTTTTTGCATACATTTATGCATATTTTCGTATTTTCTAGTGATCAGCTTGCAAAATCTATGCTAACCGATTGATATTGGGTAAAAAAAACTATTATAGCAACGTCCTTAAGATTTTGATTTAGTGAAAAAAATTAATAATAGAGAAAATTTCAAATGGAGGGTGACTATTTGAATTATTTGCAAATTTTACAGTCGATACTATTCTCCAATTTGTATAGTTTCCGAAAGGCGATGATTCCATTAGACAAAATATCGAATATCGTCGGGTGAATCAACTTAAGAAAATGGACGTCAATCCGATCCCGCAAATACTGTAACTTCAAATATTATTTAGATAAAGGCAACAGTAGTATACCGCTGTTCAATAGCCATAAATCGATTAAGCGAAAACAAATCCGGGTTACAAACTAAACCCGAGGGAAACACATCAACTATAAGTGGAAAACAACGGAACAACAGAAACACTGAGCTGCAACAAAACAAACGCCAGCATACAAAGAAACGGACTATTTGATAACAACTGCCATATTCCTGACTTGGTACAGGACATTTTAAGAAAAAATAGTGAGTTGAAACCTCCCACTTATATGGCAATGTAAAAAATACCGCTAGAATGACAACATTACGTGACAGGAATACAGTACAAAAAAACACAAGAGAAATATATAAATAAATAATATAAAAGTACATTACAACATGTAAACCACAGAATAACAACGGACACCTCCCATGCATTTACGATAGTACACCAGTACACAACAAACGAAGTATAAAATGCGCGTCACTCGAATGTATCAACGCCACGAAAAGTGACGTATTTTTGTGACGTTTATAAAATGGACAACAATACGAGATATGTTATTGCGATCTAAGAAAAATCTGCATTCATATGTATGTATCAAAATGACATTGCAAGTTCTTATGGTTGCGATACCAACCTAATCGCCAATAATTTCTTTATATAACTTGTTATTTGGTTTTAACAAGTCAAGTTGTGTTAACAAGTAGTCTGTTTTAGAATTGTGCAAAGGAAATTACAAGGTGCCGATCAAAGAAGAATACAAAGGGAACATACTTTTTTTTTATGTATTCCGGTGTACACTATGCATTTAACATTTTGCGTGGATTATGTAATATCGCTTCTACGTTTCAACCCCTAGTGGAAACATTTTTGTCTGCATAAATATTGATTTCATGCTTTACTTATAACGATGAAGTCGTCGTTTTTATGACAACTTCGATTAACAACTCCAAAGATTAAGGAAAGAGATTTTCAAAGAAGAAAAAAAAGTGCGTGAGGTAATTTTTAGGCAACTAAACTTTCCGAGACAAAAATGTAAGTAAGCTCAGAGGTTTCAATTAAAGAACATAGGTTGGCAGCTTTGTCAATAAAGCATAATGTTATCATATGAAAACAGTTTGTTTTGGTTTACAACTATGAAAGAGCTTTTAACATGACTATGCGGTATGGGTTTTGCTCATTGTTGAAGGCCGAACGATGACCTATAGTTGTTAACTTCTATGTCATTTGGTCTCTAGTGGACAGATTTCTCATTGGCAATCATACCACATCTTTTCATTTTATATTTGACACAATTCTCAGTAAAACACCCATGTCTTCGTAAAGTTTTGATCAACCACAGGGAAAATGGCAGTGGCATATGTGAGTAGAACTCTTACTTATTAAAATTAATGGAGCAAATTACCCTCTGATAGTAAGAAAAGCTCTGCCGATAGTATGGGGCATGAAATAATTTCAGAAGCCAGGTTTAAGAAGTATGTTAAACCGTTTTACTATTATGAAATCAACGTAACTCTTCCTGTTGTGTTTATTAAGACAATACTGTTTCAATTGACATTTTAGACTGCAAACGCGAATATTGCTAACCATTTACAAAATGTATGTTCCATAAGAACATTAAGAATGAGTAAATAAAATGATTGTGGACGTGATATGATCGTAACCCCACGTACATGTAAAAGAGAGGCGAAAGATACCAAAGAGACATTCAAATTCATAAGTCGAAAAGAAACTGAAAACGCCATTGCTAAAAAAGAAAAAGACAAACAGACTAACAAGAGTACACAAAACACAACATAGAAAACTGAAGACTGAGCAACACGAACCCCACCAAAAGCTGGGGGTGATCTCATGTGCTACGGAAGGGTAAGCAGATCCTGTTCAACATGTGGCACCCGTCGTGTTGCTCATGTTAGTACAAACCCAATAAAAAGACTAATTCGGTAGGTCACATTCGGGGAAAAATCTGAAGAGTTGTTTTAAATACGGCTTAAGCAATACATGCATAGAACGGGGAAGAAAACTCTTAGTATTTCGAGCCATTCCACATTTTATAATATGAAAATGAAATCAACAAGACTTTATCTAAAACTTCAGAAATGTAATCTTGTTTTTTTTTAAGTTTGACGCTTGTTGGGACTAATATTGTACAACGTATTTGCATATATGTTTTCAATTAACTAAAGGTATGGCCTATTGTCGACTATTGTTTCAAAATTGACTTAAAACACATTTATTTTCAACTTTTCGATATAACACTTTAAACTTTTTGATAAAGCAGTTACAGTTGCATGACTAAATGAAATATTTCAACATTGTCAGCAGGTTTTACAACAGGTGGTATTGCCAATGATGGGATTACAATGTGGATTTGAAGACATTCCGAAGTCCCTTGCATGTTGTTATGAAAACCGAAAAAGTTCCGCACAATCAGTTTCCAGCTTGCGATTGCTGCTGTCAGTGTTAAAGTGTTATTTTGGCTGCCTTCGCTCATTTATCAGAAAACAACGTAATAATAGAAATAAAATTTTCTTCAAATGCTATTGAGTCAAAATCTTAAAATGTCTGCAGACAATATTGAACTATCTAGAGGTAAAATATGGGTAAAAGAAATGCAGAAATGTATTTCAAAATTATGTTTCGGGTGATACATATATTTCCTTTTATCTGTAAAAAAACAGAGATAAGAAAAAGAAAAAAAAAGCTTTCAACATTTTGCTCTGGATACCGTCTTTTGATCATGAAAAGTGTCTTTCATGCTTCATAGTTCCATGAAGGTTGGTCCACGTTATTGATGTCGAGATATTTTTAACCTCAGACTGCAAAAACGTCTTCTTCATTGATCATTCAAAGACCGAAAAAACATACAAAAATATTTTCACAATTTTACTCTGGATACTGTCTTGTGATAACGAAGTACCTTCTTTGCAAATTCGGTTAATTCCCATGAAAGTTTGACAAAATTAATCATATCGTAAAGTATACTTAGCTTTTTTTAATGGTGTTTTGTCATGTTTGTTAAGTTTGTTAAATGAAGCTTCGAAAAAGTTCTTTAATATAACTATTTTAAGAATGATTTACCACATGTTTTTCCTCGAGCTATCATTTATCCTGGAAAATATGTATCAACCATGTCAACTAAAATAATGAAAATTAAAAAAATGTGTGTCTTCTTACTCATAGACGTGCGTTGATGTACCATTGAATTAACTATAATACCTGTATGCTTTGCTACAAATTCCAGCACAAAAACAAATATCCAGCGTTAAATGAAATATTAGTATGTAAATCAACATGGTAATAGTTATTGGACTGACATAAAACTCTCATTTTCTAATAGTTCAGGCATTCGTATCAATTATGTACACTGAAAGGCTAGACCTCGATAAACAAACGGAAATAATACAACATATGATAAAATGCTTTAAATGATAGTTTGTCAATTTGCCATTTTCAATTGTTTTTTATTATTTCCTCAAAATGTTTCAACCTTTTAAATATTGCAATTTATATATGAATTTTCAAAAATGACATACAAACATCATCTAATATTTTATACAGAATTGACTTGATTCCATGGATTCGCTTCTGCTATTCCACGTTCTTTGAACAGTAATAAGTCTTATTTATTGGTGAATAGGACACACACGAAAAATAAATTTAAAACAATGTTTTGTACTAAGATGATGTTGCATTAATTTTCATTTCGTACTGACTGTTTATGAAAAAAACTCATCAAAGTTACTATGATTATAATTTGGTACACCAGGCTTGCGTTTCGTTGGTACAACACTGATCAGAGGCGTTCGAATCAAAGAGTCGGACGGCAAAATCAACTAGGAAGTTAAAGAGCAGTGTAAACTAAATATTCCAAAAGGTTCTACCACATCTGGTTAAGGCCATTTCTGCCTAAAGGAGAAAAGACTCAGTATTTCGATCGATCTCAAAGTTTCCTTAACAGTAAATTTACAACAAATAAGATATCAATGATATTTCATGTCATGTTAGTTTTTCACAAGTCACTAAAACTGCTATAACATTAAAACAGGTACTGTCTAAATATTAAATATTTTCTAATTTACTCAAAAATTGCACAACATTAGAATGTCCGTTTTCGATTGCAAAATCGAGTGCTGTTTTCCCTGCACTGTCCTTCTCTGAAATTAATAAGGGTGCTTTATCGAGAAGAGTCTGTACGATTTCCTCAAATCCTTTGATACAAGCAAAATGCAATGGTGACCTCTTTTTCCTGTCGAAAGTTGAGGGTACGGCGCCTTTTTCTAACAAAAGTCGTATTATCTTAGCTCGACCGTTTTTGGAGGCAGCTATAAGCGGTGTTGTTCCTTCATTATCACGACCATCAATGATAGCAGATTTCGTTAATAGCATATCAACTATTTCATAATGATCATCACTACAAGCTATATGTAAGGGCTGCTTACCTACATAGTTGGAATGGTTTATATCTGCACCGTTCAGCACAAGCATGGTCGCTATTTCTTGGTCACCACGTTTGCAAGCAATGTGCAAAGGAGAATCTCCTTCATCATTAAAGGTATTAATATTTTGTTTATTTTCAAACGAGGATTTAATTGCCTCCACTTTTTCATGTTCATGTCTGAGAGATGAAACTGCTTGATTTTGACATTCTAACGCTTCATCGGAAGGATTGTAACTGAGCAAAACTTTTACAATTTCAACGTTTCTTTTACCGCATGCAACATGAAGTGGTGATTTGCCCTTTTTATTACATGCATTGACAGAGCAACAATTATGCAATAATATATTCACTGTTTTTTTGTGTTCACCTTTGCAAGCAAGATAAAGTGCTGAACGACTCTTATTATCACATTTCGAAATGTCAGCTTTATTTTGTATCAACAGTTTGACGACTTCATCACGTCCATTGCTTGAGGCAATAAGCAGTGGTGATCGACCATAATCGTCACATTCTGATACGCTGGCTTTCATGTCTATTAGTAATTCTGCTACTGCTTTTCTACCACTTTTGCATGCAGCAAAAAGTGGCGTCCATCCATTTTTATCTCTAGTAGATATACTTGAACCTGCTTGTATCAATTTTCTAACTGTTTCTGTATGGCCGCGTCCAGATGCCAGAAATAAAGGTGTATGTTTTTCGACATCCAGTAGGTCTACAGTATGCTCTTTATCCAATAACAGTTTTACAACATTTTCATGTCCTTTTTTAGATGCTGCGTGCAGTGGTGTCCTTTTTTTGTCATCGGATTGCGAAATGTCCAGGTTTGTTTGAAGCAGAACTTCAACAATTTGTTCATGACCTTTTTTGCAACAAACATATAAAGCAGATCTACCTTTATGATCACGCACAGATATATCAGCATTTTTTTCGATGAGTAATTTCACTATGTCTATATGATTTAAAAGCGCTGCCATATAAATAGATGACCTGCCAAAAGTATGAGTACCGTTTATATCACATCCTACTTCCAATGCAAAATCAACAATATCGGCATATCCCTCTATTACAGATTCAATTAAAGGTTTACACAAGCTGCTGATATCATGACTGCGTTTTTCTTTTAATTCAGTATAATACGAATCATGATCGTAATTCTTCCAGTCCGTGATGGATATATTTCTATCTTTTTGGGATGCATTGTTATTTTGCCTGGCTTTTAAGTTCGCTATGCTATCTTTAATTTTAATAAATGTGAGATGTTCTCGACAATGTTTTAGAAATCTTTTACGATAAATTTTGTCTTCCAGTTGTCTATTGTGAAAAAAACTATAAGTATCACCATTTTCTAAATCATTAATCAGTCTATCGAAATACAGGGTCTCATGTTCCGTTGTAATGCAAATAAGCATTTCCTTTTCAGCTAATTCATTGTGTATTGTTTCAAGTTTATATCTTTCTGCAATGAACTTACTACTTGCAAATTTAACAAAATGACGGAAGAAGTATTCACCACATATAACTGCAGCGATATCGTATATCTTAGCATGTACAAAGCTGCAAGTTTGGTCGCTTCTAACGACAAAGGTCTTTTCCAAAATATTAAGATTTTTCTCTAATTCGGCTTTCACTGATATATCTCGAAGATTTAATGACAAATGTGTAGATATGCCATCTATAGATCGTTTTACCTTTTCAGGTAATTTTGGCGCATCCAGCCAATCAACAGTGAATTGGTTATCTAATAAGACCAAAAGAGTAATTAGAAAGAACTGATCGCGTTGCTGTTCTTTAATCTTGTTAATATCTTTTGTTATCCATTCAATTGGTCTTTCAAAGAATACACGAATTTGATCGTTTAATTTACCTTTCGAAAGCTTACAAAGTAATGGAAAACTTAAATCTTTTATACTGTCAACCATATTAGCGTGAAACAATTTATTTTTTATCATAATTTCTCTCTCATTGTCTGATAAAGGCCATTTTGATAGGCTGACTGTGTACTGTTTATAAAAATCAAGCATACTAAATAATGGATCATTATAAACATCACTATTACAGGCTATTAATATTTTTATGTTTTTCTTAGCAATATCTTTTTTATCTAAACGCATTTTCGATTCGATAATGTCCTCAAAAAGTGTTGTATAATGAGGTAGAACCCAAAGATCAACAGACGTTTTGTAAATTGTGTCCCTTCCACAAAAATCATCTACTACGAAGACTTGTTTTCTATCCGCATTGTAGAAATTTCTTATTATAACTGGTACCATTACTATAGGCACTATATCGTAATCTTCCTCTAGCCACAATTTGACGGCAAGGTGTCTAATCAATGAAGTTTTGCCATCCCCTGAGCCTCCAACTACAAGAACGCAGTTCCTTTCTTTTATCGTTTCTTCTAAATTCGTTGAAGCTGTTGTTGGACTAAAACGTTTGTCGTCATCGAGCCAATCGTGTATGTACCTTGTGTTAAGCTCTGAATAATAAAACATAAAATAATTTCCTTTTTAAAAAAAATATATAAATACTTGTCAACTATGTGAATATGGTTGTACATTTATGTTTACCTTCCTGTTTATCACCTTAATTTGATTATTATTTGATTAAAACATAAAAAAGATAGGAATCTTTAAAATTATTGGTACACCAGATCAGACAAACCACCAACACCCAACTCGTCCCAAAATATAGACTTATTAACAAAGACAAGCAACGATAAAACAGATAGTCCAGACCGTCTGATCTTTAGATTTACCGTTTGTGTCTTATTATACGTTGCGACGATTTGGCTTGGCGTCAACTCGCATGGCAGATGATACATGCAATAGCACGAGACGCTTACACTGTCGACGGACCACGTCTTGTTTTGTTAAGAGTTCAAGTAAATGGCTCGGGTCTTGTTGTTATCTTGATCTGTATATTTTAAAGAATGGATTTACGAGGTTGGAACATCAATAAATTGTACGGGCACAAAATTTGCCTCTTTTCCATCTAAACAATATGTCGTAAAGGTAAAACTCAAAAATAAAAAAAAACATGTGCACATTGTACATGTTGTAGCTATCAACAGGATGACCACCAACGCGTACAAGAAAATAAATGGCATATGATGTGGAAGGCAGAGTCAAAATGTCCTCTTCGTTATCTATAAGAAGGTAGCTAATAAGAACACATACTAGCTGTTTGTTGAATACTAACTCTAAAAAAGAGAAGCTTTAATATAGTCACAAATATGTGAACTCACAGTGCATTTATGTATCAAACTTGTTTTTTTTTTCTATTTAAACAGGAAATGCGTATTCGCTTTATCCATTGTCATCTATATCTTGTTGACACATTTAATAGAATTTACCTCTGTTGTACTGTGGGATGTTTTTATTACCATCTTCATCGTCACTCAAATCCTCATCAAGTTTATCAAAATTGTCAACTACAATACAAAATTTCTATTATAAAAAAAGGAGATGTGAAATGATTTATCAAAAAGACATATATGCGGCAAAGACCAAAAACAATGATCTGAACAAGGATCTAATATGAACCACTACAAATCATCATAAAGTCTACAACAACGAACATACACAAACTGTAAGAGAAAACTCTACAGGCTTCAAATGACTCAATCTTATTGATTATAAATATAAAATCAAAGTAATGTGGTATAATTGCAAAAATGAGGGAACTATCCATATAACCAAAGAACAAATAATAAACAATTAAAGGACCTCAACAATGAGCAAAACCCATAAGTTATACTTAAGTAAACAATAGAGGTTCCCATGTGACAAAATATAAACATTTTAAAGGATAAAAAGACCTTTACAACACAACAACAATAAATGATTCACAAGTATTGCAGACAAAATATGAAATATCATTTCATAAAATTTTCAATAGTTCAATGAGTCAATATGTATTGCCATTTTGCAAAGGGTTTGAACATACGTTTATGTATAAACTTTTTTTTATTAATCGAATAAGATGCCTTTACGAATTCAATTTGTTTTTTTTTTAAATAAACAAAACATTAGCTCTGATATTATTAAGAAGTGATTTAATTTAAATGTTTATTGAATAAAAAGAAATTGATAATATGAAAATGTTGACTTTTTTTCTCCCTTCAAATTACATGCATCATTCAAGTTTGAAATAGTAGGTTCAGATAAAGCGATTTCATCAAAAAATAGTTTTAATTCATTAAATGTTATAAGTTAACATTGAATTTGAAGAAGGGAGTGTTCTATTTGTAACTTTTTCTTTCGTCAGCTCCCTCGGTTGCATTATTTGAGGTAAATATTTGGTTATGCCGCATTGTACAACATATATACAGGTAAATTTTCATCAACAGTTAAAACAAACTATTGAATGCTTTGAAAGTAGTAAGGGAACTAGTTAAAAGCCCTGAAAGATCAGTTGTAGAACACTAACTAGAGGCCAGGATAAAAATACATTTAACGGTTTTTTGTGTAGTTTAGGTAACCAGTACATATTTATATAATTTTATATATATAATATCATTTCTACACACGCTTAAAACACATGTCATATGTCTATCTCTAGATTCGCCTTACGTGACTAGGTAACACTACGACTATTGAAGTTGTATTTTTTTTATATAGCGGATGTAGTCGAGAAGTCTAGAGCGCTGGACATGAGGCTAAGCGATTGTTGATGAAGTTTATCAAAGGTGTGAGTTCAAATCCCGTTGAGGGACAAAAATTTGTCAGCATAAAAATCTAATTCTAACACTGTTGTGTTTAATTTTCAGACTTATATATATATATATTTTGGTCTTTTGGAAAATGTTGTTTGTGCTGTATTTTGACCCCTCTAACAAGAAATTTGTTTTGCATGCACACGTATAAAAATTGCGGTTTTTATCCAACGCAATCATAGGTTTGAACGTTGTTTTCAATTTAGACTTGTTTATATATATATATATATATATATATAAATACGTCTGAACCAATGACAACTCTACGACAGATTTTATCCATAGAGTCGTAGAGTTGCCACTGGTTCAGACGTATTTAAAATATAATTATTTCTGTGACTGCATTCCACATTAATTTGTAAGATCCTCTACGATAGATAATTCAGCTGATCTGTAATATTCCATGCTCATGCCTCATATATCATGTACTGTGTTACGACGCTAGATAAAAACTGACGAGGAAAGGTAACACCCGGCCACCGAAAGCTTGATTTTTGTCGAGCCTAGGTGGTCGAGTGGTCCAGCGCGTCGGGCATAGTGCAAGGCGATTTGGTGCAACGATATCTCAGTAGCATGAGTTTGAATCCCGGCCAGGGAAGAACAAAAATGTAAACAGTTGCTAGGTGAAATCCATTATAACGAAATTGAGGAGCATAAATAAATAGCATAGAGAAAACAAATATAGGAGACATATCGATCCTCAAAGGAATGTAAATTTAGTACTTTATGAGTGTTTATACTGGTACGTAAGTGATTTACAACATACCGTGTGTTTCATTGATCTGATTTGCAAGTGTTGAGTATCCATGGACTTGTAAAGCTTGAATAAAATGCTCGAACCAAGCCTTGTTTCCTCTCCATAGATTTTGAAGAAGTTCCTGATTTTTGTCCTTTCGCCTTAAGCATTTTCCTGATATAATAGGTAGGTCCTCTTTGTGTAAAACGTTTTTGTTTATCATATATGTAGTTATAGCGTCGTAGTCTATTGTCGTGATGATATCGTAATAATTTGCCTTTATACGCCTCCTGAACCTATCTGCATTTGCAAAAAAATAAAAATATTGATATCAGAGTTAGATGTGCAACGTTTATTGGTATTCATTTTGTACCGTTTACAAGAGTAAAATAATATGTGTATCAATTATTATAATTGATCAGATAACGCTTACCACATTACCTTTCAACAACAAGGTGAACATTAGACAAAAAAGACCAGTAACCGTCCGCATGGTCAACTTGTAGTTAATGAATCATCAGACCTTGCTTATTTTTACCTCATATATATTTCTAATATATGTACTTTTCGAACCGTCCATTAATTTTTCTTATATCAAATACATTTTTACTTCTGAAATTATAGCAGTTATTTACATTTTAATATCTTTCATTTCAAGAAATTAAAGTAATGTCATGTTTGCAAATATGAAAATAGTATGTTGGCCTCAGATAAAATGTTCTGAGGGACACAAGTACTTTAAATTTTAAGTTCATGATGAGCTAAAACCCAAAAATTGTCGACAGGAAAAAAAGAGACAATAGAAAATCAAGACCAAGGTAAAAGAGGACAGTAGAAGAAGGGAAAACATAGAAATGCAGTTGCCTAATACATTGTATGTAGTTTTTACATATATTTAATACATGCCTCTTAAATTGCTTTCTATTTTATTTCTCATGTCGACTGACTGGACGTCTACAAAAATAATAAAAAGCAGCTGCATGATAATAGACAAGAATGTGTAAGAAGGGGTACATCAACTATTCGTTATTTTCATATATAATTCTTAAACATTTTCTTGGAGAGGTTGATGAAATTTGTTTGGCCATTATACCGATCTTTAGGAAACTAAGCAGTTATTCGTTGTCGGTACAATTATGGTTTAAAAATGACACATCTGATTTATGTAATTCTTTTATGAAATATAATTTATTGTGAACTCAATTTTTAGTAACTGTTACTGTCGCAATGATATTTTATCAGAGGAATTAATGTATAATAGTTTTTTTCTTATTATTTGCTCAATATTGTATTATTAGGTGAATAAATGTAAGACATTTATGTTATTAAGATTGCTGCATTTGAGAAAAAAAAATATAACAAAGTTTTTTTTAGTCATCGTTCACTTGACCATTCTTTTGATTATTTAACTATTTTATAACATAACTTACTAAAACATTTTGGAAACTGAAATACTGATAACACTATTGATAAACCTGAAAATATCAACATGAAGATATTTACCAATGATCAATTACAGTATACTTATAGACATTTTAGAAATAGTGATAGGTTTTATTGATTTATATATAACCCATCTATTCTTCATTTATAGGCCTTTTATAGCTTACTGTTGTGAAGATTTGTATCATTGGCAATAATGCTGCATCTTCTTATTTCTATATGAACAGCACCACATTGTTTTAATTCCTTTGAATATCGAGTACAGACATGCTTTTCATATAGTATATATCATGACTATGATATTAAGACTGGATTGTTTGCAGACAGTCTGTCGAAATTACTGGTTCTGTAGGAGGTTTGATAGGTTTGACATTGATAGTTTCAAATGCAATAAATATGATAAAGCAGAGATGACAGCGGTCTATCGACCACCGATTGTCGATTCAGTATGAAATAAATTGTTTAACAGATCAACTATACATTGAACAATGTAAATTAGGTGTAGATAATACATGAAATTTCAATGAAAAAAGGAAATGTATTTTGCAACTTGAGGCATCCTATACGCCAAATATGCAAAAATATCAGTACAAAATAATGATGCTATGCTGTAAATTTTCCAAGTCATCATCTCTCAGTGCTTTTCAACTTCGTATTTTATTCGGCCTATTTAATAATTTTGATCCGAGCGTCACTGAGCAGTCTTTTTGAATGTATAGATCATTTAAAAGATTTGATTTGCATTACAGGCATCGACTTTCAGGTTTACACAAAACCAGTAGTTGTTTTTAATTATAGAAGAAACGTTATTTTGGTAAAACGATGATTTGTTTTTAAATTTGCAGAGTATTTTATTTAAAATTGAAGTGTCCAAAAGTTAATCTATCGTAGCGTAATCTTGTTACCTCTAAAATAGTATTTAATCCTTACATTCGTTCTATACTTTTCTATTCAAGATGTGAAACGCTTAATATCAAATTGAAATACTTACACATAGCCACAAGTGCGGTGTATACACAAAACACGAAGATCATTATGTCTTCTTTCTGAGATGATCTTTGATCTGTAATAATTATATGTCAGCCGCAATTAGAGGATAATGTAATGACAACTAATTACTTTATCAGTTATTTTGTTTGGGTAGGACAATATTTTTGTACTACACTGTCACCACCAAAACAAATTAGTTTAAATATTCTCTTTTTATCTTTTACCATAGTTAGATTCTTTTTCCTTTATTATTCCCTACTACTTGTGTACCCTTTAATGTTTGACACTGAAAGGGAAGCAACTCAAAGGACTTGTGTTAAAATAAAACAAAAAAGTGTTAAAAAAGGGACTTCTGTAGTTCCTGTCGTATAAGTATAATCAGGTCTGATTTTAATTCAGTGCACAGAAGTAAATTGGAAATCATATCCAGTGCATGTGACTTAACACGTAAATAGCGACAAAACAAATCAAAACACGAACGATAAACACTTAGTTTAAAATTTGTATGAAAAGATTGTAACATTATTGAAAAGTAAAAATGAAGCAGCATGCAAAAAATGAAATAACGAAAATACCGAACAAAGTATCATATATTAAGAACCAAATATATATTAAAAAAACTCATCAAAAACAGGAAAATAAGAAAAGAAAAAAACATCAAATCTGATATGGTCGAGATGGAGCAACAATACTGAAAATAAAGGTATCGCAATACGAATCATACTTCAAGACAAAACATTTTTTTTTCTCTCCGGTTTCATAGTTGCCTCATAATTTCCTTTAGCAGAGAGAGAGTCTCGACATCAGAAGAATATTCCGGCTACCTTTTAAATTCTACACACAGGATGAAAGTATGACATTCCTCGATCATTTTTGGAAAACCAATTATTAAACTGTATGTATATATGTATGTTACTATGCTATGTACACGATTTCAATTTATTTCAATTAAAATATGTTTCTGTGTAACCTTTGGCTAGTTTAAATCATACGTTTATGCGATGTGTGCAGTATTGATATACATTTGTTTCCTGTATTTTGTTATCGTTCCAATTTGATCTTTCATTTTGAATATACAAACTGTATACACTATTTTTTTGGCAAAAAAAAAACGTTTCGATGGAATATTTCAAACAATACATTGAATAAACAAACATACATGTGTCCTTTGCGTCCAGATGTTGACACCAAAAGCTATGATGTAACATAGAAGATAGTTTCGCCTCTACTTGTTGTGTTTTCCTATTTCAATGTAATGAAATGAATACTTCATACAACTATTGCTAATTTAATTATCAACAATTGAACAATTTGAATATTAAAAATATTAGGTAAACATCATTTCCACTGTGGTGATATCAAATACCTTCAGATGTTAATATATAACAGTGTTACGTGTGCACGAGTTAAATTACAATATGGGAGAAAAGGTGTCTTGTTTTTTCCATCTGTAAATTCAAAGTTAGTCTAAAGATTTAACGACAAATGCAGTTTTAATATTACACTTTTTCTTATCTACTAGTAAATTCTATACGCTATTTTTATAAATTTCTAGCAACAATGACCCAATCCGTATAAAGATTTTTCGCCTAACCGATCATGCATAACCGCACTGCGTACGACCAATGATTTGTTTTGACTCATGAGTACCGAATCTAGGAGGAAATGCACCAGTCTAATTATTTAGTCTTTTAACTGATCCAACCAGGATTGGACCAAACACCTGAACTAGTATACATTATTATTTAGGGACCAACTGATGCCCGCTTCCGGGTGGAGGATTTTCTCGTTGTTTTAAAGACTGGTGGCCTTTGGCTTAGACCGCTACGACGAGATCATCGAGTGTTTCAAAAGCTTAAATTTTTTTTTAAGATCCTAAATGAAGTCTTATGTTTGACACTTGCCCCGTCGAATGATGTGTTTCCATCTCCCGTTTGCAACCCACGGAAAGAAATTGCTCGCAGTTTTGTTTCTGGGATGTACGAGGCATATGTTAATACGCGATATCGACCGGATAAATTATAAGCATCTCCGAAATTTGGATTATTGATTGTATTAATTATTTCAAACAGGAGGGAGCTCATTTTGAATTAAAATACATTTAATTGCAGAATCAAAAAATGATAATGTCGATTAATGTAATCTCTGGCATGATCAGTATCGAAGATATTGGCATTTGAATATGTGCATGTCCTCAAAAAAGAATCATGTCAATTGTTGTCTTTTTTCATTTTTTGCTATGTGTGTGTCATTTTGAGAATGTAGTGTTGATGGAAAATCTGTGTTAGTCTCGGGGTAAATACATATCTATCTTTATTAAACTGAAGAGATATAACATATTATATACACACCTGTTGTTTTGTTGATGACCGTGTATTTAACACTACATGTATTTAAGTATACATTGCTGGGTTACTATCTCTTTGGTGCTACATATATTTTTATTCGCACATTACACGCTTTTCATAAGACTACAACATTAAGTCATACACATAAAGCTTCATCAATCGTGTGTTTTTTTTACAACTCGTAACTAGGTAAAGGAATCCATATACGATGCATTAGTAACACGATGATGATAGATGCTTTTTCCCGTTGACTTTTAATATTATGAACGAAACTGTTTCTTACTTTTATTGAAATGTTTATTTACCTTGTCGATTCTTTGCCAGTTTTTGAACATTTATAGTTTCCCGTCCAATTTGATGTTTTAACACACTGGTAATCTGAAAGAAAAAAATGTTTACGTATTTTATAATATTTTACGTAATGTCTGATATGTTGTAGATAGGGAAAGTGGAGGATTGTGACATGTTAAACTAGTTTTACCTTACCACAATTCGTGGTTATATGGACCAAATTTGTTCGTTTAGTTTGTATTTATTTGATTGCCTTTGTTTCGGAGACAAGTGTTGTTTGTTAATGTGGTCTGTTTTACTGTCAAAATGTTTATTTATTCCGGTTTTCCTTTGTTATGTATAATTCAATAGGGATATATCCTATCAATCAAACTTCTCTATAACTTTACCGGCTAAAATGTAAGGCTCTATTATTACTTCTGTTATCAAATGTGAACAATGTTAAAAAAAAATACAGAAGATACTGATAAACAAGGAATTTACCTCAATCAATTTTACTTTACTACATTACATCACTACAACAACCTTAAGTTTAGTTATATTATTTTTATCATTGAACTTTAAGCAAAGAGCAATCATTAAATATGCTATAAAGAAATATTGTTTTAACAAGGCGCTCCGGTGAGTGTGTGAGTGTTCTCGGGTAAAAGGTTATAATGATCTTATCTGTTCATCGCCTTAATGCATAATCAAATGTACTTCATAGAAGCTGAGTCATAAACCTGCATCAATTACCTGGTGTTAAAACGTAATCATGCCCACAAGACCTGAAATAGCAGGAACAGTCTTCATATGCTGGATAGCAAAAACAGTCATTGTTTGGTTTATGCACGAAGCCGTATCCTTTTGTGTGGTCACATCGACATGCTCTGTCAGAGGTTGAATTTCCATTATTGAAATTGTTTTGGCCTTCTTCACTACAGTTCGACTTTGTCAAAGCGCACTCACTACTGTAATTAGTCCAAAATTTAAATGGTTGAAAGAAGTCGCCGCTACACAGTTTTCCAGTCAAAGCACCACTTACTACAAACTTGTAGCCTGAAATGACAAAAGCAGTTACAAAATACATTTTAAATAAAGCACCGTCACACCTTTTTGTTCAACGAATATGCTTAATATATATGTAAGTATGGTAAACAATTTCAAACGTGTTTTTAGGTTTATATATCAACACTTTGGTAAAATAATATGTTTAGTTGCTGCACCAAAAGATAGAGTTTGTTATGGGATTTAAAATACGATTTCCCTTTAGGTGCCCGATTAGGATGATATGTTTACCCGGAGTCTTGTGTATTTTGGTCCAGTAAATTACTTATATGTATGTCTAGTAAATAGAAAAGGATATGCATATCATGTTATTAACTTCATTTGCCGGACACTGCACGTTGAATGGTCAATTTATTTCTCAATCTTGTTTTTTCTAATAATAAGACAGAAAGATTCAGAGAGTTCAGAAAAATTGGATATGAAATTGATTTTGGTATGACACTTTTCCTTTTAAAGAAACATATATATCAGTATCAGTAGTTCAGAAAATGTATTAATAACCCTCACCTGGTCGGAAAAATTCGGATCCATTTCTACAAAATTCAGTAGGAGCATTTCTATTTTCGTCGAGCAGACAGTAATAATCAGGTACAGATCTGTTGCAAAACCCCTTTTCTTTAAACTGCCACTGTGAACTATCGGGACATCTTATATCAAATGTCTGCAGCAACGATGCCGGATTCAATAGCTATTAAAATAGTTTTTGACGCCACATTGAATATGAAAATGAATAAATTAAAAAAAAACAAATAATAAAGTAAATTGAAATTGCATCTAACTCAATCAAACAAATGACTCTCGGACGATGCGATTTGACAGGTTCGTTCATTCATTCGATAAGCTTTAAGGAAAACTTAAGCTGAGTATGAAATTATCATCGATACTTCATGAAAGAATATGAATTATTTTTCCTAAATGTTTATCCTCCAGTAAAGATACTAGTGTCAAATTATCGGAAGTATTCATTTTGATTAGGGAAATTTGTTTTTGTCTTTATTTTGAATAATTTTTTTATTGATCAATAGGTCAACTGTATGCGAGGTTTAACGTTAACATAAATAATAGTATGTTGAAAGTCTTGAAATATAGTTTTGTTCTTTGCATGAGCTAGTCATTGTAAATGAAGTGTTTGTTCATTATTTAAAAACAAAACTTATCTCATTGTTAAATCTGTTTTTTTTTCATTGTGAAATGTAATTTCACAGCCCCTGTTGTCATAATTATATCAGATTTAAGGTGGAATGAACTGTTTAACTTCAGATTAAGTACTTTCTATTCTATCTTTGAAGCAGTATAGATAAACACCGTATTTCGTTTTTAAAATGTTCATATTAGTTCTCGCCGTGGTCGGTTACTCTTTAGTTTCATGGGTAAAAAAGAATTTGTTTAAGTTTTCTATTTCGTAATCAAGATATAATTTCATGGGTTTTATTTTAGTATTTGTAAATGAATATTGAAAGTGAATCATGTGGTCAATGTGTATTTCAAAAGTAAAGAAAATGTTGTTTTTCCCAAAGAAGACCTAGAATTATTTTAAAATAGATATAAGAAGATGTGGTATGAGTGCCAATAAGACAACTCTCCATCCAAGTCACAATTTGTAAAAGTAAACCATTATAGGTCAAAGTACGGCCTTCATCACGAAGCCTTTGCTCACACCGAACAGCAAGCTATAAAGGGCCCCAAAAATGACTAGTGTGAAACCATTCAAACAGGAAAACCAACGGTCTAATCTATATAAAAAACGAGAAACGAGAAACACTTATAAACCACACCAACAAACGACAACCACTGAACATCAGGTTCCTGACCTAGGACAGGTGCAAACAAATGCAGCGGGTTTAAACGTTTTAACAAAAGACTATTTAATTTTGGTAACTTAATTTAAAAAAAAATTATTAAAATAAGCTATTTAGCCATATGCTGGCGACTCCAGTACCTTTGGAAAAACAACTTATTACAGCATTATATATTACAGCAATTAATACAAAACGTTGCTAACTGAAAAATAATTGTTATCCAATAAAATTTTATGGACATTTTTAGCAACTGAAGATGTTAAAGATCGTAAACACTTTTTTACAATATGATGTTAATATCATTTATAAAAGAATAGGATAAGATAAGCTGGTAATTATACTTTAAGTGTACAAATTTAAGATGTCATCGTCACGCATTCCAATAGTCCAATTTTCCAGGAGAATTTTATTTTCATGGACTAAAAAATATATATATGAGTAACTTCCTTAACTTAAAAAATACTTCACTCAAATCAATTAATTTGTTTAAGACATCTTTTATGCCATATCACTATAGTTAGAGCGGCTTGCTATTCATATTAGTAAATATTAATGAGCAGGTCTCAAAATGCCGTATTGGGCATCATTCCTATAAAAACATAGTCCTATTGGTCAAGTGATAACTGAAGACCTTTGCATAGTAAAAAATTAAATTATGTCATCGGTCCGTTAAATGGAAGAGGTACTTCACGTTACTGATGAATTCAGTTGAGGCTTATGCCAGAAAATTTGGAAAGTTCGAGCAAAATAAACCAAAACTGGACATTTTTTTAAATGGATCAAAGTTGTTCGGTCATGAATTCAGAAGCGCATTAAAAATTTACGATGTAAAATGAGCTACAGGTTTCTGAATCGTTTCAGAAGCCTAGGGTTGTGGTTGCTTTATCGTATTTTTGAGACAAATATCTTGTTGTACCAGTAGAGAAAATTTCAGACAATTTGTGTGTGTTTTCACTTTTTGGAATGTCTATATAAAGAACTTGAAATTCACAGCAAAACTGGGAATACCACATAAACCCCTACATCTTTCATTAAAAAGGAGATTTTAAACAGTTTTACTGTGTGTCGATGCATGCATAGCAGGAGACACTTACCTTGTCGACACACCCGGTATCGCTCCTTTTGGGGTTCATACGATTCCCTCCAAAAAATGTTTGCTACCTTGCTTTGGTCTCTACTGACTTGATAAATGAATCGGTAAAGTACTTTCGCCTTTATTTAGAGTATTACGTAAAAAAGGAATTCAGCAGGTGTCTTAGAAAGAAAATCAAATTTACCAAAACTGATATAGGGTGATACATGCGTAGCAGAAAATGTTTACCCTGTCAGTGAACCAGTCTCGCTCTGTTTCCATTGCATCAGATTCTCGTCGTTTTGTTTTTCATCTTGATTTGTAAATTCAAAATAAATTTACTAGATTTTACTATCAGTTAGTTACTGCTGTTTCTCTTGAGACCAAATGACGTAGATGTAAGCAACTATAGGTCACTGTACTGTTCAGACTATTAAGAATGGTCAACAGATAAATAACAGCTTTAAATAACTGAGAAATAACTGCACAAGTGTCCGAATTGTAGCGAATTTATCGGAATTCATATGTGCGTAAATATTTTGAAAAACTGGACGCAAGTTACTGATTTTTTTCTAAATACATGTATATAAAAATGACCATATGGTTTCATATTTCCATTATAAGATCAAAGTTTTGGAAAATTATCTACAATTCACAATGTATATATTCGCATTTTTCGTGAATTATACTTACATGCAAAACAAAAAGCCATACAAACATTCTGCAGTATACTATCAATACAGGAAATTATATCCTATAAAATATCAAGTAACTAATGTATACCGAAACGTATAATCCATAACAGATAATTATATTCTAAAATCGATATTACACACAAATTCATATTCGATAATTCGATAATGTTACAATGAAATTTCAACCAGTTTAAACTGTCAGGTAATATACGGTTTCAATAATTACTATTTGAAATAAACGCATAATTAACAAGTCAAACATTATTACTAATAAAGACGTCTTTACATAATTAATTGTAAACAATACAAGATATTCTCTTATAAAGAACTTAAATTGTAATCTATTGAAAGTCATGTTATCTTAGATTTAATCATGTAAAGTGTAAGGAGATGGGTAAAGTGTCCCCGTGTTTGTTTCCCTAGCAGAGTCATAATCTGAAAATTGTAAAATCCTTCTGGTATTAGAACATTAACACGCTTAAAGAATCTATGAAAATAAACTCATCATATATACTAGGATTGAAATTTTGTATTTGCGCCAGACGCGCGTTTCATCTACAAAAGACTCATCAGTGACGCTCGAATAAAAAAAAGTTAAAAAGGCCGAAAAAAGTGTTAATTTGAAGAACATTGAGGACCAAAAAATCCTAAAAGTTTTGCCAAATACAGCCAAGTTCAGCTTTACATATTGATGTTGAAGAAAATTTTTGCAAATTTAACATGTTTTTACCAGGTTAAGCATCGAAGAACGTTCTTGAGAAAATGAAATTCGTTGAATTCGTTGAATTGGGAAAACAATTGACGGGGTTCAGGTTGTTCAGTCTATAGTTTTCTATGTTGTGTTACATGTATGTAGACTGTTACTTGTCTTTAGATCGTTTTTCTTTTCTTTCCATGGTATTGTCCGTTTGTTTTAGACTTATGAATTTGATTATCCCATTATTATCTTTCGCCTCTCTATCAAAGTACACATTGAAGTATATAATACTTTGATATTTTTTTAAAGATTGAGGTATGTTTTTATAACATTGCTCTTGAGTGAAATTAAGTAAATTAAGTACAAATTACCCTACCTGTTCTACGGTGAGATTGAACTAAATGAAAGGCGATTATATGTATTCCTCAATGAAACAGAGTCTAAACGACATAAAGACGCGTCTTAACAATATTTCAAGTCATGAATAATCTAGTGTCTAAAATAGTGAGACGATAATAGATAGAAACTGCTATCAGTACATCATACTTTATATAACAAAAAAACTTTTAATAGGCCGGAAGACAATCAACGAAGGTGTCTCTTACTTTATATATGCACAAATGTCCCCGTTCAGACTAATTTATTCTTGATTTATGTGAGCTAAAAAAATCTAATAGTGGATTAAAAGTAAATACTTCAGCCGATTGTTCAGATTTCTATCTAATGCAAGCGATAAGAATAAAACATTCAACTTTCATTCGATATCACGAGTTGGCTGACCGTCATGGAATATCCGTTTCACAGATGATAGCTGATATATTCTAAATGCTGTAACTACAATCCCATCCCCTTTTCCCCGAATGTGACCCACCGAATTAGACTTATTACAGGGTTTGTACTAACATGAGCAACACGACGGGTGCCACATGTTGAGCAGGATCTGCTTACCCTTCCGGAGCACCTGAGATCACCCCCAGTATTTTGTGGGGTTCGTGTTGCTCAGTCTGTCGTTTTCTATGTTGTGTTTTGTGAACTGGTGTTTGTCTGTTGGTCTTTTTTTTTAGCCATGCATTTTCAGTTTATTTTCGACTTATGAGTTTGAAATTCTCTTTGGTACCTTTCGCTTCTCTTTCACCTTTGTTCATACATATCAACTGGAGTTTAAAACAAAAACAAGCATGAATGACCTTTTCAGTGTATCATACAAGTTTATTTAAGAGAATATGCACACGACGAAATTGTTAAACAGCAATAAAAAGAAAGGGATGCCTAGGGGTAATAAAAAAAACCAAACACCATGGCCAAAACTAGAAAAGATGAAAAGTCTACCAAATGTCCACATAGAGCTTTACAGAAAATACAGATTGTGCTACACTAAGCAATACAAAAAGTCCAATATTTACGGGAAACAGTTTTAAACTATAAATTTACAACTTTCTTTCCATTCCTATAAATAAGTTGATCACGAATTGAAAGTTAGTTATAGTATGACATGTAAGTCTCTTGAGTCACAATGAGTTATTTAAAGCAAGTTAAACCAGTTTTTCGATATCACAAACTAGTCAAAACATTTACTAAATGTTATCATCGGTACAAGGACATCATTCGTAAATATAAATCAACATGTGGACATCTTATACGTTCGGGTATTTCACATCCAGTCTTTTATGGTAATATTCTATACATTGCACAAAATGTCGTCATTCAACTCAAAAGCTAACCAAACCTTTAAACAGACTTTTTCAGAAAGAATATAGTTACGATACTGTTGTCAGGTCATTAAAGATGGCATATTGTGGAATTAATATTGATTCACTCATAGGGTCTTTGAATCGGAAATAAACACATTTATTCTACAACCAATTGTTGGCATGATACGGGTTATGTTCTTCTCATATATTCTATGATGGTATGATACTAAACAACTAACGGGAGGGATTGTGCTTGATTTTCATATGATGGAGACATAATCTTTCAATCAGTTTGATTGAGGTCTGGAGCTGGCATGCCAGTAATTACTAGTAGTCTTTTGATAATTTATGTACCATTGTCATTTTGCTTAGTTTCTTCTGTTACCTTTTCTGACATCGGACTCGGACTTCTTTCAAACTGAGTTTTACTATGCGTAATGCTGTGTGTTTGTTTATTCTATATTGGCTAGAGGTATAAGGAGAGGGTTGAGATCTCACAAAACATGTTCAACACCGCCGCATTGTTGGTGGCCTTGGATTTCCATTTGAACCTCAATCCCAACAAACTTTTCATCATATTTCAACATATGTGGTTTTATCCCGATACGTGCATTTCATGGAAGTTATTCTCATGTATGGGTAGATATGTTAAGTGTGTATGTTTACCTTTAAATAAACACATATATATATATATATATATTTACTTCATTATTACAAATTACCTTGACACCACTGATACAAGTTTGTGACATTTAAATGGAACTGATATTCACAACTATGTGACAAAAAAAAAAGATAATACAAGAATACAAAACTTTTCATTTCTTACCTTAAACAAAATATTTTTATTTGTTTGGAGAGATCCCAATTGTCCAGTCAGCTGTGTTACTGTTATACACTGTTATACACAATCTATATTGCGAAATTCAAGTACCCGGATTATTACATGATATAACATGCACATTACGTATCATTACACAGTAGACAACGTTTACGTTTTAAATGTATTTCTTTTGTAAAATAAAAAATAACAAATAAAATAATTATACCGTGTAATAATACAATACATAAATATGTACTATTAAAGAATTTTTTTAAATATTGATAAAAAGTAATTAAGTTCTCAACGTCTTGCCATAACTATGTTCAAATAGTCTACTGTTGAATTCAAATCACCTAAAGTATGATGAACATTACTTATTTCTTTTACTTTAAATTTGTCAGTATTGAATTCAACTAACTGTTGATAACTGAAGAAATATATATATTGATACAGTGAAATCTGTCCAAACTGAAACGTTTCTAAAGAAGAAACCTCATATGTCCTCCTATAACGGCATCGGTATATTTTTTAAAACTAAAAACCGATAACCTATGTGAACCTTCCAAATATTGCAATGACTTCCACTGTAAATTAATTTGAAAAAGTTATAATTGTAGCATTGTGTCTTCAACGGCAATTTATATCATGAAGAAAAGGGGGAATTGTTGCGAAATCCTAAAGTAAATTATCTGGACTTTAAAATTCGATTTCCACCAGGTTTGGCCTAATGGGAAAAAGAATTTACGTTGAAATGACTAATGCTCCAATGAGATAAAAGCACTTTCATACCCGTCGTTTCTCTTGTTTTTAAATCACGGCTTCTCAAATCGATCGCTGAAATAAGGTTATACAATTTATTAAATTGTTCGCTTTCTTTGATGAAGTTTAAACCAAAGGTAATTCCAATTGCTTATTTACTAATTGTTGTTTGCAATTGGATTTGGATTTAAAATGAAGCATTGACATTTGCAGTATATTTTATTATAAAGGTAGTAACTGACTCTCAAACAAGATAGGATAAATCCTTACAAAACAAATTCTGTTGATTCATTTTTATTCGTGGTATACCAATTTTCGTGGGTTTCGTGGGTCACAGCGAACCACGAATTTAATTCAACGAAGAATAATCCCGAGAAATGTGCATGGAGTCGGATGTTAATTTCCGGTTATGTTATGCAGTTCTAGTATAGTGTTGACTAGCGATAAACATTGTAACAAATCACATGTTTTTATTGAAAGAAGATACAAGTATTTTGATTAAATCAATAATAAAAATATCGAATATCATTGATAATTTACTTTTTAAAATTGATTAAAACTGTTCATGGAAAATAACTGCAAGCTGTTAATTACCGTGTCAAAGTTTGGTTTACTTGTGATTAAAAATCAATAGGATTAAGTACGGGGATATTGCCCGTTGGTAATATTGTTTATGACAGGAACATTTATTTTCACACATTTTACTTATATGACTGTTTATTATATCGTGATTAGGGAAATGAGCTTCTAATCATAGAGTTTGAATGCCTTTTAAAATTCCGACAAGAATTTATAAATTGTCAAAAAAAAAACAAATAATTAGTTGTCTCTGTCCATTATTGTAATATAAGTTTTCAATGAACACTTTAATCAGATTGACCAAACGAGGATTTTGACAATTCAAACCTTTTTCAATGAATTCCTTCTTTTTTGTTTGTTTTATTATTAATCAAACCAAGGAGAATATATGATCTCCTATATAAAAAAGAAATCAACGAATTACGTATCTGATTTTTTTTTGTAATCAGCGATCCACGAATTTACGTATACCACGAAACGTCTTTTTTTCTCTATCCACGAAAATTGATACCCACGAAAATAAATGAATCCACAGTTGTTCATATAAAATTAGAGTGAGCTATATATTAAACGAATTAAATGATGTTCATTCTCAAATTATTTTAATCGGGATACAAGTATTAAAACAACCTTGAATACATCTTACTATTTTATTACAGTTACATTCTTAACTGATTCCTTGTCCAGGTTTTCCACATTGCTGGCCCAATATGGTTTTAAAACTCTTCAACGTTTGTATTAAGTTTAATTTAAACCATTGTGGTGACGTCAGGCTATTCATTTACCGTGGATTCTTTTTCCAGAATCAACGCTTCCTAAATCTGCCGCTGAAATTGACTCACCAAATTATATTCAATTGTTTCCTTTGTGTGCCTAATTTCATTAAGTTTGAATTGGCTAATTTACTGATTTCTGTTCACTAATGGAATTAATTTAAAAACTTACCGTTATTTTTTGTAATTTTTATATGCCTTCACTGGGAATCGAACCCTTCCTTGAAATCTTTTATGTGTGACTGACATCAACACATCGACGAAACCTCTCGGCTACCAATGGGTTACACTGTAGATGTCTATTTTATATATTTAAATGAACATCTGATATACATCGGTTCATCGGACACACAGGGCTTGTACCTTTATATAGACACAATAGGCAGTCGTATAGTATGAGTTAGTAGCCGCGAGGTTAACATGGTTAAAATCAATGAGTCAAAGATCGGGATTTGTCGGTTTAGGTTCGAATCCCTGTATTCTCTCTGTTGTTCCAATTCTTAAGTTATCCTGTTTTTTTTTCTAAATTTGCATGTTAAAGTGGATATTTTTGTAATAATAGCGAGTTTTTACCGTTTTTTTTTTAATTATTATTGGCTATTTCACATGTTTGAAACAAAAATGATTACATTCTATTTGTCAATTTTTGTTTTATAAATATAGTATGATTTCCTCTGTTTTACTACATAATTTTACAAAGGTTTGTTCGCAAATTCCTATGCGAGAAAATCGTGATGTGTCTAGAGTGCTAGAAAAATTTCGATAACATACTTATTTTATATATGCTTTTTGGTCGGGTTGTTGTCTCTTTGACACGTTCCCCATTTCCATTTTCAATTTAATTAGAAATAATTTCGAATATGTCTTATTTTGTATAAACAGATAATATTCATATGCCTGGTAATATAAAGATCTTTAAAGGTAGAAGTGTTATATTTGTGTTTTGTTAACCAATTAATTGTGATCTGAGATTTATCAATGCATCGTTGGACACGATAACATGGTTATTTAAACTCACTTACAATACCTTCTAATTAAGAAAAGGCTTTAGTTTTGAAAAGAAATTAACACAATAGTTTAAGTTATAGATACAATGGATAAGCGTAGATTCATGAAAAACAAACCATTCGCCCTCCGGGCTCATGGTTTCTTTTTCAAGAATCCACGCTTATCCATTGTATCTATATAACATATTCACTTAGTTGGACATCGTGCATCAATATATCACTAGAGATGCATTTTTTTTTAAATTTACTTTTATCGGTAACGCTTGAAAAGAACGCTGATGTATAAATACCGGAGTACGATAGCTATATTAAAAGGCTCCTAAAAGAATAGTTACATTCATCGAAGATCAATTCAGCCTGAGGGACTGGGGTCGGCACCTGAGAATCTAAATAAATCCTATAAACGGAAAATTTAAGAAAAATGTGTTAATAAACATGCAAATACCAATGTACTGACTACTGAACTGATGATACCCTCGGGTACTAACAGTCCATCAGCAGAGGTATCAACCCAGTACCAGTAAATGAAAATAACACTCTATAGTTATTATGCGTTCGAAGGGCTTTTCAGGATTAACTATCATTGTCGAAATGCGGAGTTAATTTTACTAATGGCACCGTTAATGTTGTTCAACATAAAGTGAAAATCACCCACATCTTTTAAATTTATATTTTTAATCTGCAAGTTTTCCATGCGACAATGACTTTTGTCGTACAAATGTAAATTTGTTCTTAGACAAAACATATTCCTATCAATCCATTTCGCACATAAAAGAGAGGCGAAAGATATCAAAGGGACATTCAAACTTATAAATCGAAAATAAACTGACAACTCCATGGCTAAAAAAGAATAAGACCAACAGACAAATAATAGAACACAACACACACCATAGAAAACTAATTTACAGTCGCGGATTCAGATGGGGCGCAATTCTGGCCCGCCCCTTACATCTTAAAATTATCATATATAGATATAAGAAGATGTGGTGTGAGTGCCAATGAGACAACTCTCCATCCAATTAGTCACAATTTGTAAACGTTTGCATTCAACACGCCCACATCTCTGTAAGAGATGTTTAAGGTTGAGTCCTTCTCAAATTGAAAATTCGTAATCCGTGTTTGTATATTTCTAATAAAACAGTAAGAGCGATCTACTCTTTTTTAAATGCACTTTCAGGATCATCTTACAAAATTCATACTCTTACACCCTTCAAATATGAAAAGAGGTTTAGATTTATATTACCACCTTAGTAATATATTTCGTCTTTTCGGAGCACCTCGTGTCTTTTAAAGCAATGATGGCAGAGATTTCACAGCTAATACCATGAGTGACCAAAATCCTTATGGCCCGAGGTAGTGATTGTTCATGGAATGCATAGACACTCGCAAAGTCAAGGATCCCTTAAAAAGGCACACACAGACATAAAGGAAATGTTAAAATCATAGATGAGCAACTATGGTACCAGACAGTAGTCTGAAGCTTTGTGTTTTGTTCAGTTGAACACAAAGTTCGTTCTCATATCATAAAGTTATCAAACAGTCACAATATACGACTCCTCAGGTGTTAGAGGCCAATATTGGTACATCGTCCTCTTGCCTCAAGTCAAGGCTTGAAACTGAAAGTAAATTTTAGAAGTGAAGGAAAATAATGAAACCAATGATCCTGAGGAAAACACAGAAACTGAATCGTCTGCATCAGAACTATACACAGACGGAGACAGAAAAAGATATTGATAAATGTTTGATAGGCGAGTCTAGTTTTCCCATTGTTGATGTATGTGAACAAATTTTCTGGAATAAACTTTATCACTAACTCTCGTAGTAAAAATAATGTGTTTGGATGAAAATCATAACACCACGTAACCTAAAAAGTAAGAATTATAAAATCATAAGTCGAAAATCGACAAACAAGACTTTCCTTCACAAAAAAAAGAAAAGAAGAAGAAGACATTTCTCTAAAAAAACACACAGAAAACTAAATATTGAGCTATATCAGTTCCTGATCCTCTTGTGGCATATATCAAGAAAAATCCAGTGACAAGTTTTTTTTCATATCCAGCAATACGTAAAAGTAGAACATACCATTAGTTATTTGTGTCACAGATATTCCCAAAACAGTCAACCAGATCATGATGGCTTCAAAAAATATTTTGAAGAGACGAAATCAAAATTACAATTAAGTACCCTTAGTTTACAATGTTTGTGTCAACAGATTATTTTCTGATCTTAAACATTGTAGCAGCTTTGGGAAAATTCACTCCTTTGGTTCAGTTTTTCGAAAGAAGCAAGATGTGGCTTTCTTGCAAACAACTTTCTAACAAGGAAATGCTGATGAGAAATAAGAGAAACAGCAAATACCATTTATCAAAATCTTTGGTTTGACAAAACTACTTATAGCCTGGTATCAAACTGACAACCATACTATAATAGAAGGAATCATTCTACCATAAGAATACCTACTGTGGGTCCATTTATTTTCCTGGGTACTAATTTTAGTAGATTGAGGAAAAATTGTATTTTCATGGATTTTTTATTTTTGTGGTTTCTGCAATACATCCAAATCGGCATACAACCCCATAGAAATTTTGTATTCAGTTCAACTTTTCAATTCATGATTCACCTTTACCAACGAAATCCACGAAAAATTTGCATCAAATGAATGATAATAAACCCGCAGTAAGTGTTCAGGCCTTGAGGGAGATGATACTTTATAATAAATACAAGATACAGAATTTCATAATAATTTTACTAGGAAAGATTAATAATGAGTATCACAGATCAAAAGTAACAAAATACAATGATTTATACTAGTACATACAATCAGACATATATAATATCTGAGATAGGTAACTTCATATAACAGATATTAAAAGTCTTTTGAGATCATTATTTTTTTCTCATAATTGAAACATCATTAATAGAAAACAGAAAGTTAAAATATATAAAAAGTATTAAGATAATTTTTTTCATAAAAATCTATTTTTTTGACAATTTTAATTTTCTGGAAATGAGTGTTGACTCTTTCATCTAGTTTATAACAAGTATTTTAGGAAAAGACTATATTTTATCAAAAAACCCACACAAGTCTTTAATGAGACTCTTCAATCTGGAGTACTATATATGTCTCTGATACAATAAATACAATATCCTTTTCATCACTGGCTACTGTTTGCCAACAAATTTTAATGTCTAAACTAAAGGTTTTTTACATTGAGTCCCCAATAGAACTGAATTTATGACTATCATATTCCCCTTTCTAAGTAGCGACTATTAAGTACAGTTATTCCTAAAATTCTTTGTCCCTTGTCATAAAGACAGGAAACGTATTTCACAGTTTAATCTTTGTTGTCACATTTTAAATCTATGCAGCAGTTTAATCTTGTCATGAGGTAATAGAAAAAGAAATGAGATTTTTTTTATCCACCAAATAATCATGTACAATTAGAAGAGAAAAGGAAAGATCTTTATGTTTTACTATCACCCATAAGTACATTATTCAACTTATTATTAATGCTTTCCCTGATCTTTAACTGTGGTTGAGCAATGAATAGAAACAGTTAAAAATTGGTTGTTAGTGCAATTGCAAAAATTCTAAGTCACAAGTTTCTCAAGAAGGTCGAATGTAAATATGATTAGTTAACATGAATCTTGTTTGTTCAATTGGAAAAAAGCAAATCTTTACAACAAAACATTTGGTGAAATCTTTTCTTGTTGAGTCAAATCATTATTATTTTAAAAGTGTACAGCTATTCTATATCAAAATTTAATCTTGATTTTATATAATAAATGAAATAAAAATGTATTTTTTACTTTTTCTATCTAAATTAAAGATGTTTTCTTATATAAGCTAAGGGATGTTCAAAAATTTATTATGAGGGGCAATGGGAGGTTCTCAAATTAATAACATATGGGTGGTTGCATTTTCCTTAGAATTTTGTAAAAATTAGAAGTAAAAATGAACATTTTTATTCTATGGGTGGTAGATGTCTTAAAAAAGTGCCTCCCATGCCGGGCATGCATTTAATTCTGGAACTGCCCTTACATTAACCTGCATCTGTCCATATGACATATCTTTATACTTTCCTTTCTGTAAAATTTTAAATCGTTAATTCCTATGGTTCATCAATTTCGAAATATTGATTGATTGATGTTAAACCTCACTTTCAGCACTGTTGGCTATTTCATGGCGGCCTCTTTTATTGGCTGAATAAGCGTGAGTGTACATAGAGAGAACCATGGACCTTCCGTAGGAAAACTGACAATCCTAGTCAATTGAGATTGGAGTCGAAAGCACCTGCCATGTGCTGGACCGGAACTCACACCTCAGTGTTGACAGGCTAATGATACAGTAGTTGGACTACTTAAACCTCTTGGCCATCGAGGCTCCAAATAATTTCCAAATATGATAGAGTATCCAATATAATTATACAGAACACAAAGGCAAATGACTAAAACAACCCACTGCTACTATGCTTTACATTTAATCAAATAATCTCAGTAATAAAATAGATGTATAGCGCACTAAAGGTTATTCTTAGCGATGATTTTTTATGATAAATTCTATAGATTGATGGCGTTTAACACCTTTTTCAGTAGTATTAGCTACATCGTAGCGGAAATTTTTATTAATGGAGGAAACCAGATTATCTAGAGCTAACCACGGTTTTTGCAGGAAAAATTTGTTCCTAGTCAAATAAGTTTGGAGTAGAATGGACCTGTGGAGAACATTGTTTGAACTTACAATCTCAGTATTGACAGGGGAATGATCACTGTAGATGAATTACTGAGACCACTCAACCACCAACACCCCTATTGATTGTTTTGATAAATATGTTTAAAAATTAAGCTTTGTATACTCACTAGGATGTTAGATCACAACCTTGTTTTATCATGACTAATTTAACATCAGTAAGAATGATGTTTCAATGAATCATCATCTTCCAAGTGTGGAGTAAAAAGATAGCTTATTCCAAAACATATGTTTCATTATGACTTACAATGAGGATGGGGATTCATTTTTTTTTTTTGTTGGTATAAATTTTCCATGGATGGAGTACAATTTTACTATTTCACATATTCCCATATTTTGTGGTTTAACCAATTGCTTTGATCAAAGGAACTAAAACTTTGGATATAATTTAGTAACTAAATTTCTGTTTTCCCTACCTATTAACCTATGAAATTTTAAAATTGCCATATAAGCGGGAGATTTGGCTAGCCATAAAACCAGGTTCAACCCACCATTTTTTGGTATCCAATGAAAATCAATGAATCCAAAATAAATGATTTGAATGCATATCATATAAAACAGACCATCTAAATAGAGGTAGATTTAGTTCTCAGTAGGAAAAAAAACATTTACATTAACTTGATAAATATAAAAAAAAATGAAAATAACAAATTCCAGTACACAATAAAAGTCAATTTCACAATAAACAATATCAAAACATTTATCAATATCAAAAATCAGCAAACAGTTTTTTTTTCCATATAAAAAATCCATTTAATATAAAAATGAGAAGATGTGATATTGCCAATGAGACAACTATCCACCAGTCTGAGAGTAAAATCTGTTATTTATAATGCACAAAATGAAATTATATAATTATGAATTCACAATATATTGTAAAAAAAATGGCTGTCTTCAAAAACTGTCACAGTTCATATAAAAAATGTGTGTACATTTGCATGGTAGTTAAGAGTTATTTTAGGGCAAATACCGAATAAGCATACAAAATTTTCTGTATTTCACCACAATACACTTGTATACCAAAGAGAAGCTCTTAGAAGCTTAAATTGCTCACTAGGCAAATTTATCCCTTAATTGCTCAAGAGAAAATAACGTCCAATAAATCAGTCTAAATGACTTTGTTTCTACCAATACCCTTAAATTTCAAAAACATTTTTATTTTAAGAAAAGATTTTTTTAACATTGGAGTAGTCCATTTACTTCTGTCAAAAGGACTGTATGGTCCATAAACTACCATATGGCCTTAAGTGCCATGAATTATTTGTTAAAAGTTAAACTTTTTAAATTTTCACCAATTAGTAAATTTCATACTACAATTACTCATTTTTAAAATGTATAAATGGCTATGTAAAACATGAGATTTAACTATATTCTGTACAATATGTTTTTAATCATACCTGCTAACTTTCCCGATTGAGACGTGAACTACATGAATTTGAAAGCTTGTCCCAATTGCAGGATCATGATTGTAAAAAAAAATATAAATATGATTTTGTGGAAATATACACCAAACAAATTGTTGTGTGATGTTAAGGTTTTCAATTTCCACCAAAACAGTTTCTTTAAAATACATCACATTTTTTATTTAAGTATTGCAGTCTAAAAAGAATAATCATACAAGATCTCAGGTTTAAGATTTAAATCGTTGCAATTTTCACATGTTATCTATGGATGTAATTATGAAATCAAAAGTAAAAAAAAAATGAACTGTTTTGTTCAATAACAGATTAATAAATAACAATTAAATACATGTACAGATGTAGATGTGGCTGATTGTACAGTGAAAATATAAAAATAAGTAATCTTTGGAAAACATTAAAACATCAAATAATTTTACATTAAAAAATAACATTAAATATTAACCCTAAAAACTAGGAATCATGTAAACATGGTAAATACAACAACATAAAATCACTTTTCTTTCATGGACGGAAAAACAATATCACAAAACTGTTAAAAAGACTTTTTTTCACAAAGTACAATAAATAACACAAAATAAAAACATTATCAAGTTTCGAAACATTTGAAAATAAACCTCTGCTGCCAAACTATTTCATATTTAATATTTAGGTATACAGATTTTCAACATTTTTTTTTTAAATTTGTAAGCCATATGTTCAGAATCGTATTATCAAACATGAAATGAAATTAAAAACTGAATATTTTTTGGGAAGTTTATCTTAGATAAATGTACAAAGACAACAATTTTGGGTTATAACTGACAAAGTAAAACTATCATTTAACTCTTTGATTGTCATTCAGTGGTGTGAACAGATGATCCTCCAAATTTTTTACTTTGTACATTAAGTCTGAATATAAAAATACTGATCCATGATATGCCATTTACAATTACAATTAAACTTGGAAAATGTTCAGGGATTTACATAAACTCATGTTGGTTTTGAGAGAATGAAAATTATGAGCATGCAGAACTCCATTTTGAAGTTTTAAAATACCGGTGTCTTGAGCTGCTATAAAATATTGAAACTTTTCATTTTCAAATTTTACAAATAACACAGTAAAATATCACAAAATAATATATATAGTAATATTTGGATTTCACAACATTTAAAAAAATATAGAAAATGATGGAAAGCTATCAATATATAAAACCCAGAAATAAATTAAACATTTTGCCACCACTGGACTTTACCTAGGTTATACAACAAATATAAAAATTAGCACTGCTTTGTTATTCTAGTACTTATAACTTCTTTTCCTTGAAAACATACTTCGCTGAATTCATGCTTCACTGACTTCACACTTCTGTATCTGTAATAGAAAGGAGTAGGTCAGGTAATACCCCTTTTTGGCCCCAAAATATAGCATTTTAAAAATTTGTTAAACATGTAAACTTTTAGCTATTTATTGGAAAGAAGAATACTTTTGTAACATAAATATGGGATTGTTTTTGACAGTACAATGCACATGCATCAGGTACTAGCATCATTAATTTATGCAAAATTACTAAACTCTTCACAATTTTAGCATTTGTACTAATTTTTAGATGGTTTTTGTCGAAAATGGAAGTGGCCGCACTTGTGTTAAGTCTTAATATTTAAATATATGTTGTATTTGATGATGATACATAACCTATATAAAGGTTGAGACTGAACACGAATGCGCCCACTTCCATTTTAGACAAAAACCATCTGAAAAGTGACGTTTTGTGGCATATTTGATAGATTTTTTATATTAAAACTGGAATTTAAGCATATTTAATGACCAGTTCAGCTTCTCCTTTATCATCATTAGTGTTTATCGGACATCTCATCATAGTAATAATAGTATCTGATGAACATTAACATAATAACTGATTTCCAAAACTTTTTGAAAAGAAACAGACAGACATCAACCTTCTGTGAAAATGAAGCAACGTTAAGGAAATTTTGAGGATTTGAGATTTATAATAAAGACATTGCAAACCAACAATACAATCAAACCTAAGACATTTAGAGCAATTCAATAACCTACAAGTGATTATACCATCATATAACCATATTCAAATCACAAAGAGTATAAATCTGCTGTAAAGAGTTTCAGCTAGTAACCAAAGAAATGCCATCATCATCAAGTCATTGAATGGACAAAAACATTAAAATATAAACAACTGCAACTATTGACAAGGTAATGACTTTTTCATTAACCTGGTGTGCTATCAAATATTTGCTGGAGCACTCAATCCCCCCCTTTTTCTGTGTTAGTTTTTGATATTCTGAATGTTGTCTTGCCTTCAAAAATAATTGTGTTCAAATGTTTGGAGAAAAAACCCAGATCTTGTCGTCTTATAATAAAGCAAGAATAATAATCATAATTAGTGAAGAATATGGAGTCATTTTTTAACTGATTTATAACTTGATCTGTTTTAAGTTTTGTTTATCTATTTCTCAGAGGCGTTGGTGGCCAATTAGTCCAAGTAGTCCAACTACTGTACCACTAGCCTGTAAACACTGAGGTTGTGAGTTGGAATCTCCCACATGGCATAGGTGTTAGACTCCAATCTTAATTGACTGTCAGTTTTCCTACCAAAGGTCAGTGGTTCTTTCCGTGCACTCCGGCTTTCTCCCAACAATAGAGCTGACTGCCACTAAATAGCCAACAGTGCAGAAATTGGCGTTAAACACACAACAATCAATAAATCAATTAGTCCTTGCAGGTATTTAGTGTTTGTTTTATTCATGAAAACAGTTATTCTCAGCTCCTTTGCCATTTCTGACCTGTCTTCCCTTAAATAAACAGCCTAACTCACATATTGAATCACAACCTAAATAATGGAATATCATTTTCATATTAAATACTAGGAAAATCCATGCAGGCAACAATTTCTGAATTACAGTATTTGATGCAATAACCATAAACTATTGTGGATTATTTTATTTTTGTGGGTACCAATTTTTGTGGATTGAGAAAAAAAATGTATTTTCATGGATATTTGATTTTGTATTTTTTCCAAAGTCTGCATACAAGCCATTAGAAAATTTGTATTTCGTTGAAAATCTAAATTTCTGGTTCACCTGTACCCACGAAATTTAAAAAAAAAATGGTATCCAACGAATAATAATGAAGCCACATTATATAGCCTTATTTTTTATATTGTTCATATGGTGTTACAACACTGTCCCATGTTAGGGGAAGGTTGGGCACCTGAAAACAAATTTAACCCCACCGTATTCTTTGTGTGCCTGTCCCAAGTCAGGAACCTGTAATTCAGTGGTTGTCCTTTGTTGTTGTATATCATATTTGTTTTTTTCGTTCATTGTTTTGTACATAAATCAAGCGGCTAGTTTTCTCATTTGAATTGTTTTACATTTGTCATTTCAGGGCCTTTTATAGCTGACTATGTGGTATGGGTTTTGCTCATTGTTGAAGGCTGCAGTTACCTATAGTTGTTAATTTCTACGTCATTTAGTCTCTGGTGGAGTGTTGTCTCATTGGCAATTATACCACATCTTCTTATTTTTATATTATACATAAAACAATAACTATGTGCTACCTTGATTTATGGTAGGTTGAATACCTGATATACTGTTGATAGTGTATGACCTGTCATTCAAACTGAAAAGAGAAAAAAAAAACAAGTCCTTTATGCTATCAATATTAAAGTGAGATATAATTCATTATACCATTACAATTTCTAGATTTTAGTCAAAATAAGTTTATTGAATTTTGTCATACCATTGCATTGAAAACATAACTTACACTTATATCTAAAATAAGCAGTTAAATCCCTAAAAATAAAAATAAAATTTCTTGTGTATAAGCAAACAAAGATATATATATCTGGTATATTGTTAGTGAATATTAACATGAAACACAGATACACCACAAAATAAAATTTACATTTATTATACAATAAACATATCTTCATGGCTGCTAGTCACAAATATTGGCTAAGGTAGAGAGAGCATAATGCATGAGGTTCAAATGAGGATGTATGCAAGACAAAATTATTTAATATCAATACTGATATCTGATTGACTAAAGTCTTATAAAAATCCTTTGTTATTTAGTAGATTTAAAATACTTTTTGATTTTCCAAATTCAACATTTAAAAAAATTGGCTACATCAGATCATACCTCTTCCTTACATGTGAAATTTAAATCATACATTGTTCATTCAAAATCCTTTTTCTTTTATTCTGTACAGTTTGACGGACTATAAACCCATAAATAAATGCACTGATTAACTACCATGAATAATGAATTATTCATTATTTTTTTTCATTATTCAATGTGATTCCACCACATGTGTAAATGCACTGATTAACTACCATGAATAATGAATTTTTTCATTATTCAATGTGATTCCACCACATGTGTAAATGCACTGATTAACTACCATGAATAATGAATTATTCATTATTTTTGTTATTATTCAATGTGATTCCACCACATGTGTACTCTAAAAAAGCACTATAATAGAGCATTGCTAAAAAACTAACATATTTTTGTGAACATACTTTGAACTATGACCTTAAAAATCCTTGTCAGTAAATCCTTTTTTCTTGGTAATTGCAACAATATAAATCAGACTGACCAAGATGCTTGGAAAGGATCATATATATGTTTAACACAATTTTGAATAGAAAATTTCACCTAAGCTTTAGCTTTAATTGACTTCTTGAATTTGACCTTTGAAATTCACCCAAAAAAAAACAAATTGTAATTTTGAGATTGACCATGAAAAATGAAAAGCAGGCATGCTCTCTTTATAATAATTCCAAAAAAAATCTGCTAGATAAACTTGATTTGTTTTAAACAATGGGATGAATAAAACAAAATGACAAAGATTCACATTCATTGTGTCCATATTCAAAGTATATCCAGATTTTGTGGCCCAATTAATCTCATGTTTCTAGCTGCATGACTACCTGAAACCCTGTCTACTATATATGGAATAGCGCTTATGAAAAAAAATACTGGCTATGTTATACATTGCAATTTCATGCAGGTACCTTGTTATACAAAAAAAAACTATAGCATATTACAATACAAAATCAATGGTCCACTGGCAGGTTATTGATAATTGATGGCTACAAATATGTGATACACATTTCAATACCTCATTGCTGTTGTATCGGTATACAAATCCTCCCTATCTGGAGGAGGTTTAACCTCAGGATCAGAAAATCTGTATGCAAAAACAAATACAGACTTACATACTAACCATAAAGAGTAGAAATATAAATTATAAGTACAAAAAGCTCTTTCAGATTGCTTCGTCTGAACATGCAAAATAAGTAAAAGAGTTTAGTCTAAAAGATATGTCAATCCATAGCAGGTAGTAATACTCCTGCAATGTATTGAAACATTTGTGATACTTGTAAAATGGAAAGCTTAAAAAACCATTAATTTTGAGTTAATATCAAAGAACAGGATTGTTCAAATCATTACAGACAAATTAGGAAGGGAAATCAAATAAATATGCACTGTAATATTCAACATTTTATAAGATCAAACGTTTTGGTACACTATAATCTGGTAGAATTTGACATTTCAACCAAACTAGTCAAAGGGGGCAAACCTTCTACATTGTACTAAGTTCTACTGACCATATGGAGTCAATCTGATAAAAAAATACAGATCCTGTGTACACATTTTGCACATTCTGTTCTTGAAATTATTACTTCAGCCAATCAAATGTCAGCCTTCAAATTTTTGAAGGTATGTATTCTTAAGAAAAATCCAGAGGTTCTCGAAAGGTCTTTAAAACAGAAAGTAAAATGGAGGGTTTTTAGATCATCCTTATAAGCAAAGTGTGGACACAGGATTTGTATTTTAATCAGTTTGACATGGTGGGAACTTACTATCCAGTGGTTGTAGTTGGTTGTTTTCTGTCCTATTTTTTTCGTTCATAACTGTTGCATTCAAAATTTGAAACTTTCATTTTAAAGGTGAATCACGAATGTTAAAGATTATCTGATATGCTGAAAAAGTCGACTAAAGTAATACATAGAAATGCTCTTTTTACAGAACTTTAACATAAAAATACCATTAGTTCAGAGACAACAAAAAGAAGGACTCTGCCAGAAAAAAATACATGGAAAGTGTGGATCAGAACTAAATTCATAGTATGGTACCATCAACAACAGAATTGAAAGTGTTTTATGCAATGCATTAAAAGGCGATGCATGAAACTAATGAAATACCACATCTAGGTTAAGAAAATAAAGTGCAGTTCTGACCATCCCAGGTACTGTAAATTCAGAAATTATTGCATGCATAAATTATCATTGATTTTTGAAGGATGTACAAAAATAAGAGATTAATTATTGCAATTTAAGGAAAATCTGCATACAGCCATATGTATCAGAAATCAGAATGGGAGTTCTTATTATCGCAATATTCACCCAGTCGCATTATTCTTATCAATAAAAACATGGCAATAATTTCTGAATTTACAGTATTTATTTCTGGGAAGTCTTCGGACTGACTATACAGTCTTTGAACTTAGTACATCTTAGTACTGAAGATACAACAATAGTACCTGTGCTACCAAATAAATATCTCCCTCCCCCTACATATAAATGTTGATTCTAAAAGTAAAGAAGTTAAAAAGACTACCACTACTGCTTCATAACCCCTTTCTTTTTTAATGTGGTACATGTGGTCCTACATCTGTGATGTTCATAAACATTAAAAGAGAAAGTATTTAGTAGAAAACACAATGGACAAGGCTAACTGCTATCAAAAGTTAAAGAAAAATACTATGGGCTTACTGAATTCATAATGGTAAATTCCAGTTAAAATGTAGGCCATAAATTATAAACTATTTAGTTTTACTTAAAATAACCCTACCATAGTGAAGGTGGACTAATCTTAACTTGAAGGAAAATGTTCACCTGTGGAAAATGAAAAAGAAATCAACTGCTGGTGGAGGACCACATGCACAGATAATGAGAAAATGTTATGCTATTCCTGAAACATGTTACAATTGTTAAAACCCTAAACCTAATGTACAGGAGTTGGAATCATGCTGGAATTATACTCTTCTTGACAGGTGTGCAGTGTGCAATGAAGCATGCATGATGACTTTTACCTTTCAGGTATGTTGTATTCTGGTTTCTTACATATTAAATCAACTGTGGGTAAAGAAGGATATGGCTCTTGTCTGTGCAAAATAAAATTCATTCCGTGAACATGCTAATCTATGCCAGTTCTTTTTTTATAATGGATGGGTCATATTACCAAATGTCTGTATTGGCAAATTAACCAATATTTCTACTTGTTAAAGACTTTTTTCATAGTCATGATAGTTTTTCTGGCAAAATATATCTAACATTTTGAATTTTGTTCATGTTGCCTTTTCAACAATAGAGACCTAACAAAAAATAACTAAATAAAAGTGTGTAATATGTTAAAACTCTGTGTAGTCAAGGTCATACCAAACATATCAAGCTTAAAAAGGATATTTTTAATGACAAAAAATATCAAGTCTAATTTGAATGTAATTTAGAAAATTCAATACTTATCAATGAACTATGCAAAAAAGGTACATGTATTATAGGGATTCACACCGAACGAGTATAATTGTACACCTTATTTACAATGATTCTGAAGGTCAAATAAAGTTGACCTTCAACTACACCAGGAAAGTAATTATAAATATACTTTCTCACTCCAACGGACAATTGTTGCAGGCAAGGCAAAAAATATTTTGTTTCCTCTGATGTGATCCTAACTTATGCTTTTTAATGGTCATTTATAAATAATACCAAATCAACATGAATTTGCGTGTTGTTGACATTTTTTAACTTCATGTATTGCCCATACCAAAGAAAAATAGGATTCTCACTGCATAAAAAGACTTATGCAATAAAGCTGTCTTATTTTGTGTCTAATGTGTATGTTTTATATGTCTTAATATTGTATGTGTTGTTATTGTTATCAATATCGGCAAAAAGCTATACAGAGCTTATGTTTGTAATGTTCATGTAAACCTGACTTGAAAGAAAATTTTCTATTCTATTCTATACTGTTAAATAACCCTTTCTTTCATGGGCAGAATGATGACTGTATTACTTCATAAAATTCATGTTAGTTGAAATTGTAAAGCAAATTTTAGAAAATATAATAAAGCATAGATATATATGTTTTGTAAAAAGAACAGATATATACTTATACATTGTTAAATATATACTAAAAAAAATCACAATTCTTACAAAATTTGTAAACTGCTCTTCATAATCCTCTTATTAGCAACCTATAGCTTTAAATTATAAAAATAGCATGACTTTTTTTTATTCCCTTGCAATTTTCCTGCTTTATTATGATATTGATACCCTCCTCAAGAACCTTAACTGGTAAAATATCTGAAAACACCATTACAATTTTCATTAGAATTTTGTTTTTGTGATATCCTGTAATGAAAGACAAAACGACATAAGGTGTAATTCAACAAAAACAACCACTAGGTGCCAAAGTTGTATAGCAAACAATAGTCATGTGTTAATCACAAAAAACTATTTCTCTAAAATAAGAATAATGAAGATAACCGTCACTAATACCTACACATCAGACTGAGATTTTTTTTCTTTATTTTTCTCTTTTTCTTTTTTCACTATTTTCTTTGATAAGGAAGTGTCGTCATTCTCATCAAAGGTGTCGTAATTAGAGGAGCGTTCTCGTCTAAAAAAATAAATATACAATAATTACTGTTTTCACTTAAAAGGTGTCTGTGTAAATCCCCTTAAAAATTGCCAACAAGTTCAAATGACCAAATAGTACTATATGTCCACATCTGAATATCTACATGTATTTTGAAATGTTTTCAAATGTTGATATGTGAATAGGATAACAGCCTATAGCTAAGTTAATCGAAAATTCCAGAAATATGTATTTTAGAGGGAAAACACAACATAATTTTTTAAGGTTTAGGACTTTTCAACAAAGAATATTTATAACTAAAACCCATAACTAGATACCTTTATGCATATATCATATATCTATCTTTTATCAAATTCCTATCAGATCAAAATTCTCAGAGGGTTTACAGTTTTAAATATATCTGCCACTCAGTTTATCAAAGAAGCATTGAAATAGTTATAATGCACTTCCGTGTTTTTACCTCATACTCATCATATTCATCACTTACTTAAATAATTATAGATTCTACCATTGCATTGTGTGTGATACATCATTTTGCCTCTTGCCATGGTTTAAGGTGGTACATAACACTACAGGAAAATAACTCTTTAAAAATCAGCTGAACGTTACAAGTATGTTCTATTGTTAAGGAAATATTAAGCTTCTCAATGATCAAAATTAAGTGTTTGTCAAACTGCTATCTATCCAATAAAATGTTTGCGATAAATAGTGTGGTTCAATTTTTTTGAAATTTTTATATTTTTGTCAAAGGGTCAAAGTAAATATTTTGTCAAAATTTTATGAAAATTAAACGAGCCAAACTAATTATAGTCAAGGTGTTTGGTACCACCTTAATTTTAAATATTTAAAAAATCTAACTGCCTACCTGCATAACTTTTTGGAATTTTTAATTTTTGATGCTCTTCAATTTCGTATTTAATTTGGCCTTCCAACTGTTTTTATTCGAGCGTCACTGATTAGTCTTATGTAGACAGAATGTGCATTTGGCATACAAAATTATTTGCCTGATATTTTTGATGAGTTTTTTTTTATATTACAATAGTAAAATTAGAGGAAAGTAAGAAAATTTGGCTCATAATTGATTTTTAACAAATGAGATCATTTAGCCAACTCTATATATGTTGATTATCTAATTTAAAATAAACCATTCAGGAAAAGAATAAATCAATTAATAGTTAGATAAAGAGGACAGAAAATAATATAGTTTAAAGTCAGAACTATTGCAGCTATTAGAGCTATTTTCCTTGTAGTTTAAAGGTTTGGTTGGTTTGCTTGCTTTGTTTGTATAGATGTTTGCTCAAGCATTGTTATTAAGATTGACATCTGCAATCAATAGATAGGCGGGGCTTCAGCTTGTATACATTATACTTATAAATGTTATAGGATGTTAAGTATAATGCAGAGTATAATGTATACAAACTGAAGCCCCGTCTATCTATTGATTGGAGATGTCAATCGTAAATACAATGCTTGAGCAAACATTTATACAAACAAAGCATTGCAAGCCAACCAAACCTTTAAACTACAAGCATTAGGAAAATAGCTATTAATGCAGTAGATATGCAAAGTAACAGAAGATTTTCATATATATCCATTACCAAATTAAGAGGATTGAAGAGGAAGTGCTTTATATATGGTGCATTTTTTCCATTCAAACAGTGAGTCAGCCATGCACTCTCAGAAGCTGAGGGAATCCAAGTTTGTCATTTATTTATTTATTTATCATTTCCTTATCACACATTGGGTTAACAAACTGTAAAACACTAGTTTTGTACTAATTCAAATTTACAATTTACTAATGACTAGTTATCAATTTTCTTTGAAAAGGAACTCCCCGCTACCATTAACATATTTACACTTTTGGCATTTAGCTGAATTTTGTCTTCTTATGACCTTAAATCTGCTCCAAATAACCTTCTGAAGTCATGCAAGCAACAATCACTTTTTAATTGTGACGTCAAATTTTTTAAATTGTGATGTCAAATTTTACAGGAACTTGATTGATTTTACGTAATGGCAGACAAATTTGCATAAAAGTATAAATACGTCTATTTAAGGAAGCTGTTTGTTTCACTCTATCCATAACGACATCTACAGTTTATTTTTTGATGCAAGTGTTTGTGCTGGAAGACAATTACAGGCATCTTTCCATTTAGTTATCAAAATGTTTTAATCTTGAATTTACTTCCTGGTCTACTAGGTGTTACAGATAATTGTCTGATAAACATATGCATGCATGTATACATGCTAAGGCATTAGACTTTTTCTTGATAATATTCAGGCATGCTCAAAATAAACAATAAATGGCAAAATGCAGCATTTTCCTGCAAAAACATTTAAATTAAATTTTAATGGAAGATGTTGAATTTTGCCATCCCTTATATTTTCTGAGAAAACCTATGTATATTGTCATAACGAGGTCTTTTCCTTAGAAAAAACTAAACAGAGAAAATAGTTAGATAAGAATGTGAAAAACTGAATAGAGCATATCAACATGACAAGATCTTTTCCTTAGAAGAAACTGAAATGTTAGAGAAAAAAGTTAAAGAAAAACGTGAAAAAAATAATAGAAATAGAGTGTATGGTTCAGAGTTTCAAATGTAAGAGTACAGTAAAACCTTGCTGTGATTGGCAATCTCAAAATTTAAAGGATTATGGGTACTTTCATTTTTGGTACACCAAAATAAAATAACGTTATGCCATTGGTCAGATATTGCTTTTAAGGATGTTGCCTACCAATCAGAATATTTTGGTGTACACTTTTGAAATAATTACCCAAAATGCTTTAGATTCTAAAAATGGTGAATTGGTTTTCCTATACTTGCTAGTTGCTTCTTATTTAGAGAATCTTTTTTCTTTAAATCATCTATTTACAATTCTTAATCAAGGATTTTCAATTTCATTTAGTTCTCTTTGAAATGCATCTTCCTATGAATAGTTTTGACAAGCATCAACTTTTCCAAAAACTAGACTGGCGAAATCCTGCAAGATTGTAATAAAACTGTCAAGAAAATGACTTACAGAAATGAATATAGTTTTCGATAGACTTCGTCTTAACTGAACCCATTTAAACTGAATCTTTGTTCATAATGGACAGGGTGTTAAGAATATGATTGATTGATTGTTGGTTGCTTAATATCCAGTGGCAAATATTTCATGCATATTCAGGTCGAGAACAATTCAGAGTATGAAGGTTAATTTAAATAACAAAAGAATATTCACACTTTATGTCCTAATACAACACTTAAGCTTACACAGGTTCAGCTTAGAAATGTTTGGATACACTTTTTTGTCTGAAAATTTTATGCTCCCCATGTGACTACAATTGATAGAAAATTTAGAGGTCATGTCAATCACCTTATCCTTTCAACTACTGAATAATATACTGTAAAGGGGAGAATTTTCCCAAGTGTTTTTCTTTGCTAATTTCACGATTAAAAAAAATTCACGAAAATATACCCTTGTGTAAATTTGTCCTTTGAAGAAGTTCAAAATTATGCAAAAAGAAAATGGGAAAATAAAACCTTGCAAATAGGCTTGATCCTAGAACTTGCAAAATTCACCACAAAAATAAACTATTTTCAGAATAGCTTATGATTTTACTGTTTTTTCATTATGTTTTGAAGAAACAAAGCAAGTGTGATCATTATTTTTATTTTAGTTTATTAATGTCTTGGTGAATTTAAATCAATAACATGCACTTTAAAGTTAACTTACTTTAAACTGTAAATTAAATGATTTTCAATTATATTAGTTGCATGCTTTAAATTAAAAACCAACAGTATATCATAAACAGATAAATGAAAATCAGTTCTTTCTCCAAACTTTTCTAAAGGAGTGGGTTCACAAACTTATAATTTTGGCCTTAAAAATCTGAAAATTTTAACAGCGATCATGTTGTGAAAATTTGATGAAAACATATTTTGAAATATCCAATTGTTTCAGTTTAAGGTAGATAGGGTGTCTTCCTCCATCTTTGATTTTGAAATACCAGAAAACAATCGGTCTAAATCTTTAATAAAAGGTGCAAATTTTGAGAGTAGTGGGTAATTCATGTGTAAGAATTTTCATTTCAATATAGAAAATGACATATTTTATCATATTTATGGTTGTATTTTACAAAAAAACAGAATGCTTTTGTTTGAATCTATTTTTCCCAACTTTGCCACATAAGGGGAGGCAACTCAAATGTAAGGGCAGATAATTCAGATAAAGTTACTTTTACAATAGAATGTGTTAGGAATTTACCTATTTTATTATGTAGCAAGAAAACGGGTCCCGTGACCCCATTTTTTCTTTTTCTTATCTGAAAGCATACTATTAAAGCTATCTTCTCATATTTTATCTCAAAATTCTATGGTGTAGTTTTCGTTTTATGGCAGAAAATTGGGTTTTCCATGCATAATCTATACAAAATCTGTCAATTTTGCACAACCTGCAGCGTAAAAATAAGCCCCGTGACCCATTCTTTTTATTATTTTTTTTTAAAAAGCATGATATAAACTACATTTTGGCATATTATTAAAAAATTCTATGGATTATAATTTAGACACCCCATCTACCTTAAGATGATTTCACCAATTGCGACATTATAGATGTATTTATTGTGTCACAAATGTAGGTAAAACATGCTTTTTTACATAATTTGGCAACATTTATGACAGTTTTTCTGAAAAATTAACAGTGGTGTCACCCTCCGCCCAAGAATATTTTTGCATAAATAATCTTTTCACACCATATTCTTTACTTTTCAACCAAAATTTCAATGGGTGAGGAATGGCCACATATGAAATCATTAAAAAATCACAATGTGACATCCCACTGTTAGGCGAATTTTACTCTTAAAAACATATTTTTTTTCTTTCTTAATATTAATTCTTGAGGAAAAACTTAGTGATTTATTTAATTTTTACACTTACAACCATATCACAAGTACAGCTTTCAATAAATTTACCTAATTAAACAACTTAAAATTGATGGTACTTTTTCAAAATTTATGTGACAAGCTTCACCTTAACAAATGCATGCTAAAGGGACACAACTCCAATGCTAGTTCCTTAAACAATCATAAAGAATGAAATGAAAATATGAAATACAATGTTACCTCCTCTTGGAATATTTTGGCACAAGTTCTGAATAGTCCACTAAATCATGACTCCCTTTCCCTTTCTTGTCCAGAGTGGATGAACCAAGGAGTTTTGCCACTTGGAATTTTTCCTGAAATTTATTGTATGAAACAATAAGTGCATTATTTATCAATGTAATTCAACATTATAAACATAAAGCAAAGACTTTAAAAAACATACAGCTTTGATTATCAAAATTTAGAGTAAAGACTCTAATATTTATTATGCTTAAATCTTTAACCATTTTTTCCACATCTCATTTTATTCATACATGTATCAAGAATACTGTTTATACTATTTTTGTCTGTGCGTATATATTTCAATCTTTAACATAGTTTTGTTGCCTAGGAAAACCACAAACTTTTCTCCAGAAAACTAGCAAGAATGGCTGTGTATGACTATCAAATTCACCTCATTTGCAAATATTTACTGTAAACTAACTTACATTTGTGAATCCTTTTTTTTTTCGCATTCAGCCCTTTTATGGGGATTTCTTATTTTCTCATTTTTATACAGGAGAAAATCCTAGTTGCATATATTCAAAATGATTTATTTCCATGTTCTTTTTTGACATGCTGATTGTTTTTAATACCCAACAGTTCAATTTTCAATAAATCTATAATCATATATTGTAGATGAATGACATTCCTTTTACCAAACATTTTTTTATAAATATTAAAATGTAGAAACAGAAATAAACTAAAACTAGACAAAGCATTTCACTCTGAAGTAACTGTATTATAACAAATTCAATGTAGGACTTTCTTTGAGATATTATTGTGTCCCGGAGACACAAATGATGCCCCCACAGATGCAAAGTGTTATTTTAAAATACACAAAGTTGAGCATGGGAGAACATAAGTTTATGGTTCACCGTAGGAGGAGTTATCTGGAAACCCTACGCACCTCTCATGCAAGTCTCTACTCCAAAAATGACAAAGTTCAACTATCTCCCAAAAGAGCAAATATCAATAAAAATCAAAACCCTGACCACATGCACACCTTCAATATAAAAACAGCCAGCAAAGTGAAAACTTCCTAGCATTCATACTGTTTGAGGAGTTTTCCAGAAATGCTATGTACCTCTTATGCAAGTCAATACTCCAAAAAATGACAAAGTTCAACTATCTCCCAAAAGAGCAAATATTAATAAAAATTAAAACCCTGACCACATGCACACCTTCAATATATGTACAAACAGCCAGGAAAGTGAAAACTTCTTAGCATTCAAACTGTAGGAGAAGTTATCCGTAAACACTATGCACCTCTTATGCAAGTCTCTACTCCAAAAATGACAAAGTTTTCAACTAACTCCCAAAAGAGCAAATATCAATAAAAATCAAAACCCTGACCACATGCACACCTTCAATATAAAAACAGCCAGCAAAGTGAAAACTTCCTAGTATTCAAACTGTAGGAGGAGTTATCTGGAATAACTATATACCCATAATGGGACGGAAGGACGGACGGATAGGGGTAAAACAAAATGCCCCCCCAACTTTCAGTTGTGGGGGCATAAAAACTTACTCTTCTTATGTCTAATGCAACAGCTGCTGGCACATCAGGTATGAGGTAGGCTAATATAAACTTCAAGCCAAAAACTATATGCTGAAATAATTAGAAATCGTTAAATAACAAGACATGTCTGATTCTAGCAGTGTTTTATTAAAATATTGAAGATGTATGTCATTGATGCAGATGATAAAGAAAAGGTATCAATAATATCAAGCATAGCTTTATCTCCAGAACTTTTTTTCAAATCTGCCGTTTATATTAGAAATGTACTTTTTTCAGAGGCCAAATCAGTCTTTCTTTGAAAAACAGTACTTGTTTTGGAAATTAATTATCTGGACATAACAAATATATGGTGAGAGTTTTTTTTTTACTTATTTTTTCTCTGTGTTGAAGGCCTCACTGCGACTGTCATACAAGTGAGAGGTTTAGCTAGCTATAAAACCAGGTTTAATCCACCATTTTCTACATAAGGAAATGCCTGTACCAAGTCAGATGTGTTTGAGCTTTTGATTTTTCCATTTGATAAGGGACTTTCCGATTTTAATTTTCCTTGGAGTATGGTATTTTTGTTATTTTACTTTTCACTGTGACTTTGAGTTGGAAAACAGCAATAAAAGCTCTGTTCCTTTGCTTTTTGTGTATTTGTTTTATTTTTTGTTGTTGTGCATGTACTGATTTTGTGTGATGGATGGATGCACCCATTATCCTTTGTTTTTCTATTATGGTCAAATATCTATAATTTTTTTTAAAAATAAATCAAATCATTTCTAGCTTTATTTTGGATAAATGAACGAGTGATATTCAAGAATAGGAAAAAACATAAAAAAAAACATGTTCAAGCCTACCAAACAATATATAAAGTGAATAGAGTTTCTGAAGTATTTCAATGTTTACCAGTCTTAAGATGTTTTCTTTGCATAGAGCATACAGGTTTTTGTAAATAATCATTTTATCAAATATAGTCCAGATACCTATAAATTTCAATGTTTCAGTCATCAACATTTTAGTTTGGTAAAGCTTGGTCTATATATCTATCTATTAGCTAAAATTGGTATTTTTGTATTCAGACCATAAGTTTTCACGTTTGAATTGTTTTACATTTGTCATTTCATGGCCTTTTATAACTGACTATGCTATATGGGTTTTGCTCATTGTTGAAAGCCATACGGTGCCCTACAGTTGGTAACTTCTATGTCAACTGGTCTCTGGTGGAGAGTTGTCTCAATGGCAATTATACCACGTCTTCTTACTTTTATATTTGAACTAATTTTCAGAAATTTATGTTTGACCATTGGAGATCTTCTCTTGGCGGTCCTTTTTACAGCTTACATTTCAGTTTATCTACTATACTTTTCAATTCATATACTGTAATTTCCAAGTATTTTCGTAGGTACCAAATTTTTTGTATTGAGGTAAAATTGTATTTTCTTGGATATAAGATTTCATGGTTTAGCCAAAGTCTGCATACAATCCTAAAGAAAATTTTTACCATGTCGAACATTTAAATTCATAATTCATCTTTACCCATGAAATCCACAGAAATTGGTTCTCACATAACATTTCATTGCATATAAGATAAAACCATCAATGGAAGATAACCAATCAAATGTCACCCATTTTTTCCTGTGTACAAGCTTTATAGTAACCATGTAACCTCATGTTTCCAAAATATTTTATAGAAACACCAAATAAAACAAGCATTCTGTGAGTATTGCATGGCAATACATAGTCCCCTACCGGTTACAAATTCATTGTAATGGAACGAAATCCTAACTTGATCTATAACTTGTCATGGTGTAAACTACATAAAAATAGCAAGTCAAAATCTTCAAGCATGACGAAAAAAACTGTTGAAAACTTATTATTTAAGTGAATTTTCTATGTCCAAAGACCATAACTCTGCACAAAATTATCAGACTGGAACAAAATTCCAACTTGATCTGTAACTTGTCATGATAAAACTATATACTAATTATCAAATCAATATCTTCAAGAATGACAAACAAACCTACCACTAAATTCTTCAAACAATTTACCAAAGAAAAGGAAAAAAATCCAAAATGTCATTTTGTCTTTTAAAAAATGAGTTATTTCCCCTTGAACAGAAATCTACTAGTTAGTAAGTATTTCATCAAAAATTTAATTCTAGGGAAAGGGCTTTAACTGAACAAAGAGAAAAGCTAAAATCGTGAAAATTGAACTTGACCTGTAACTTGTCATGATAAATCAATAAACCAAATATCAAATCAATATCTTCAAGCACGATGAAAAAAGTCTGGAAAACTGATTTGCCGGACTGACAGATGGACAGACAGACAGGCAGATGGAGTGCAAACCTAAAGTCCCCTTCGACTTTGTCGGTAGGGGGACTAAAAAGAATGGTGCTTTGAAACACCAAAGATGTATGTTTATGACTCAGAAATTTGTTACTGCAATGAAATGTATGATTAATTTCATACAACTGTCAAATTCAAGGGAATATTTTTTTTCAACCCTTTTTCGTATGAAACTGGATGTGATGTACCATGATTTGGTGGTATTACACCTACAAATATTAATTATATATATATATATATAATGAATACACTATATATCAACATATACATACCTCAAATCCTATGACAAGCCAGAGCTTTTCTGTTGTAGTATAATCTTGAGCCCATGATGAAGTGAAAGCAATGATAAATCCATTTGTAACGACAGCAACTAAGTTGACAAACTGGAGGATTCCATACCATTTACCTAAAACAAAATATAAAACTGTTTGACTGACTGTTGATTTCTAAATGCTAAGAAGATAAAAATAATTCATGCATTTTCAGAACAACATGAAATAGAAAGGAGTAAGTTTGGTGAGGGCTAAATTTGGCCCATAGGGGTTTAAATTTGCTTATAATAATGAAAGGTCCAGGACCATTTGAATTTTCAGTGAAAGGTCCTCAATAAGAAATTCAATGGTTTTGTATAAAGCATCAGTGAAAAGAATATTTTGTCCTTGACTTTTGTTATTCAAAAATGAAAAGCCCCCTCCTAGAAAAGACAGGTCTAGGACCTCAGACTCACACTAATTTAAACCCCTGACCCAGAATAGTTAGTCCATTGTTTAAGGTTAAATCATGTTTCAAGTTAATGAAAAGACACACAAGACAGTGAAATGGAATTATTTTTGTATAGCTTTTCTCATGAAGCATTTACATTTACAACACATAGGCCAAAAGTAGAGATTTTGTGAAATTTGACAAAATCAGCCGGATTTCAACAAAATTTAGCCTAGCTAGGAAACATAGAGCACATGTCTTTGACACAAGAAACATTCAAGTCAGATATATGTAAAATGTTATAACAAACATTAGGTTAAAATATCTTTTTTGTTGACACATGCGCTCTATGTTTCCTGTCCAACAAATAAATGGAAATTTACTCATTTTCATTGAACTTTAGTGGAAAATCAAAACGAGTGCTCTTTGTGAAGTCATGAAAAGAACAATGCAAGTGCGTAAATTTTCAACAAAAAGACATATTTCCAATCTAGTCATTGTGGTATTGGTCAACAAATCTAATTTGAAGTTGTACTAGAAATAGGGGCCATATAAGGGCCTTAGCCAACCTACTCCATTCTATTCTTGACTCATATTCAGGTAGAAACATAAACAGTTAGCAGTTTAAAATTTCTGTTTAAAGAAATTATATGAGAATTGTTTGCAGACTATAGATCTTACATTTGGTTGTGGTATCAATCATGGCTGAATCAAATATATTGATTGATTGATTGATTGATTGATTGGTGTTTAACACCACTTTCAGTACTATTGTGTTATTTCGTGGCAGTCAGTTTTTATTGGTGGAGGAAGACAGAATGTATGGAGAGAACCACGACCTTCGGTAGGAAAACTGACAATCATAGTCTATTAAGATTGAAAGCACACCTGCCACGTGCGGGATTAGAACTTACAATCTCAGTGTTGACATGCTTGTGATACAGTAGATGGACTACTTTGACTACTTGGCCACCGAAGCCCCGCATCAGCTTTTAGGACGAGTTGTATGGACAAGAGAATGTCTATTAACTTACACCACTTCAACCCTAATTAACCCTTGAAAAATTGAACTAAAATATAAGTCATTTATCCATATGAATATGGTCAAAAATACAAATCCTTATCATTATGTTGACATCTTTAGGTTTGAATGATTATGTCCCTTGGACAAATTGGTCAATAATCAACCATAAAAGAAAGAAAAAAATATGAATCAAAACAATCAAGAAGTCTAGATCTCTTCATCATGAATAGTCTCCTATCATTTAAAATAAATACCTATATCCCCTCTAATTGCTGCCACTGGACGTCTATACATCCACAACAATCGTTTAGCATCCACTCTGATGTCAATAGCATTTGTTAACAAGGCCAATAATGGTGCCAGAGGAAAAGAAGCTGCAAATAACTGTAAAACAAATTTCATAACAAGAATAAACTATTGGTGTGTTAGATTAACTTTTTTCTGTTTATAACTTAACTAATGTAAATACAGGGTATAGTTGTTTTAGTGTTTTAAGTTCCAATCTGCTAATTCCAGGTCTTTCAAAGATTTATACAGCTTGTTCTTATGTTAGACTTTTGCACTACACACTGTCCCTGCGAAGGGGAAAAGTTTAGCACTCATAATCATGTTAAACCACACATTTCTTTGTACACCTTTCCAAAAACTGGAGCATGTAGTCCTATGGCTTTTGTTTGTTGCTGTCAGCCATAACTGTTTTCGTTTAATGTTATTAATATAACTTTAGGGAGTACCCAACACTTTGACTAAAATAGATTTGGCTTGTTTAATTTTCATGAAATTTTGACAAAATATTTACTTTGACCTGTTGAAAAACTATAAAAATTTCAAGAAATTTCAAACACACAATTTACAGTAATAATTTCATTGGATATACAGCATTTTGACAAACACTAATTTTGAGCAAATGCCATCAGAGATCAACCCCAAAACATTGGAAAAAAGACAATATCAACTATCTTCAAAAATGTATTCCTTCATAAAATAGGTTTTCTTGGCATCAAATAATTGCCATGAACTAAAATCTCTAATCAAGGTCAAATGTCAGGGGCAAAAATGTGGTCAATTAAAGGGCTTATTGCACCCTCTCCTTTAATAAAAAGCTTTTTTAATTAAGATATACTTACCATCAGAAAACCATACTGAAGTATCTTCTCTGTATATTCACTTAGAGTAAAGTCATTCAAAACAGGCTTTAATCTTTCATTTTCTACATAATCAAAGGTCATTTTCTTATCTTCATCAGCTAATGCCTCTTCATCAGTTACTTTATTCTGACAACATTGACAACAATCACAATATCTGTAACGGCAACACCAGTTTGGACGGTTACGCCACCATTTCCTTAAAGTCCTACAAAAATTTATAAGAGAAGGTAGCAAATGATAGCTCTAAATTCCCCTTGCCTATTCAAGTTATAGCTATAAATTTCCTTGCCTATTAAAGTTGGACAAGACATCCTGGTCATTTCAAATTATCACATGGTCTACTATAGTCAAGATACTGAAGAAAAAATTTTCTTTGAACAGTCTATCTCTAACAACGTATGAGGGGGGAGTAGGGGGTGTTACAAATACCCTGAAAAATAAACATTGAATCACGATTTCCCCCAAAAATAAAGCATTCTCTCCATGATCCCTTAAAATTCATCATAAATTCCTGATTCCCAAGAAGTGTTAGTCAATGATTACTGCAAAAATAAAGGTCAATCCCAACATCCTGTAAAAGGTCATACCCCCTTATGTATGGGCAAAAAAAAATGTGGCATGAAATTCCCATGATAAATTATTCATAAAAGTAAGAGAACTCAAACAATTACAAAAGTTGAGTCAATCATACATTCCTATCCTGTCTGCAGAGATAAACATTTGGTTAAATAATACCTTGGAGGAATTAGATATAATCACTGTAAAATAATATTTTTGAGGAATTATACTTACGGTAAAATAATATCTTTAAGGAACTTTGGGAACGGTTTGATGAGCATGAGAACCATCACTTGGAATGACAACTGAGACATACAGGTATCAGAGCATGCATCATAATAATCATCTCCTATACCAAATATTTCAAATTTCTGAAAAAAAATTAGTTAATAACAAAATGTTATTGTTATTGCACTTATTCTGGTGAATACACTGTCACTTGCAGAATACTGTGGATTCATTTATTTTCTATGGTTGAGGAAATTTGAATTTCCCGAGTGCTTGCTGTTGTGGTTTTGCTAATGATAATGAATTGGTGTTTTAATGTCCAGTGGCAAATTTCACATATACTGTTAATTCATTATAAATCGTGGGATACCAATTTTCGTGGATTTTTTTGCTACAGGTGAACCACAAATTTAAATATTCAAAAATATGGAAATGAGATGTGTGAATACTAATAGAACTGCATACCAAATATCATTGACATACCATTCTTGGTTCCCTTAAAACTGACCTAGTTACCAACTTTAACAAATTATTGATTCAGCCAGAAACAGCACTCTTAAGTCAGCCTCTTTATCCAGGCAAGACAAAAATTCCTTATAATGTAATTGTATAAATTTGAGCATTAAAAACATACCCCTCTAAAGAATGCTATATAAAAGCAGGAAGCATATGTATTGGCAAACTGGAAAGCAAAAACCTTGATTATCAATGCATCTTCATATCTACTTTGTGTTCTGTGGTTCTCTGTAAAGTATAAAAATATGATATATAATTGAAGAACAAAATATGAAACTAGATGTGTCGAAACAACACGAATGGCCTCACTTGCAGAAAGAGCTTGAAGCCATTTTTGAAGCATATGTATTGGCAAACTGGAAAGCAAAAACCTTGATTATCAATGCATCTTCATATCTACTTTGTGTTCTGTGGTTCTCTGTAAAGTATAAAAGTATGATATATATAATTAAAGAACAAATATGAAACTAGATGTGTCGAAACAACACGAATGGCCTCACTTGCAGAAAGAGCTTGAAGCCATTTTTAGGAGTGGAAATTTGAGAAGGAAAGTCTGTATAAGTGTTATTTTTATGAAATTTTCAAAGTTTGTGCGGAACCAAATTTAACCTCAATCTATAACTCATCTTAGTAGACTCACATACTAAAAATCAGCTAAATGTGAAGGCGTTTAGTTAAAAAGTCTGTATATCTGTTATTTCATGACTATTTTCAAAAGTCCAAAGCCCATAACTTTTGGAACAAATCAGCGGAGCCAAACTAAACGTAAACTCGATCTTTAACTCATCATAGTTAACTCACATATTAAAAATCAGCTGAATGTGTGAAGGCATTTCGAAAAAAAGTCTGTATAACTGTTAATTCACGAAATTTTCAAAGTCCAAAGCCCATAATTTTCGACAAAAAAAAACAGCGGAGCGGAACCAAACGAAACTCAATCTGTAACTCATCATAGTAGACTCACATACTGAAAATCAGCTCAATATGTGAATGTGTTTTGAAAAATAGTCTATAACTGTTATTTTAACGAAATTTCAAAGTCCAAAGCCTGTCATTTCGGCAAAAAACAGCGGCGCAGAACCAAACGTAAACTCAATCTATAACTCATCATAGTACACTCACATACTAAAAGTCAGCTCAATATGTGAAGGCGATTAGAAAAAAGTCCATGCAACTATTCATTGCGGAATGACGGAATGACGGATAAGGGTAACACTTTGTGGCGGGGCCATAAAAACATGCCACGGTCAACTCCTGATTGTATTGTTGCAAATTTTTTCCAAAACCATAAATTTAGAAATTATTGAGAGTTTTTTTTTAATGTGAAAACTGCAACTGGGTTAATACAGCAATAATAAGAAATCTCATTATTATGTCCGATTTATATATCTGTATGCAATTTTTATATGAAATCACAATAACTAATTTCACATTTTTGTCCTTTTTTCAAAAATCCCCCAAAAAATATGCAAACAATAATTTCTCAATTTACAGCAAAGCAATAAAGTGATGATGGAAATAAAAAATCATAATTGTTTGTTACTGCTTACCTACATCAAAACTTGCTCTTTCCATAAAGTTAGTAAAGGCAGGGATACAGTTTGTCAAATCTTAAAAGTTGTATCCCTTTGAAAGTTCTTAAATTTGAAAATTGACTCTTTGTTTTCTCTGTTGTATTATTTCACAATTTGCTAACCAGGGTCTTTATAGCTTTCTATATGAAATGAGTTTTGCTCATTGTTGAAGTCCTCAGAGTGACCAGCAGTTGTTTACATCCTTGCCCATTGGTCCTTCAAAGTATTGTTGTCTCATTGACAATCTTATCACATCTCCCTATTTGATATCAACCTTAAATACTCCAGTCAGCTACACTTAAAAGATGACAAAAAATTACAATGTCTGCTCTAAATTAACCCAGAATGCATTATACACAACAAGAAAATCACTTACCCCAATCTGTCAATATCACAGCTAACTTGTCATAAAACTACAAATGGAAATATTTAAAATCTTTATAGATAGATAAATATTTTTATTTTAAAGTACTGTAAATTGAGAAATTATTGCCTGCATTAATTATTGAGATTTTTTAATAATGGACAAAAATGCGAGATTAATTATTGCGACTTCAGGAAAATTTGCATCCAAATATATGTGTCAGATAACAAAATGCGAGTTCTTATTATTGCAATCCTCACCCATTCGAATTATTCGCATTAAAATAAACCTCGCAATAATTTCTAAATCTACAGTACATCTTGGTACATGTACATGAAATACAATATATTACAATTTTAAACATCTAACCTATATCATGTATATAGTCAATAAACATGTATATGATAATACCAACCAGCCTTTAGAGGCACTGCCATTTAGGTATGAAATATCATATAAATAAATTTCTGGATTGAAAACTGTAGGAAGTGTTGTCTGTTTATATTTAAAAGGTGTTCCTCAGTATTTTCCCGTCAAAAGAGCATGTGACATACCGGTAGTTGTCAACAACTTTTAACATGTGGTCAGGGAATTGATTTGTTTTCTGGATTACTGCTTTTATTAATTTAGTTTGAATATATACATTCCATTTAAAATAAAGGCAAGCATTTGTATTTATAGAATGTAGTTTGCAAACATTTTTTATTTTTCAAATTGAAGAAACTGGGTCATGATCGTTCATTGGATGTTACCTTGTTCAACCAACCGAGACAAATAATGCAATCAGCTGTCAATGTACATCCATTGAGGCAGTGTTCACACCATTTAACACTTATCAGATTTCTTAATTGCTGCTGACATGATAATTGGATTAGGGATATCTGGAATTTAACTTCAATCTATTGTATTTTCAAGTGTGGCAGAGAATAAAGATGGCGCTGGGAATTTAAGCATGGCGGTGGGAATTTAATCGTGGCACACCCTAATGCTTAAATAGGTCATGGTGATCCTTGCTATATGTTGGTTTTGGACTTCTAACAACACAGCCAAAAATATGAATATAAAAAAAGAAATGAAATTAAATATATATGAAATATGTATTTGACAAAGTAATTAAATAAATAACGGTTCAAGTGTTAGCATTTGATTTCCAAAGCAAGTGATTGAAACACTAATTGAATATCTTAATTAAAACTTAAAAAAATAGATTAAAGTAAACCAACCTTTCCAAGTATTAAAATAATAACACCATTCATTACTGATGAAAAGACAGTGGTCAGTATTAGACATTCTACTGCCGACATTCCTGGACATACATTTACACTCACAATAACTCGATACAAAATAACACCAGCAACACAAGCAAATACAACTAATATCTGTAAAATATACAATATTCTTTATCATATGCATTAGTGACCTTGAGCTGTTTTCTGTTCTTTGGTCAAGTTGTTGTCTCTTTGACACATTCCCCGTTTCAAATCTCAATTTAATGTTTATAAAAATAAGTACTGTTGATTTATTATCATTCGTGGGGTATCAGTTTTCATGGATTTCATGGGTAAAGGTAAAATTTAAATGTACAATGAATTATCAATGTTCTATAGGCTTTTTTTACTCATTGTTGAAGGCTGTACGGTGACCTATAGTTGTTAATTTCTGTGTCTTTTGGTCTCTTGTGGAAAGTTGTCTCATATATTGTTTGCAGACATTGGCAAATCCATGAAATCAAATATCCATGAGCACAATTTTTCCTTAATCCTTGCCAATTGGTACCCAAGAAAAATAAATGAATCCACAGTTTTAAATTTTGTTGCAATGAAATATCATGATTTGCCAGTAAAAATTAAACCTATAATTTCACTCCTTTGACATCATACACTGAAAGACCTTATCCAACATTTACTCATTAGTATACTGGGAGTAAAATTGCAAAATTCTTTAAGAAAAACTTCCCTTACAAATTTTTTCAACACCAATGTGATATTACCTTTTTTTACTTTTTTTTTTTAATTTTTGGGGAATTTTGGAAGAGAAAATAAAATTGGCCAAAATTTTATTAATTCTGGACAATTTTGGCATTTTTTCAAAGGTTTTATCTTTGACCACAGATAAACTGGGTAGGGTGTTATTTACACCTGGGTAATTGACCAATTAGATTGTAAGATTCCTGCTTTATAAGAATTAATTATTGTTACTTGCTTCAGCACTTATGATGTTTTAAAATGAACAGTAATCAAGATTTTCGCAATAAGCATACCTATCTTACATCTTAAAAGGAAAACATGCATCCAAAATAAATAAACTCACCATGAAGATCACAACCATTGAAGAACCTGTGTATTTCAAAATCAATCTCTTGAATGGGTAAACCCAATTTTCTTCTGAAGTAATAGGATCTGTCTTAACTTTTAAACCATAAAACTGAGGTCGATCTGGTTCATTTGTTTCAAAATTATCTACATCCCATTCATAAGCTAAAGTTGCATTTGTTCTCTTCCATAGTTCTAAGAAAACTGTACCTATAAAAATAACATTTTTATAAACTATAATTATTACTAATAAATTAACTGTTGACACAAAGATATGCCTCGCCTGTCGGCATAAAATTCAGAAAAAGAATCTGATGGACAGCAACATTGCTAATTAATTCAAAGTCGCTGGACCAACTAGGGCCTCAAAATGGTTGACAAACTGAGATGTACAGACAGAAATGTAACTTTACAGAAAATATTGTCTATGGTAGTAGTTCCTATCAAACTACCTTAATCAGAAAACTTAACATTGAAAATTGTTAATTGATTGAAAGTAACTGGACCATGACCTAGGGGGCAAGGCCTTGAAATAGTCGTTAAACTGATATGTACTGAGAGTAATGCAACATTAAAGAAAATATCATTGATCTATCGCAAGTAGTTCATATCAAACTAACTTAAGCAGAAAACTTATCATTGAAAATTGCTAATTAATTGAAAGTCACTGAACCAAGGCCTAGGGGGCACGGCCTCAAAATAGTGTTCAAACTGATATGTACTGATGCAACTTCACAAAAATATCATTGATCTATCACCAGTAGTTCCTATCAAACTAACTTGAGGAGAAAACTTAACATTGAAAGTTGCTAATTAATTCAAAGTCACTGAACCATGGCCTAGGCGGCAGGGCCTCAAAATTGTCGTCAAACTGATATGTACTTATAGTAATGAAACTTTATACAAAATATCATTAATCTATCACAAGTAATTCCTCTCAATCTAACTTTAAAAGCAGAAAACTTAACATTTAAAATTACTAATTAATTCAAAGTCACTGGACCATGGCCTAGGGGGAAGGGCCTCAAAATTGTTGTCAAACTGGTATGTACTAGCTGATAGTAATGCATCTTCATACAAAATACTAATAATCTATCACAAGTACTTCCTATCATAATAACTTAAGCAGAAAAATTAACAATTGTTGACCCTGTTGCCTCTGCTGTTGCCGGAAAAGCAATCCCTATGTCTCGCTTTTTGCAACTTTGTCACAGGCAAGACAAAACCAATTCTTACAGCATGCATATAGATATCTAAACAGTCAAAATTTTTACAGAATTTTAGATATTTACAATTCTTAGTGACTTATTGTTGCACAGGTAGAATTATTCTTGTTGCAGTATTTTTCTTTCAAATTTTTCTTTTTGGCTTAACAGACTTAACAATAAATGTCATAATTACACTATTGTTGTCATTGAATCATTGTGTTTGATATCTTTTCTAAATCAATATCAATTTTCTTATTTATAATTCAAAACAAGACAAAAATGTTTTTTGTTTAATTTCTTTCCTGTATTGAAAATGTGTACAAGTTTACTTTGAGCATTGCAAAAGATTGTGTCTTCCAAGATTTTCTGTATCATATGCAGTTTTAAAATCTTACAACTAATTGTCAGCCTATTATAAAAGAGAGCATGTTGACCTCCTCTAGATGTCTTTTGGTTGTCATCTTGTTGCTGTCTCGTTGATGTAAAATAAACTGTTGACACAGATATATGTTTGGCTTGTATGTATAATGCTAATGTTAAAACAAGAGTGCACAAGCTGAAATGTCTCCCCTGCTTTACTGACCATTGATTTTATGTTGTAAGTGCTAAATATAAATCTTTACTACAAGTATCACATAAACTTAACATGATCCAAGAAAATGAGGCCAAGGTCAGATAAACCAAACTGGAAATACATGTACACCTTACAATCATTCCATACACAAAATATAGTTGACATATTGCTTATATTTTCTAAGAAACAAACTTAACCAGGAAAAGTTAACATTGGCCAATGAACCATGAAAATGAGGTCAAGGTCAGATGAACCATGTCAGACAGACATGTACACCTTACAATCAATCTATGCATTAAATATAGTTGACCTATTGCTTATAGTATCTAAGAAACAAACTTAACTATGAAAATTTAACAATGACCAATGAACCATGAAAATAAGGTCAAGGTCAGATGATACCTGAAAAAACAAAAATATTCTGCTTTTTGTAAAATACAGCCGTTAATATGATAAAACACATAATTTTTATATAAACATGACCAGAATTACATACTACATGTACTATCGATATTTGCACATTTTATACGAGATCTAGACCGATTGCTATCTGCTATTTCAAAATCCAAGATGGAGGAAGACACCCCAGCTACCTTAATGCAAATAGTTTACGACTCATCTGCCACCGCAATATTATAATCACAATGTCTTGCATTCTCAGACTTTCGTTGCAGGCGAGACAAAAACAACATTCATGGCTGCCAAAGAAATAATTATCTATCATTCATAATTTTCAACTTACCCCAAAGACATATGATTAATGCAAAGAATGGGGTAACATCATTGTCAAAGGCTTTTTTTATTGTATTGAGCAAATCATTCATTCTCGACTGAAATCTGTTAAAACACAAATGCATATTAAACATGTATATCTAATCATTTACTATTTTTTCATTTTCAGTAAATTATAGCAAAAGACACTGTAAATGTGACAATTTTATTAACACAAACATTGTGATAGGATGATAACTCTTTATATATAAATAATTTAATTTTGGATGTAACGCGTCTTCTGATTGGCTGACGTTGATTTGTTTATCAGGTCATAGACATAATTTTGTCACTTGACCGTGACGTCATCAACGTTTTTTCATGGTTTACTCTGGTTTAAAATGGAATTTAGAATCAAATTATAAGAAATTACTGTAATATTTTTTCTGTCTATTCGAAATAACACAAAAAAATGTGGTGCACACTTTAAAATAACCCGCATAGCGGGTTATTCAGTATGCACCACATTTTTTATGTTATTTCTTCATAGACAGAAAAAATATTACAGTCATTCCTTAAATAAACCACGGAGGAGGGGTTGGGTGAGGTCTCAACATACAAATTTGGGCTGAGGTTTGAAAAACTCCCCCATTAATATAGATTTTACCAAAAATCCCTACCCATACATATATTTCATAGGAAAATTGTAAACCATTCATATATTTCCTAGATATCAAACACACAATATGTGGTATCTTATTTTAATGTTAATCACATGTGATCATTCAAATTAAAAGATAAAAAGATAAGTGCACAGTTTTTACAAATATCTTAATAGAAAATGAACATTTATGACCCTTTGATACTCAAATTTCTACCCTTTGATAAATTGCCTCTGTGAAATCTACAAACTAGAGGCTCTAAAGAGTCTGTGTCGCTCACCTTGGTCTATGTGCATATTAAACAAAGGACACAGATGGATTCATGACAAAATTGTGTTTTGGTGATGGTGATGTGTTTGTAGATCTTACTTTACTGAACATTCTTGCTGCTTACAATTATCTCTATCTTTAATGAACTTGGCCCAGTAGTTACAGTGGAAAATATTTTGTAAAAATTTACAAAAATTTACAAAATTTATGAAAATTGTAAAAAATTGACTATAAAGGGCAATAACTCCTTAAAGGGGTCAATTGAAAATTTTGGTCATGTTTGACTTATTTGTAGATCTTACTTTGCTGTACATTATTGCTGTTTACAGTTTATCTCTATCTATAATAATATTCAAGATAATAACCAAAAGCTGCAAAATTTTCTTAAAATTACCAATTCAGGGGCAGCAACCCAACAACGGGTTGTCCGATTCATCTGAAAATTTCAGGGCAGATAGATCTTGACCTGATAAACAATTTAACCCCATTTCAGATTTGCTCTAAATGCTTTGGTTTCAGAGATATAAGCCAAAATCTACATTTTACCCCTATGTTCTATTTTAAGCCATGGCGGCCATCTCTGTTGGTTGGCAGATCACAGGACACATTTTTTAAACTAGATACCCCAATGATGATTGTGGCCAAGTTTGGTTAAATTTGGCCAAGTAATTTCAGAGGAGAAGATTTTTGTAAAAGTTAACGGGCGACGGATGACGGACGCCAAGTGATGAGAAAAGCTCACTTGGCCGTCTGGGCCAGGTGAGCTAATAAAAATGGTACCACAGAAAATATTTAAGAATCCACAGTATTGTGTCTACTTACTCTTGTAAAGCTGTAGCATTCTGTGGGATCTCAAGTGGTGATGTTTCATTGATCTGGCTGTCAGAAAAAAGACAAATATTTTTGAATGTATACAATTCTAAGGCATAATACATTATGAAGACAATAGTTTATAGGTTAACTCCTTTTTTTTTTGGTTAATAGAAGTATAAACAACTGTTTGATTTATCAAAAAATCACTATTCCTTAATATTTTTAATTGGCTGACTTTTATTTACTTGGGCAAGTTAGCAGGTTTTTATTACTTTTACAAAATGAAGTCTAGAAACACCTAGGCAACAGGTGGTATGTGCTCATATTAATCTTGTTTAACCCCACTACAGTTTGCACCTATACCAAGTAAGGCTATATGGTACATGTTCGATCTTTGGTTGGTGTGCTCCTATTTTGAAAAGAGTAAGTTGTTGGTAGTTGGTGTGATCTGTTGCACTGTTCAATATTTTTGGTGATTCATGTTATATCTTTTCAATCATTTTATATTTTGTTGTGATTTAAGGTATTCATGCATACCTGGCTATTAAACCATACAAGAAAATACAAAAGCCGAATATGGTTGGTATCCATAACGATGACGTCAGCATACCAGTCCAAGCAAAGTATAAAGCAATCTTTTCACCAAAATAGTTTCTGATCTTCCACAATGGCTGAAATTTATAGACTTTAGTCCAGGTGTCATCCAAATCTCTCCGGGGATCAATTTTCAATTCTTCTTCTTCATCTTCAGGCCTTCCTTCCTTAAAACACTCCATTGTTTCTTCATTAAATTTACTTTTTGATGATTCTTCATGAAGAGGGAAGGCATCTTTGTATACATTTTTCATTAACAGGTAAGGTAAGCCTAAGATAAAAGAAGAAAAATGTTATTTATTTTAGATTATACCTTATAGATGAGATATTTCATTGTTTACAACAGCACAGTTCATTGTGCAATTTCTTTTCCATGTCATTTTAAAGAAGTCACTGTGAAACTGTACATAATATCACAGCTTACGTTGACATTTTACTGAAATCCTCACTTCAGATGTTTCAAAAATCATGATTTTCAATATCATATAGTTTATCATACAAATCAAACTTACAGTTCAAAATTAGCTCCAACGTGTACATTTTCCTTTTATTATTTCAATGAAGAAAACAGATGAGGTCTTGTAAAAACACATTTCTATATTTTTCCAAAGAAAATAGTTCTGAAAATTGTTACATGAATAAAGATCAAAATTTTCCAAATAAATAGATTGTAATTATGCAAGATGAAATGAGAAGTGTTTTCTTCTTCTTCTTCTGTGTATAAGCCTTCTGTAAGTAGGAGCACCTCCATATGGTGAATATATACCCTTAGTAAGTCAATTTAATTTTCACTTCATTCTCAAAAACAATTCTGAGAGAAGACTACTTGCAAATTCAGTAATTTATGCAAAGTTTTTTTTATTAAGGTTAAATGCAAAGATGATATTGTAACCTCAGTAAAAATAAAATATGAAACTTAATTTTTGCTAGTGATAACCTTCTACAGCATGTATAATAATAACAATATTGTCATTTGTCAATGATTCATAATATTATATATCATATTAAATTCTTAAACTACAGTATCATTGTTTATATAATAAGTTTGAACTCCTGATAAATAATATTTATATGATGCTAATTTTATCAGTTTAAAACAATGATTAAAAGCACTGACAAAGTCACAATTGTAAGAAAAAGCTGAAACAAACAAAGAACATCAGTAAACAAGCTAATAAATTCTATAACTGTCCTTGACTCCTTATGGGATAGAATTCCTTCAAAACCCATTCTAAAACTATCTGGAGAAATTAACCATAAGTTACAGACTCCATAGGTCAATGCAAAAGCTTATATGGTAATTTAACATTAGAAGATTTGTGCACTCAATGTTGTTGGCAAAATTTGGGGATTGTTAAATTTTGGCCGTTGACCTCATTACATGAAGGACATTTAAAGCCATATTCAAATGGAATATTTTTAAAAAAAAAGAAGGGATTTAGGGTTGAAAAATGAATATATCTGCACCAAATGTCTAATTTAAATATATTTTATTGTTCAGAAACTAAACAAATGGATTGAGTCACAAGTTTAACAACTTAGTAATGTCTTCTCCAGAATCAAACGTCTGAAAAGTAAGAAGATGGTAGATTGAAAACATTAACATCTTTTTGTTTAGTTATTTGCCAACATAATGTTTATTTATAGGATTGGCAACCATATTCACTGATCAAGACAGAGAAATAATAATAATAACAAGAAATGATTGTAACAGGATGCTGTTATGAAGTCTCCCAAACGAAGCTCCCATAATTTGTAATTCCCAGAGTCGCCTGACATTGGACAAAGTCCAGTGAAAATTGGTTTGGTCCAGTAAAGTTATATGCATTAATGATGCTTGGGGACTAACCCTGTATATCATTCAAATCATCTTGGCATGACAAACCAGAATATATATGGTTTAGGGGTGGGGATCTCAACCATTTACAAGATACTAGAACATTGGGGGTGGGGGGAACCCCTGGGGACTGACCCTATACTCCATTCAAATGTTCAAGACATGATGTAAAGGAACATATATGGTTAAGGGGGGGGGGGGGGGGGGGATCTCGACCATTTACAAGATACTAGAACATTCGGGGAAGGGGAACCCCTGGGGACTGACCATATACGTCATTCAAATGTTCGAGACATGACGAACAGGAATATATATGATATAGGGATGGGGATCTCGACCATATACAAGATATTACAACTTTCTCAAATGGCAGGGGGTCAGGATGACCCCTGAGGACTAACCCTGTATATCATTCAAACCATCTTTGCATGACAAACCAGAATATATATGGTTTAGGGGTGGGGATCTTGACCACTTACAAGATATTAGAACTTTCTTAAATTGCAGGGGGTGGGGGTGACCCCTGGGGACTAACCCTGTATTTCATTTGATGTGCTTTATCATGACAAACCAGAATATATATGGTTTAGGGGTAGGGATCTCGACCATTTACAAGATATTAGAATTTTCTCAAATGGCAGGGGGTCGGGATGACCCCTGGGGACTAACCCTGTATATCATTCAAACCATCTTCGCATGACAAACCAGAATATATATGATTTAGGGGTGGGGATCTTGACCACTTACAAGATATTAGAACTTTCTTAAATGGCAGGGGGTGGGGGTGACCCCTGGGGACTAACCCTGTATTTCATTTGATGTGCTTTATCATAACAAACCAGAATATATATGGTTTAGGGGTGGGGATCTTGACCATTTACAAGATATTAGACCTTTCTCAAATGGCAGGGGGTCAGGATGACCCCTGGGGACTAACCCTGTATATCATTCAAACCATCTTAGCATGACAAACCAGAATATATATGGTTTAGGGGTGGGGATCTTGACCACTTACAAGATATTAGAACTTTCTTAAATTGCAGGGGGTGGGGGTAACCATTGGGACTAACCCTATATTTCACTTAATGTGCTTTATCATTTAGAACATTTTCAATTAAAAAGATTGTGTCTATCACAAACGGTTTTCAATTTATAATCATTTGAAAATAAAAAAAAATAAAATCCCATAGGGTTCTATAGTAAATCCCTCCCTCCTTTATGCCCCTCAAAGTACCCCTTTATAAACCCCATTGCACAAACAAAACCCTGATTGCACCTCTAGACATGTTAGTCTAACTTATTGTGAAACCCTAAGTTAATCTGACTAGTGGTTTTGGAGAACGGTTGCGGACAAGTTCGGCGGAAGAAGAAGAAGAAGAAGAAGAAGAGGAAGAAGAATAATAAAAATAATAAGAACTGAGCAAAAACAATAAGTCTTCCCAAACTTCGTTTGGGAGACTTAATAAAACACCAATTTATATGAAAAACTTGCTCAAAATTTTTAAGAAAAAATACCCTCAAAATGTATTTGTTCTTTTCTACGGTTACTGTATATTCAGAAATTATTGCATGCATTTATTATTGCGATTTTGTCATTTTCAACTAAAATGAGATTTTAATTTTTTGCGATATTGAGAAAGATCCTCTTTAAATCATATAAAAAAATTTAAAATGTGAGTTTAAATTATTGCGATAATAACTCTGTCGCATTTTTCGCAATAATAAAAACATTGCAATAATTTCTGAATTTACAGTATTAGGTTTTTCTACCCCCTAGATTGCCTGAGCTGTATTTTTTGGAATTTTTGTGTTTAATGATCTTTAACTTCCTATTTTATTATGCCTTCCACCTTTTTTGATTCGAGCGCCACTAATGAGTCTGACGGAACATGCATCTGGCGTACCAAATAATACACCTGTTATCTTTGATGAGTTTTTACCAATCCTAGTTCGTGTTTGAAAAATAGGAAAAAAGCAACTTCTATACAAAAACAGTATATAAAAAAAACGGTCTGCTTCACCGCCAAGAATTGTCTTAACGATACAAACAATTAGATAAATTTTCAAAGCTACACATAATAAAAATGCAAACTCGACAACTACAGATTTACAATGTATCTGATCACCTTCTTTTGATAATTCATATAAGTGAATAAGAAAAGATGGTACTGAAAATGAAAAATCTAAAACAGAGTAAAAGAATAAAAATTATAATACATGTAATATTTGATATGCCACAATTCTGGTGTTTTATATCCTGCAAAATTAATAAATGTCTCGAAAATAGCAATGATTTTGAAAATTGAGAAAAAGTTGTTAACTGAGGCCCTCCAAAATCTTCTTAAACATGTAAAACCTAGATTGTGGAAACAGTTAGCTTTTTGGGGTTAAAAAGTTAGTTTCTGGTCGTTACATGTTAAAATTAGTCTTGCAATCAGGCATAAACATGAATAAATGAAATGATAATAATGAAATATGGTATCTATCCTACAACCTATGAACAACATCTAACAGTTATTATGAAAAAACTGAGAAATTAAGATGTTTTTTTTTCTATCAATATCGTACGAGATATTTATAACATATATGTCCTTACCTAAAGATAGCAAAATCACATAGATTCTTTAAATAATGCAATTAACAGGTCCCAAATTATACACATACATGTATGTATCTCATTCTTCTTTCATGAACTTTAGGGACTTTGTTCACCAATTTTATATTTCACTAAATTAAGTCAAATTAAACATAAAAAGATAAATACTATATACATAATGGAAGCAAAAATTTGTCCTTTATATAATAACAAACAATAGATGTGTAGTTGGGGTATAAAAAAAGATCACTAAATATGTTATTTGCCATCTTCTTAATACTGAACTACTATACTTATGGTAGATAAAATATATATATATAAAAAAGATATTTTAAAAAGACTATACTATGTCATATGCCAGGGTAACAGGTGCTTTTCTTACCCAAGATTCTCAAGTCAGAATCCTCATCATCACTATCTATTAAAACTTGACGTAAACTTTTGTTATGTGCACTGTTTTCTGATGATTAAACAAGAAATCCTGATTACTGCATGTGGATTCGTTTATTTTTGTGAGAACCAATTTCCATGGATGAAGGAAAAATTGTATTTTCGTGGACACTACATTTTAGTTTTAATCAAATATTTTCTGCTTCTTTCAGTTAATCTCCATGTTTAACAGAATGGAAACAGACTTCATGCTAAATGTACTGGTCGAGAAAAAGAGTCAAAGAAATAGAGCTCCCAATTCTTAGTGGAAAGAACACCAGAGAGTCTTTGTTGTATTAACTGAATAAATATTCTAGCTAAGACGAGAGACAGATTGCTCTGAAAGAGAACAAAAGTCAAAGAAGAGCTCCTAATACATTTAGTGGAAGGAAGATCAGAGAGTATTTGTTGTAACGAGAGAATTATTCTAGCTAAGACAACGGACAGATAATCTACATCTGTCCTATTCTTACCAAGGGCAGTCAAATGGATATCAGCCTCAATGTCCTCCTCCTTAAGCTCCTCAGATTTAAAACAAGGCAGTGTGAAGGGCAATATGCTGGAATTTTTGGGGCTTTCCTCATTTTCTGATCAACAGAAAGTGAAAAAGATGAATAAAAATTTAAGAATATTATGCCTTTTGGCTGTGTCATCATTTCAGCAAGTTTGATATTGATGAATTATTTTCTTTAAACCATTCAGTAAGTAAAGAGAAATAACTTAAAAGTCCCTGGTATGTTTGTGGTCAACAATTTTAAATTTATAAATATATCTTAAGGTTCTTAGTACCACAGATTTTAAAATTTGGTACCACACAATTGCTTAACATCTTAACCTTAGTACAAGTAAAGTAGTTTTTTCAGTTTAACTTATTATCATAAAATTAATATGAAACAGGTGTTAGCTGTGAAAGAGTCTGTATGAGCTGCTAATTTACTTTGGTTGTTTAATTACCATTTTTCTGTTCAGTAATCAGATATACAAATTTGCAGGAAATCCTATGCTCCTTTATTTTTTATAAAATATTCAAGAAAAAAATTGAAAATTTTAGAACTAGTCTGTGCATATGAGAAAAACAGAAAAAAAAGTTAAAATATTGTTTTTTACTGGAATGATTTTTTTTCCCTCAGTATTTGACAAATGCAAATGTTTGTAAGTAAGGACTCTGTGCTATTATTGTGAAGAAAATAAAACTTTTCCAGGATTCAGTTAGGGCTATTCCATTAAAATGTATGTGGGAAGGTAGGAAGGGAAGTTTGATTATTGAATGTGGGTGGGTCATGGGTCTTTTTTCAGTATGCATCTATTACCATTATGCAAAATTATCTAAAAAGTTGTTCTTGGTTGTAGGGATATTGTAAATGTCCCTTCCTACCCTCCCACATACATTTTAATGGAATAGCCCTTATTGTTTTACCTGGCTATTCAAATTTTGCAGTGAACTGTTCCATTGAATAAATACAATATATAAATAACACATAGCTGAGAGGGTGATAGAGCAGATTGTTACCCCGAGAAAACATTGTCAACTGAGGCGAAGCCAAGGTTGACAATGTCTTTTCAAGGGATAACAATCTGCTCTATCACCCTCTCAGATATGTGTTATTTAATTTATTATACTGAATGTTCTGTTATTACTGTCGATTAAATTTCAAATATAAAGTAATATACTATGACGTCTTGTACATAACAAACATCCGTATTTAATTTGATCAAGCGTCTCCGAGAAGGGTAAGAGTATTTGCCATAGGATAGAGTCATATTTAATAAAGCGCACACTTGATTAAGCGTCTCCGTGAAGGGTAATAGAGTATTTACCATAGAATAGAGTAAATTAACACCCTGGTATAAGCCAATAAAAATATTGCATTTTACGTGAAGTATAATAATAGCTATTCACAGTTCTCTGGGCTGTTCATTCAATGGGAAATTTTAATTTCTCCTTGAAAAATCATACATTCATTGATTAATTTGGCTGTACAAACAAATAAACCAATAGTGATGAAGTCAAATGTACAAATACTGAATAATGACAAAAATTGTCAGAACTAGAGATAACAACTACAAATGATATGTCAATATTAGACTACTATTCAATTGGACAGTTCACTTTGCAACAATTTAAAGAGCCAGGAAAACACCAACTGATTCTATGGAAAGATTTTGTTTCCTTCACAATAATAATTTGTTTAATTATTAATTGTACATTATTATGATATAAAACTACATTTAATTAGTAATTTTTTTATTTAATACAATATTATTTTGAACAAATAATTGACTGTCAGGTTTGATAAAACATGTACTTATATCATGTATATTAAATAGAGATTATATATATTACCTCTTATCTGTAGAACTTTCCTTTGCTTGTCACTTTTGTCTCTTATGTCCAAATTTATCAAAATATGATGGACCTGTTCATAAAATTAATTGAAATTTATAATATTACTGGTAGGTTAAAACTGTTTTTTTACATGACACAAGCAGCATGATTGGAATTGCTATTTGAGCAAAACTTGCTCACTCTTCAAAAGAATCTAGGTGCACTCGAAGATTTTGATTGGTTGGTTTTACTCAAAATTTAGTACTTTGTGTTATGTTTTATAGACATTGAACCTTTTTTTTGACATCCTCATTTTGAAAATTTTGATTTCTGTTCAACTTCACAACAAATTTTTTGGAACCATTTGTTTGGCTTCACTTGTATTGTTCAGCATGTTCAGTTTTCAAGTGAAGCTGATTGAAAGTATATTTAGATAAAACATACAGTGTGTTGTATTATTTTATCTATTATCTTTATAAATAGATTTAAGGAAGTTCGCTTGTCATGTTTTGGAATTTTTGTCAGATTTTCGGAATCCTCTGGTTTTATCTATTTGAATGTCTTAAAAAATTTTGCCCATTGACCCCCATTTTTCTTTTTAAAAATCTTTTACATGCATAATTATAAGCAATCTGTAAAAGTCTTATAAAATCTTAATTATTTTTTAATAGTTTTTGAGAACTTTAACTTGTCAATGATAAAGCTATGAAAAATCAAGAGAGAATATTTTCCCGCCAAAATTTCAATGGCTAATATCTCGAAAACAAGCACATTGACCTATATTTTATTTTTGCTCTTTTTGTTCCTTTATTAATCCCCTATCAATATATACTAGTGTTATGAAAAGCTTGTTATTTTGAAACTGAGTAGCGAACTTCCTTAAAATTTTCCACAAGTTTATTCACAACTATAGTCTAAGGCAGGGTGATTGCGAGCTTGATATATTGTTTAGACACTTGTTGACTGTTGGTGACTGTGAGTGTGTGAGTTTGTTGACCTTGAGATGTCTACAGTTTTCCTTTGTCATTTTGTTGCTGTCACATGTATGTTTATCCAACATTTCCTTTTATTCACACAAAACAAACATATTACACAACTAATGTTAAACAGAATTGTGACATCTAGATGGCTATTTTTTTGGTGAACTGGTATTGTTGAGCTGCAGCATTATTTGTAAAAAATTACTCCCAAAATCTCTTTCTATTCATTAAAAAAACCTGTTAAATATGCAGAGTTCTCTAAAAGCGGTGGTCTGAAGGTTTTGACCACCAAATTTTGCAAAGGACTGATGTATTTTGGTATTTTGCAATAGAAATAATAGTGAGGACCAGCAGATTTTTTTCAAGGACCACCTGGGAAAAAATATTTCAAGATCTCTGAATATGTTATAAAATCTACGATAAACAATATATACAGAATAGTTCTGACATATCGATCCTTATGACAATTATGATGACACATGTAAACAGTGTGTAGACCTACCAACATAGATCTTACACTAGATCTGAAGAAATTTGTTGGATCTTCATAGCCTTCATATAACTGTATTTTGTCCATAACAAAAGGTGCACTGACAAAATCAACTGAAAATAACAGTAAGAATGTTTTGATCATTAAAAAAATACAACAGTTTACATACAAATTGTTTCTGCAGTAGACAAAAAAGGTTACCATTAATAGTAAGACTTTCTTGTTTATAAATGCACAAATAGCATGGTTTGTAGGACACTTTATGACAATATCTGACATTGTATTCAATTTTAGTTTTTATCACACCTATTACAGATGTATCTTAAAAAATATTGACAGCAGCTATGTATTGATAAATATCAAACAGGATTATCTTAGTAGAAGCTCATGACCCTGCTGTACTGTGGGAGGAGCTTTGGTTTATCATTGAAGACCTTGTAGCAAGTGTCACAATGAAGAGCAGCAATAAAATGGTTGTTCTTTTGAAATACATGATGGTAATTCCAGTATCTTGTTGGATTGTTGACTCATAATTTGTAACGTTATATGTGTACGATAGCTGGGCACTCTGACTTCCTCTAACAATAAAAATTGACCTCCACGAAATAGCACAATAGTGCGGAAAGTGGCGTTAAACACCAATTAATCAATCAATCAATTTATACTGAAAATTGATGATATATAAAAATGTCAAGAGAAATATTATATTTTGCATGAGTTTTGGATAAAAAAAACAACATAAATATGTTATTTGTAAATACTTTGAAAACCTTTATTTCTTTTATAAAGTCATTATAAAAAACACACTGTTAATAACACAAAATAAATGCAAGTGAACTGGACAAAAAACAGGGGTGCAGTATAGAAGTATTCACTGTAAAAAGAACTTTAAATTATGAGCTCACAATCTAGATATTTTGTATCATTTAATGTTGGAAAAGATATGAAATTGTGAAATATATATATAGCATTAGAATTGGGTTGAGAGAAGAAACCATTTGAATGTGCGTTCATTCACAAAAATGTGCATTTCATATCAGATCTATAAAGAATTAACACAGATACAGACATCACGATTCTTAAATTCTAAATATAATAACCTTCTATAACTCGAATAAGAAGTTTTAAAAATAAAGAAACACAGCCTTATATCACAACAACATTTATCAGGTAAGTTAATTTAGTACTTTTTAAATGTTGTTAAAAGTTAACTTCAGGTGTCCAGACTGTACATTAATAGTCATCCTTTGCTTTAGTGTTTCTGATGTACTGATGTAGGTAAATCCAGATTTTTTCATAAAAACACATAAATATTTTGAACTGTATCCATAATTAAAGTATTACAGCAAATTCATACTTTAAAAGTAAATATACTGCCATCCATTAGTTGAACTTAAAATGTTGATTAAAGAACCAAACATTCAAGTTTATTGATTTTCTTTGTAATTACTGCGAATTCATTTTTATTCATTGCTACTAATATTTGAGGATTTAAACCTCTAATTTTAGATACCAATATCCTTTAAGCTCGAATTCAGAATTTGTCAAATGCATGCATTAAAATAAGCATCCATGAAAAGTAAAATTTTCTCAATCCATGAAAATTTGTACACATTATAAGGAAATTAATTTCAAAGTGTCTTAAAAAGATTGTGTAATGATCAGAGAACAATAATGGCTGAATTTCACTTTCAAAGTACAAACAAACCTGAAGTCACACCATACCTGCTGGACATTGTCCTGAATATAAAATGCTTTTATAATACATATATTTCACTGAGCAAGGTTTTTTCACATAATGCTTCATCATGATGTCCTCCTTGGATTTCTGATTTGTGGCAAATTTATCGTAGGACCATTAGACATTACCTTTTTGCAGTGTTATGTTAAAGATAGTTTGGCATTTGGGTGGAAAAAATAGTTTCCTCATACAATAAATGTTGCATGGGTATTGAAAAAAATCAATAAAATTTGAGGGTCATCAACCAATCATTCTAAATTGTGTCCTTTGAAATATGTGCTGATTGACAATTTTTGTAAAAAGAAAATATAGGGCAAACTTTTTCAGTCACTCAAGCATGAAATGTGTAACATAGTGACCCAAGTAACTCAAGCGTGAAATATATAACATAGTGACCCAAGTCACTCCAGCATGAAATGTATAACATAATGACCCAAGTCACTCAAGCATGAAATGTATAACATAGTAACCCAAGTCACTCAAGCATGAAATGTATGACAAAGTGACCCAAATGTTGCTGAACAGCATTGTACTATATATATATAACAGGTCTGAAGCAGAGAAATAGATTTCCCCTTTTTTGTGGATTTTCATTAATGGACATAATGGCAAAACTGATAAGATAAATTCCGACAAACCTTCATTATCAGTTTCGAAATGATTCTCTAAGAATTGACCAAAACATCCTAAATTTGGTTCTTTTTTGTCACACTGAAAAAGAAGAAACAGAAACAATTCTATTTTAATCTAAGCAATGTATCTAAATATATTTAAATGACATTTTGCCACTGAAAACTGATTAATTAATTGATCCATTTTAACACCAATTATATTGTATGATTGTAAATATTTTTCACAGGACCACAGATATTGAAATTCACCAGTCCTGAAAGGCCAAGTTTTGACAAGGACCACCAAAAATCTGAAGTGTTTTATAATACATGTTCATGATGTTATATACATAACTACCCGAAAAGAATACATAGGTAACAAGGACTGACACACTCAAAATAGATTTCAACAACTCTGTTGAACAAGGCAACATTATTTCTATTCAGTTTGAGTGTTCAATGTTTCTAACCTCTAAAATTAGCATTACATTATTCATACTGATTTGGATTAAAAAGTATTTATCAATGAAAGACATTGAAAACATTGAGACATTAAAGAGTGAAATCAAAGAGTGGTTGGCTCGGAGTCACAAAAATGTGTCTGGGTAGAGTCACATGTCTTCCTTCTGACTGTTACCTTTGAACTAGCACACTTAAAATCCCGCTCAGATGGTCTAGTACAATTACATATTACATTAACATGTTTTCTCGTCCTGAATATGCATCTTATTTGATGCTGGACTTTAAACAGCCATCCATCATCAAAATCAATGAAATCTACACGATTTTCTTGTTTTCTCAGAAGTAATGTTATCACATACTACATGTAAACTAACTTATTTTCACTAATATCTTATTTAGCGATTAACCCATTCTAGCCAACTTTGCTGAGATTTTGTTCGCATTTTTTTAATTTTCTTGATGGATTTATATAACAGAAGATCCAAGTTTTACATATTTGTTACCATTTATATCCACGTTCTTGTTCTACTCATGAAAGTCATGAAAATTTGATGGTTTACCGAAAATGCTGATCATTTTTGCTTTAATTTGTAAAGTTTTTATCTATCTATTATGGTTTCAAGATTACAGGCAATACACAATCGTTATTTAAGGGCAATAACTCCTAAGAGAAGTTAACAATGATTTGGGCCAGTTTGACTTATTAGTAGATCTTGTCATGTGATTGTTTCAGCTGTTCAAATTTCTACTATATATTACAGTTTTCATACTAATAGGCCAAAGTCCAACAAAAAACTGTCATTGAAGTGCAATAATTTCTATAAAGAGTCAACACACAATTTCGGCATTATGTATTTAGTAGATCTTGTCTTGTGGATATATTTTTGCTATTTAAAGTTTCTCTCTATCTACTATAGTTTCAAAATAATAGGCAATAACACAAAAACTTGGGAGAAAATTGTCATTAAAGGGCAAATAACTCCTATAAGGAGTCAACTCACACCTTCTGCAATTACCAACTTTTTAGTAGATCTTGTCTTGCTGATCATTTTTGCCATTTTAAATTTTATCTTGCTATTGTAATTTCCTGATAAAAGGCAAAAATCACAAAAAAACTGTAAAATATTCATTAAAAGGCAATTACTGAAATTAGGAGTTGACTTATGATGTTGAGTTTTGTTAACCATGTGTTGACATTTTTGTAGATCTTGTCTTGCTGATTATTTTTGCTATTTAAAGTTTCTATTTTTTATAGTTTTCAAGATAATAGGCAGAAATGCAGGAAAATGGTTACATTAATCCTTTAAGGGCAACTTTTAACTCCTATAAGAAGTCATCTGATAGTTTTTATGTGAAACGGATGGTACGTAGATCTCACCATTCTAAACATTACTGCCCTGTCAGATTTTCTCTATTTATATTAGCTTTTAAGATAATAGACTAAAACACATTTTATTCATCTGTTCTACTTGTAGCTATGTCAGCCATGTTGGTTGGCAAACAGGAATCATCGGACACAATTTTAAGTAAATATCCAAATGATGATTGTGACCAATTTAAGTTAAATTTCTCCCAGTAGTTTCACAGGAAAAGTTTTTGTAAAAGTTAACAGAGAACGATGAAGGACTACAGACTCCAAGTAATGAAAATAGCTAACTTTGCTCTTTGGCTCAGGTGAGTTAAAAATGTATCTTAATCTATTGTCCACACTAGTCAACACATAAAATTGTTAAACACTGTTCAATACATTTTTTTTAAATGTCCCAACAGCCAATAAATCTAAATACTACATCCATATCTATAAACATTGTTAGAATACAATAACCCAGAACTGTTCAATCCCAATCATATAGCCACACACAGTTAAAACGCAATTACCAAAAACTGCCAAATGATGATATGGCCATGCATTGTTAATACACATTAAACAAAAACTGCCTAATAGTACAGCCATGCATTGTTAGAACTAAGTAATACAGCTTGTCATAACTAAAACAGCTTTTATTCCTACTTTAGCAGCCTCTTTTTCTGCATGGCATCAATTTGTTTGTAAGTTTCATCAACCTCCTCTTACCTCCTTTTCATTTCCCTCAGAGCTAAATTTTAACTTCTTTGAACGTTTTCTTATCCCAGCCTAAAAGTGTTATGCTACCACTGTCAGTTTATGTTCATTAATACAGGTATAATATTATTGTCATAGTAATGCTCCTAGGCAGGGACCTAAGATCAGACTTAAGTTTTATTTGTAGATGCTGTCTTGCTGATAACATTTGCCTTTTAAAGTCTTTCTCTATCTATTATAGTTTTTAACATAAAAAATAAAAATGGACATTTAAAGGGGGTCTCTGTGGCCAATTGGTCTAAGTAGACCAATTACTGTATCACAAGCCTGTCCAAACTGAGTTTGTGAGTTTGATTCCTGCACACGACAGGAGCGTTCAACTCCAATCTTAATTGAATAGGACTTTGGTCTAAATGGATAAAAGGTAGATCTCATCATTTTGAACATTTCTGTCCATGTCAGATCTATGACGGTTTACAAGATAATTGACAATACTTGCATTTTACCCATATGTTTTATGTGTAGGCTTGGTGGCCATTTTAGTTGGCAGGCTGGTTTTACCCATATGTTTTATGTGTAGGCTTGGTGGCCATTTTGGTTGGCAGGCTTGATCACCAATTTTTTTTTCACTAGATACCCCAAGGATGATTGTGGCCAATTTTGGACTTATTTGGGTCAATAGTTTCAGAGGAGGAGATTTTTGTAAAAGGTTATTAAAACTACAACAAAGCACCACGATGGACAACAGACACCAAGTAATAGCAATAGCTCAGAGTGGCCTTTTGGATATTTGTAAGTTTTAAGTTGATGTGACCACAACTTTATGGTAAGCTAGCTTAACAAAAATTTGTAGTCAGATACCAACTACCACTATGTTTCTATGTGCATTAAACAATGAAATCAGGGTTAAAACTCTGATATTGGAAAAAATTGTATAATTATAAGAAGATGTGGTATGAGTGCCAATGAGTCAACTCTCCATCCAAGTCACAATGTGTAAAAAGTATAAGTTTACATCATATAATGACCATGCGTTCCAAATTTCAAGTTGATGTGACCACAATTTCATGGTAAACTTCCTTGATCAAAACTTAAATAGTAGGAGGGAGAGAGAGAGAGGAAAGGACTCACACACACAGAAACAGATTAGAAATCAATCAAAGGGGGGACTAAAAATAGTAAGTAACAAAATTATACAAAAACAATGTTTGTTTTTTTGGTGAGAAACTTGGTTCTTATGTCATGTATGTTGTATTCTATTTTCAGTAATTCTATGGTGAGTGTTATACTTACCTAAAAATTAATACATGTATAAACCTGGTCCATGACACTGTATAAAGTATAAATTTTTACACATGAAAAATAATTCTGTAAATGTTGATGATTTTTTTTATGTTGGCATAATTCATAGTGCATTTAATTGACATTATATTAATAAAGGTTATATTTCATTGAATTAATTGGTGTGTAAACTTGACCTTTCACTAACCAAATTAGCATCAATCTCTTGGACTATATCCAGTTTGCTAGTGAGTAGGTCCAATTTTCACATCAATAAACTCCTTCTGAATAACCTTTATTACTATATAATATATATTTATATATATATAAAGTGCCTAAAAAATATACATATATAAAAGCTTACATCTTTAATTGGCATTTCCAGTTTGACCATTTCTGCTTCAGCACACAACCTTTTAAATGGACAGTGAATCTTGACAAATACATTGTTCCTGATTATTTCTTCTTGAAGGAGAAATCCCTCTAATTTCATAGCATTTTTAAATCTTTCTCTCTTAGACTCTTTAATCTCCAGATGTTTTCGCTTTTCTGCATCCTCTTCATCGTGTGAGGATTTGTTATCATAAATCAGAATGTAGTCAATTCGTTTCTGTTCTGGCTTCAATAGAGGTCCTAGGAAATATAAAAGATTGCTTCATAAGCAAAGGTAATCATTTGTTATAATAAATCAGAATGAAGTCAATTTATTTCTGTTCTGGCTTCAAAAGAGGTCCTACAGATAAAAAATTTGTAAGGGTTCCACAGAACCCAGTGTCTCGCCTACTTTTGCTGTTAGTCGCAGGCCCTACAATGACGGAATGTAGGATTGCTATGTCTCGCTTTTGCGACAAAAGTCGCAGGCTCAACAAAAATGTTGCTTCATAAGCAAAGGTTATTAAGTAACTATAAATACAAAGAAATTTTATGGTAGCTTTGCCTTTTTTATAACGTTCTCCATGTTTCCCTATTTTGCCTCTGTCCTTTCAACCTTTCAACCTGGCTGAGTCTTGGACTCAATAAAATAAGATGTCATAATTATCTCTGCATGTATAAACACAAAATAGCAAATAAAACTATTACAATAGAGATTTAATTTTCAGTGCAATAAGGTGAAAATTAATCTGAAGTTGGACTCCATTTCTCTACAGGATACTGTGGATTCATTTATTTTCGTAGGTACCAATTATCATGGATTGATAAACAGTTCTATTTTTGTGGATATTAGATTTTGCAATCCACAAAAAGTAGTAGACCATGAATAATTCAATGAATCCACTTTAAGCTGATTTAAGAATAAACATTAAAGAAGACAGTTATGATATAACCCCTTTTTTGGTTCCTGAAATTTGAAAATCAAGAAGAATTATAAATTTATCAAACAAAGTCCTTCATGCAGTCGTTCTGAACATATGCTGAAGACATTCATCTGTCAGATATCAGTATTTATTTATTTCTTTCAGTCTTACATATTTAGTTCAGCACTTCAAATTTCTTTGCAACTGCATTTGGTGCAAAACTGCTAAATCTGCTAAAATAGCCACATTTTGAGATCTCGTTATAAATATTTAGATATGAGCCAATTAAGGTTTTACCCAAAAAGATATTTTACTACATAATGTCTTATACAAAGATGTTAATGTGGGTAAAATATCTTTTTTGGGTAAAGCCTTGGATTATAATTTATTATATAATTTTCCCAAACTATCTGCAAAATGGCCTTTTTAGATTCATCATGTTGATGATGTCTTAGTGACATTATATAATTACGACTCAGGCTTCGCTGAACCGAAGTGTTTCGATTATATTAACCTTTTCATTCATCTGCAAAGTTTACATAATTTTGAAAGCATTGAAAAATTAAATAATTTTTGCAATTTCAAGGGCCAAATGTCTTATCATAAATCCTTATCAGACAAAAATGTCTTATGCAAATACTTTATTAGTAGAATAAATATAAAAACTCTTATTTTCATTAACTTATAAACTGCTCAAGAAGTACATCATACATGTATCACAACTTATCAACAATTATAAAACAAAATTCAACTTTTTTAATAAACAACAAGAAAATATCATACCTTTTTCACATGTATGTGAAAATGAATTTGTACAACCTTCCATTTTCTTCAAAATTAATACTTAGTAACACATGAGGGTCTGTATGGGGTTTACAGAATAGAGAATAATAAACTAAGACTACAGAAAAATGGGCTAAAAAATAAGAGTGCAGAAAAATGGCATAAAATTTAGAGAAGGTAGAAATGAAGAACCTTCATAAATCATGTAAATCATAAATATGAATAATTATAATATATATCAAACTATATAGTGAACCCAATTTAACCTTTTCCTTTATCATGATCATGATTAAAATCAATCATACAGTTTTATAAATTATAATCTAAATCATTCAAAATCATTTATAATTGGCATTAAAAATCAATAAATACTAATTTGTGTCAACAATGATTTATATCAAATCCTAATGATGTTCAATACACCATTATTACTTGCTTTGTTTGTCTTTGCTGCAAAATTATTGATAATGTATTTGTATAAACCAAGATCATTTCTCATCTTTATATCTTTTTTTTTCAGATAAATATTTCATCCTTTGATCAGTGTTTTCCCAAGGATTTTTTATAGTGATGCGATAAGCATGCGATATCAGACTGAATGGTCTTTCCTGTTGCAACGTTTTTTAAAATTTGTACTGCAATGTTTTATATAACATATTAAAACAAATAAATTGAAAAAGAGGTGTATTTTTATACATCTATTCATTAACTGACATGATTTATTTATTAGTTGTAATTTGCTTTAATCTATATAGTTATCAGTAACTGCGAGTACTCTTATTTCTGTACTTTGTGTCTATTGATTTTATGTCAGTTGTTTTTGTGCCTTAATGTACCAATCTTTCGAGTTCAGAGAATCGCAACTGATTTTTACAGTTTGTTTTTATGTTGTGCTGTAACACCACTGTCCCAGGTTAGGGGAGGGTTGAGCACTCAAAAACATATTTAACCCCACCACTTTCTTTGTGCCTGTCCCAAGTCAGGAGCATGTAGTTCAGTGGTTGTCATTGATTCATGTCTGTCATATTTGTTTTTTGTAAATTGTTTTGTTACATGTATAAATTAGACTGTCAGTTTCCTCAATTGAATTGTTTCACATTTTTCATGTTGGGGCCTTTTATAGCCGACTACTTAATATGGTATGGGTTTTTCTCATTGTTGAAGACTGTCGGTTGTCTACAGTTATAAATTTACATCCACTTCATTTGAACTTTGGTGGATAATTGTCTTATTGGCAATCATACCACATCTCCTTATTTTTATAAGGATATAAAATCATATTTAATTATATTTCACATTGAAATTAAAATGCATAAATAATTAAAATACATTTGTAAATCTTTTGATATGATAACAATAAATAAATCAGTAGATGACAGTTCCTATCTCATATAAAACTCTTGAATTGTCATACAGAAACCTTTTTTCAGCTCTTGTTTCTGTATATTTTCACTGTAACCTTGATCAGTCATTGGTCCATGATCTTTGAGGTATTGACTTAAAACATGCTTTTAAATATCTAGCAATTGTTTAAATGCCATATAGGTATATTTATTTAAAAATTTAACCTGAATTGATTATTTGCAAGCAAACGGGTTGTTTGTTTTGGTAATAAAAGTTCTCTAAATTTCCCACTTATTGATGAAAAAAGTTAAACATTATAGATTCCATTTGTTTTCTATTATCAAGGAAATGTAATTAAAATGTACCTGTATGTTTATCTTATTGTTTAACGAAAAAGTTGATATAATCCGGACACATTAGTGTGGTTATATAGTGAAGTCAATATTGATACATAATTTTTCTCAACATGTTTCATGTCTGTGCATTTTTTCTTTTTGTTTTTTTTTTATATTTTTTGGTTTAATTGCATATATAAGCTTTATTTAAAGGTACATTAATGGGCAAATCAGTATTGTTGTTTAATACCCCTGGCATACATGGTTGTTAAAGATATCATGTTTTTCATATCATATATTCAATCTCCCAAATTATATATTATAATAATTTATAATTCAATAAACATGATAAAAAGACAAAAAGAACTTAGAAGTAAGTGACATATTTTTCCTACATGTTTACCATTTAACACATAGATTGTGAACAAAATATACAAGCCAAGACACAAAAAGATATCTTACACACATTAACATCTTTGTAAAATACATCTTGTAGCAGAATATCTTTTGACTAAAGCCTTGGCTCACATCTTTACATTAATGACCAGATCTTAAAATTAGGCTATATTTGCCATTTTGGCAGTTTTTAACTGTTTTAGCACTAAACTAAGAAGTTTGAAGCCCTTATGCAAATAAGTTAGAAAATATTCAAAATATACTGTAAATTCAGAAATTATTGCATGCATTTATTATTGGGATTTTGTCATTTAATTTTTGCGATATTGAGAAAAATCCTGTTTAATTCATATAAAAAATCTCTTTTAAAATGTGAGTTTAAATTATTGCGATTATAACCTTGTCGCATTTTTCGCATTAATAAAAACATCACAATAATTTCTGAATTTACAGAATAAAAAAACAAAATAGGATTTTTTTGTTCAATCATTAATGAAAGTTAATTGTGAAATAATAATTCACTTTTAGCAGCCAGTGTGGTTCAATTTTGTCAAAATAAAATAAGAAACCATGCTGATGAATTATTCACTTGCAAGAGAATAGTTTGATCTGATTGAATCCGTATTCATGTGACTTTCAATTTAACCCCTTAGCTAAGATATGGGTTATGCATAAACTAGACATGTGTAGCTATTAAAAGGAAAAGAATGTCAACATTGAAAGTGAGACAAGAGTAAACCATTTGGAAATTTTGGTTCACTGATTTGATCCACAAAAGCTCATTATCATACAAAATAATGATTAACAGATTTTTTAAACCTACAATATGAAATCAAACAGACCTAGAAAAATCCAATTACACCTGTTGGCTATCTATTTATATCTATATTTATGTTGATATTGGGTTATATGATCGTCTGCAGTCTTTGAAGGTCACTTTGATGTTTAATTAGATGCGTCTAGACTAAAATACCCACGAAATGCTGATACATATTATCTAGTCCATGCATTGTAAATTGATTATTTTAGACTTTTTATAATTTGGATACATGTTTTAGTAAGTTATAAATCAAATATGAGACTTTGAGTCAAATCGGTGAACATAAATTTGATAGCTTTATAATGCCCCTTTAAGTATATTTTGAATGTTTTCTAATGTATTTGAAATGAATTTAAGTCATTTATCTGACAGAATCTTATGATCATCTGAAGGATGTATTTGGTAGATTTAAATATAATCCTTTTTGATTTTCAAATGCATAGGGCCAAAAAGTATTCTGATCATACCTTCCCTTTTATGCATTATTTTTCTAGTTTGATCAGAGTTCTCATATAGTATTCAAAATGCCACCTTAGTAGACAAACCTAATTCAGTGTAGCGTCTCTCAAATCTTCTTATTGACGGATTGTTCTTCAAATGCCTCTTTCTCAATTTCCGAAATTTGACTGCCGAACTAACGGCGGTTAAAAAACCAGTATTGTCTCCTTCATCATCTGATGCATCCTCATTTATTCCTGGCAACTTGCCATTAGTTAGGGTCAGCTTCTCGCTTGGTTTATCTGCATCAAAAAATGTCTTCGCTTTCATTGCATTTTATGTTCCTGAAAAAAATATCTATTTATTTGATATTTTAGAGAAAATATTATGGCAAATGCAGAATAACTCGATTGAACTTTTCATGGCTACATCTACAATGATCTAATCTGTGTTTAATAGATAATAGCTATAATTTATTTTGTACTTAATTCCCCAAACTGAAACTTGATAAAGAACACAATGAAGAAATTGAATTCATTTGTGGGAATTTTTCATTTATTAAAATTATGATTTTATCTTACATTTAATTTTTGACAAAAAGAAAAAAATCTCTTCACTGATAGAAATGTTTAAATCTTTGTTGTTATATCAGGGGAAATAACTCAAATAATTTAGTTTAAAACAGACTGTCATGACTGTACCAAACATTTACATATTTTGTTATGGTATGTACATGTATGTAGCAAGAAAACAAGTTTGGTAACTTTAAAAGTAGTTTTTTTTTCTTTTTGCAAGCACATTTATCATATAATTATAAGGATACATTTATTGGAACCATTCAAGACACCAGTCAATTATTGCGAACCCAATGAAAGTTTTCCACAGTGCCATCTCTTTCTTGACCAGGTATTTAAACTTTTGCAAGTTCACCTGTCCTATTGAATGAATACAATAGCTATTTTTCTCTGTGTAGTTTATTCACTGGGACCTTTAAATTTCTTCTAAGAGAAATCTATCATTCATTGATTAAATTACCTGTGTAAAAAAAAATTCTTATATACATGTATAGACAAAAATACTTTTTTTATACTCATTAATTGCGTGTGCTGATGTATTTATTCAATATTAATAATATATTTTCATTCAGTTTAATATAAACATTGATTCAATCATAAAAAGTTGATTTCTAACAAAAGTTTTATCAATGTTCCTATTGAAATTTGATTTTTTTTTGTTTAGTTATAGAATACATTTAAGAAGATCTTAATTTGAAACATCATTATTTTCAAGTTCTTATTCATGTCAAACAAATTTTTTTTTAAAAGGAACAATGTTGAAAGTTTTGTCAGAAATCAAATTTTTATGATTGAATCAATGTTTATATTAAACTGAATGAAAATATATTATTAATATTGAATAAATACATCAGCACACGCAATTAATGAGTATAAAAAAAGTATTTTTGTTTATATATAAGAATTTTTTTTTACACAGGTAATTTAATCAATGAATGATAGATTTCTCTTAGAAGAAATTTAAAGGTCCCAGTGAATAAACTACACAGAGAAAAATAGCTATTGTATTCATTCAATAGGACAGGTGAACTTGCAAAAGTTTAAATACCTGGTCAAGATAGAGATGGCACTGTGGAAAACTTTCATTGGGTTCGCAATAACAAGAATATATTATAGCTTGCATGTAAATTCTTACATATACTTCATACTTACATACCCCCAGTTTTTGGTGGGGTTCGTGTTGCTCAGTCTTTAGTTTTCTATGTTGTGTTTTGTGTACTTTTGTTTGTCTGTTTGTCTTTTTCTTTTTTAGCCATGGCGTTGTCAGTTTATTTTCGACTTATGAGTTTGAATGTCCATTTGGTATCCTTCGCCTCTCTTTCATAATATTTTTTCAAGCCTGTACATATATAGAGTTGTTGAACTAAATGTTAAAGGCAAGTTAAGTTATTGAATCAAGGTTCTCTGATCCGAATAGGATTGATTTGATTGATTGGTGTTTAATGCCACTTTCAACACTATTGTGTTATTTCGTAGCGGTCAGTTTTTATTGGTGGAGGAAGCCAGAGTGCCCGTAGAGAACCACTGACCTTCGGTAGGAAAACTAACAATCCTATTCAATTAAGATTGGAATCGAGTGCACCTGCCCCATGCTGGATTCGATCTCATAACCTGTGTTGACAGGCTATGGATACAGTAGTTCGACTACTTAAGCCACTCGGCCACAGAGGCCCTGAATAGGAAGCTCATTGTTTGTATTACTATATATGTATATAATCTGTTAATATTGATCCAATTATAATTATGGTATTTCATCTTTTTTCCACTGAATGTCAGATGATATTCAATACTCTCTTAAATATAATGAAGAAGATATATCTCATACACCTACAACTAAACAAGGAAGAAATCTTACCTATGTCTTATTTTGATCAATATTCTATTTTCTAGTGAATTTCTGTTTGAATCAGGCTATATCCAGTAGGACTATTTTTTATAATTGTACATGCTGAATATTGATTTTCACACATAAAATAGAATTAATCTTTTAGTATTGAATATACTGTTTCTTTGAACTGGAAGTGTTTTTGTAAAGAAGTTGAGCTGTTGCAAACAATAGCTAACCAATCCTACTCAGCATGCTCAGTCTTATATCAGATCTGATTGCTAATAATTTGGTCCTTAATGCAAAATTTATTTTTTTTGCTTGTGCAGCTTGAAATGTGCTTAATGCAAATTCAGAAATAAATGTGAATAATGCAACTGGGTGAATATCCCAATAATAAGAACTTGCATTCTAATGTGCAATACATGTATCTAGGCAATAGTTTACAGTAATAATATTTTATACAAAGTCCTCAAAAATGGTCCTGATCATTTTTAACTGTAACTTGTTCCATGTTTGACTAGTGTACCGATTCTGGATTGTAGATATACTAAAGGTCCATTCATAATTTGTTGTAATGTTGTACTTAATATTAAAGTGTCTGTTGTTTATACTGTACATATTTCTCCTTTGGTCAGTGGATGTGTGTTTTGTAATAATGAAAAGTATAGAACGCCTGAGTAAACATCCAGAAAAACAGTTACCTCCTTGCAAAAATCTTTTGACATGACATTAAAAACCTGTCTGAGTATAAGTCTAACTTGCCGAAATGTGTGCCCAATGAACAAAATCCTCAAAGTCACACATAATGAGTTCTTAAGACAATTAATTTAAGCAACATTTTAATTATCCTGATTTGCTTCAGAACTCTCCATTTGAACTCATGATATGTAAAATTAAGCATTTAGTTACTCATATCAACAAAATAATCAACATAATTCAAAATGCTGCTCTATCCCATTATAAATAAACTTCTGTGTAAATACATGTATTGCGTAGCAGTGCCAGTTGTATCCAGGTTTGAATGAAACATAAATCATAAATGAACTATAACTTTTATTATTTTATATTATATTCATCACTTAATTTTGGCCCTTGGGGAATCTACTCAGCTAAAATTAAAATTTTTGCTCCATGCCTAAGCCAAGAGCCTATGTGCGTACTGAAAAGTAGCAAAGTAAAGACCCCTGGCTTGACATCACACCAATCCAATTGGATCTATGGTTCCAAATAAATGTGTGAGGCTATCAGGAAGCATATGAGGCTATCAGGAAGCCTATGAGGCTATCAGAAAGCCTATGAGGCTATGTCTGAGGAAGCCTATGAGGCTATGAAGAAGCCTATAATGATGCTATGAGGAAGCCTAGTATGTGGCTATGAGGAAGCCAAGTAGTGTTGATGTTGAATTGGTGTTGGAATGAATTTGTATGAAATTTGACAGTTTATCCCCAGAAATTCTTGGGGGGTGAGTGAAATTTTTGAAACAACCAGTGATAAAATTTCATAAATGTCCAAACATGATGGACTTGTTTCAGATGCTGAGGTTATTTATCTGATCCATGCCTAAACCAGCAGCCCATGTACATGTGCGTACTGAAAAGTAGCAAAGTATAGACCCCTGGCTTGACATCACACCAATCCAACATAGTTCCTAAAAGTACTTTTTGCACTACTGGTTGCTGAGATCTTCTGATATGAACTGGCGTTGGAATGAAATTTTTAAGCACTTTTGTAACATATACATATACAGAAAAATCAATAAGAATCTTATATAAACTGTGCTGAGATTGATTCCCCTGTCATGGCAATATTGAAGGTGTAAGGTTGGGGTTGGTGGGAGGTAAGTTTTTAGCTAAGCCACTTTTTGAGCAAAAATTATTCTTTTAACTGCTTAATCTGCATTGAAAAAACTGGACACTAAAGGCAGCATGCACTGGTTTTCAATATACAACTACTTAATGGGATATTCCTAAATGGGAGGAGCTAAACTACACCAAAGTTTATGTGCAAACAAACAAAGGATAAAGGAAAGCCAGATGCCACAAGTGGTCACTAATTAACAACACATGTATATTTGTAATGGAACTGATGTAATTAAACCACCCTGCTAAGAACACCTGATAAATTCACATGTAGCTGATTAAGATATGATAATAAATCTGCTTCTTCTCAATAGTAAAGAAAACAAAAAATCCTGGGAAAATCCTAAAATAATGACTACGGAGTGTAATGGAAATCAAACTATGTATAAACATAACTTATATAACATATAAGTAACTATTTGATTGTCTAAGTGACCTAACTTTACTTAACCTTGATTATTGTATTCAAGATCCTATAATCTATATATCCTATATCTATATATAAATCCCCCCCCCCCCAACAACAACAACAAACATGTATATTTGTATATTTTGTAATACAACTCTAGACCAAAAGTCATTCATCTCATTATGTATTTGATAGAGAGACAAAAGATACCAAAGGGACATTCAAACTCATAAGTCAAAAAAACAAACTGACAATACTGGGCATGGCAAAATACGAAAAACGACCACATGACAAACGTTACAGTCTACAAAAAACAACATAGCCATAATAGTGAAAAGACATAATATTTACCTTTAGTAATTTATATTGACATCAGTTAACACTTCTAATCACTCAAAAATATCACTATTTTATTTTGGAAACCCTTAAACATTGTAGTTGCTTAAATGTGGAACTATTGCATGAAGCTTCTTTTTCCTGTCCAAGATATCCACACACATTTTCATATTTCTGTTTTAGTCCTAAAAATCAATACTTCAATGCAATAGATATAAGAAGATGTGGTATGAGTGCCAATGAGCATGATGAGACAACTCTTCATCCAAGTCACAATTTATAAAAGTAAACCATTATAGGTCAAATACTGCCTTCAACACCGAGCCTTGGCTCACACCGAACAGCAAGCTATAAAGGGCCCCAAAATGACTAGTGTCAAACTATTCAAACAGGAAAACCAATGGTCTAATCTATATAAAAAACGAGAAACAAGAAACACTTATGAACCACATCAACAAACAACAACCACTGAACATCAGGTTCCTGACTTAAGACAGGCTAAAAGGGGATGAGGATATACGTTAATGACGCAGCCACCCAACAACAAAGAAAACAGAAAGATACTTAGAGAGTAACATGCAGACCTTCAACAATAATCAGCTGTTTATACAAAATGTTGAGCTCTTAATCCAAAGTAATGAATTTACTAAAAATTCTCGAACTAAAGGCAAAATAAGATTAATATCATTACATCATAAACATGATGAAGTCAAAACTATTGTTAAACAGTGGGTCATTAAAAATATCAAAAGATATATGTTTAAATCTGAATTGTTGTAAGTTAAAAATAATGTTTTACAAAATCATAATATTAATTATCAATAACCTGTTTAGGCCAAAAAAAATATGTCTGTTTAAGATTACATCATTAAAAAAGATAGGGTAGGTCGGCATTTCCATTTTATTTTATTTTTTCATTTTATTTTTTGTGACATGATTTTGAGTTGTTCGGTTCGTCTTGCTTTGGTCAGAGTTGTCCATGGGCCAAGTTTACCCGTATTTTTAATAATTGGATTAGTTCCCTTGGTTATTGGTTGGAAATAAAACGGCGGCAACATTATTATTTCATCACAAGAGTCGCGAGTTTCTTAAAACAGCTGTCATCCTGATTGTGAACATCTACAAAATGTAGATGTATCAGGCAATGGATTTATTTTATTGGCAACTCTAACTTCGCTTTTCACATGAGTTCAGTTAATTTTTCACTTTACGACAGGAATAAAATGACTAAGGATCGGCACTCAAAAGTAGAGTCGGTTGGGTAACCATATTTTTTTGACCTTAGAAAGTTTTGATTATTTAGTTGTTGTATTTTTGTATTTTATGTATTTCTATATAATGTACTAAATTGAGCCTTTACCCATGCAACTGTTAATTGTGTTTGTGCCAATAAAATATTGTCTATTGTCTACGTGTTTAACTCAATGACCATGATGATAAAATAATAAATAATTTAAATACATACTAGCTTTTTATTTGATTATTTACAAATAATCTTTGTCAAGTAATGAGATTTCAGTTTGAACTGGATGTCAATTTGAAAATTGAAAAATACTTCGATTAGAGGCACATAGAATAGGACGTTGACGGATTCTTAATCTTTTATCAGGTTGGAGAGGATACTCATAAATGGGTACTATCTTCATTCAATTTTCAGTGATAAAAATGTAAACTTTGCCAAAGTTTGGAGTTACAAATATTTTCTGTCATGGTGCAAACATTCAGGTAAAGGACAATATAAGTAGGATTTTTGGAGGCCATTTATCTTTGTATTTATATTTGAACTATGGTCTTAAAGGGAAAAATGTTGCCATTTATATGAATATTTGCGCAATGACAGCTATCATGATAAAATACAAAATTTTATTTTTTATCACTGTAGATTGATACCTGATTTTGGGATATATAATACCCATAAATGGGGATAATACCGATTTATGAGGATCTTCCCCAACCTGTTTATAACCCCAGATTGGAAGTTGATTAGAGAAAAGACGTTGATCTGAGTCCTACATGTATATCATGTGACATGTGTATATTAAATCAAATTTAAAAGTTTCAATAAATTTAGTGGGCATAAATTTGGCAACTTATTAATCAACATGTTTAATTTTGATTGTATAAAATGTGACAAACCCTCTGTAAAAGAAAGAACCCCTCCCTCTGCATTACAGACATTTTCCATACAATTTGTGAATTAGTTAAAATTATTTTATGTTTTCTTAACTAGAAAAAATCATCAAATTGCACTGATTGATAGCTTGATTTTACTCTGTAGCTCTTTCTTGACCGAGTACCACCACAACATATGCAACCTGTGTAAAAAATATATACTCTGGACTCAAAAGTTGATATGAAAATTATAAGTCTATGGTGGGAGAAATTATAAAGCTGAATTTTAAGTGCAAAATATCTGTTGCACAGTTTTATTCCGATTCCAAAGCGCCAGTGTACTGGTGATTGTCCAATGGAAAAATGCCAGCATATAGCCAGCTGCATATAGCCAGCTGATGTCTATAATTGATACACGGTATCTACAGTGTGCACGCCATAATTTGGCATATTAAAATCGCTTTTCGATTACAAAATGTACATTTCTGCGAAATCTGTCAATTTTGCGAATTAAAAACAAAAAAGGGTAGTGAAGACGCGATTACTGTACCTCTACATAATGATGATAATGAAAATGTTCTATTTAAATAGCTGTGTCCTCGCGCTGCTATTTTGAAGCTTGGTTGTTTCCCAGGAGCAGGTAAACAATGACTGGCATAGTCTTTCGAAATAACTCTTTAAATTCTATTAGATGATAAGGGAGGTAACTTTATGTTTCATAATGGATAATAGACAGAGTATAATTTAAGGCGTTTAGAATAAAGGAATGATCTTTTTTTAATATGAATATCAGTCGTGAGCTCTCAGGTGCTTTCTTGGACGTCCGCGTAGCAAAAGAGAATCACGGATTTATGCCTTACTGATATGATCTGATATGCACTAAAATAGGAGAAAAAGAAAATGATTTTAATAATATAAATAAATTCCTTAACAGAAAATAAACACCATTGAGAAAGCAATCTGGCCTGCCCACCCAGGACATAATATATGATAATAGTCCCAAAGCAAACAAAATCGCCAAATAAAGACATTTTAGAAAGGAGAAGTTTGGCAAAGGGTTATAGACGACACAATGTTATAGGGGTCTCAACAGGGGAGCAATCCGGCAGAATCATAAGTTAAATCGAACAGACAAGCATCATATTCAAAAGAAGAACGGACGAACTGACGAACGAGCGAGCGGCTTCTTCGTTACTAGCTAATTATATGTAGGTATCTTACAAAATATATAGCAATCTTTTCAGTTATTTAAAAAAAAATCCTGATAATTTCAGGCCGAATTGTACAAAAATAAATAACACAATACTGTATTGCTATTTAAATACAGATGAGCAGTATACATGGCTGTTTTAATGCCGAGATTTCTTACATATCTACATGAAACCAAATGCAACTCATAGGAGTTAGAGCAACGAACAGTTCAAAAAGCATGTAAAACAAAGGCAAAGCCGAGACACCATCGGTTTTGCTCAATATAAATAAAGGGGGTTGTAAACAAATATTTCTATCAATTGTATATTATACACTTAGTTTATCTTAACTAACATAACTTTTAATTACGTTATACGCAGGTAAAAAGCAACAACCGTACGAAAAAAAAAATTTAGGTCAACAACAACAAAAAATGTGAAATTGAAAAAACTCCAAATATCAGCCTTTAAGCTAGTGTAAATTGTCGGTCCTTAAGTGCGAGTCATTATCTTAATAAACATAAGATTCTAGATAAAAATTGGCACAATGATATACTAAGCAAAGACCCATCGAAACAACATCTGATACAAAAATTTAATAACACTTCTAGATTTTTGGATGATATATTGGTTCTCAATAATGACGCCTGACTTCAGTATGTACACTAAAGAGATATATCCTGCTGAACTTACTTTAAATAAAGCTAATACTAACAATGAACACTGCCCTTTCCTGGATCTTGATATCTATATCTTTAACGAGAAGCTTAATACCAAAATTTATGATAAAAGAGAAGATTTTTCATTTCCTATTGTTAATTATCCATTTTTAGATGGTGACGTGCCCTTGTCACCATCTTATGGTGTTTATATATCTCAACTTGTTCGATTCGCTCGTGTATGTAACAACGTATATTTGATTTTAACGAAAGAAATCTCTGTATTACTGAAAAATTATTACACCGGGGTTTTCGATATCACAAACTAGTGAAAACATCTAATAAATTTTATCATCGGTACAAGGACATCATTCGTAAATATAAATCAACATGCAGACGTCTTATACGTTCAGGTATTTCACATCCATTTTGTTATGGTAATATTCTATACAAAGCACAAAAATGTCGACATTCACCTCAAAAGCTAACCAAACCTTTAAACAGACTTATTCAGAGGGGATATAGTTATGATACTGTTGTCAGATCATTAAAGGTGGCATATTTTGGTAATAATTTTAATATTGATTCACTCATATATATATAGGGTCTTTGCATCGGAAATAAACACATTTATTCCAGGCTAAAACCAGTTGTTGGCATGATACGGGTTATGTTCTTCTCATATATTTTATGATGGTATGATACTAAACCCCTTACGGGAGGGATTGTGCTTATTTTTCTTAAGATGAAGACATAATCTTTCAATCAGTTTAATTGAGGTCTGGAGCTGGCATGTCAGTAACTGCTAGTAGTCCCTTGTTAATTTATGTATCATTGTTATTTTGCTTAGTTCTTAAGTCACCTATTCTGACATCGGACCCGGACTTCTTTTGAACTGAGTTTTACTGTGCGTATTACTGTGTGTTTCTTTATTCTACATTGGCTAGAGGTATAGGGGGGCGTTGAGATCTCACAAAACATGATTAACCCCGCCGCATTTTAGCGCCTGTCCCAAGTCAGGAGCCTCTGGTCTTTGTTAGTCTTGTATGTTTTTTAATTTTAGTTCATTTTTATGTTTTGGAGTTTATTGTGACGTCCATTTTCATTGAACTAGTACACATTTTGTTTAGAGGCCAGCTGAAGCCCGCCTCCGGGTGCGAGATTTTCTCGCTGTGTTGAGGTCCCATTGGTGGCTGTCTG